ATAAAAATCATATCTATAAATTTTAATAAATATTTCATAGATATAGATATTATATTCTTTTTATCATACAAGAGATTTAGAGTATAAGAAGTCATTCAATTTGTACAGCTGATCTTACAAAATATGCAACTAAGACTAAATAAACAATGAGAGTACCTTGTCAAATTCAAAATAAGAATAAGGAATATCTGAGATATAAGATAATTTAAAAATAGAAATAAACTGAAGTTGAAATTAAAGTGCTGCAATAATTAATTAGAAATGTAATTGGTGAAATAGGGGCTAATTTATAGGATACACTTTCTATATTTATCTTTTGATAATCCATTTTATAATACAAAGTTGCAAAAGTTTTTCTCGATAGTTAAAATAAAAAGTAAGATTATGAATAATCTTACAGCTATTTTATTCATTTATCATTATTGATTTTTTAAAAATGGTAGGTTCTAAATAAGAAAAAATATTTGAGTCTCAATTTATTTTTTATCTAATTTTAATTTTCCATTATCTTTGAAACTATATTGTCTTAATAATTAATATATTGTTTTAATAATGACTTATCATTTTGAACCTGATAAACTAAAATTCTCTCTTCAATTATTAATATTCGCTTCAGAGTCTATGGTTTTTTAAAAAAATTATCTTTGAAAACTCAATCAAAATAAAAGTGATATTCAATAATGTTTAAAAATGATTAATATATATTATTTTCTCTTTTTTAACAGTGTTTAATCATAAAGAAATTTGAATAATACTTTAATTAAAATGTTTTTATGGTTTTCCTGTTTATTAAAATCTTCTAATGATAAAAGATATTTTCAATAACATTAAGATTTGTCAATAAGTAAAAAAAATAACTATTCCTAATTTTAGAGGATATTTAAACCCATTCAAAGTAAAATCAAAAAATCTATATACATGGATTTTGAATCCAATTTTAGTTTAATTATTTATCTAATAAAGTAAATCTATTAGCTCGAAATAAACAAGAAATTAAATATTAAAGGAATTTAAAACTAAATTATTAAAGTTTATACTAATTGAATTGTTTATTTATTATTAAACATATCTTTCTAAAAGCCTTCAATTTATCTTTAGAATATAAGAAAGTATTTAGTTTTTTATAATTTAAATTAACACTCAATTTTTTTTTACATTACTATTAGCTTATGCAGATTCATATAAAACTTTCAATACAATTATCAGCATTTAAACTGTCTTAGGACTTATTTCATTATGCTTACTTAAAAAAGTTTAAGGAATCAAACTCATAATTAGACTTAAAATCTGATCATTTTATTAAATGAACAAAAATTAATAGTTTTTGATGAAATGAGATATCTACTTTCTTTCTTTTTCATTATTTCATCTTAAACAGCTTATGAAAAACTTTCATAGTTTAAAATTAAAGGGAATTCATTTTAATAAGAGTTATTAAGTGTGCTTTTTGATGTTCTAAATAATAAACTTACTATAAATTCTAAATAACTCTAAAGCATATTGAGAACTATAATCATCTTAAGTAATCAATATGCAATATTCTGTTATAAGACTACTTTGAATTCTTAAAAGTAAATTTTGAATTAAATTATAAATAATGATGTAATTAATTAAATACATAATGATTTCGATTTCATTATTATTTACTTTTATCGTAAAAATTAAACATTTTAACAATTCAATTAAGAATGAGAAATTTGATTAGATATAAAATTTAATATGCTAAAAAAGTAAAAGATTATGATTTATATTAAAATATTTGTTAATTTATTTATAGTACTTCAAGAATTACTTATTTTAATTTATTCTAATTAAAATTTTGAGTAAATTAATTTTATTTTTTTGATTATTAAATAAATCATTTTTTTTCCTTTTATTAAATAATTCTCTCAATTTAAATGCAAATTTTGAATAAAAAAAATTTGTAATTGAAATTAGATTTTAATTTAATCTTAGGTGATGGTTAGTATTTAATTTAATTAAGTTTTGAGAAACTGTAATTTTCTAAATTTATGCCAAACATTGTATTCATACTTTAACTAGAATTCCAAAGGGTATTATAGATTATATTGACTAATTTAAATTGGTGATCTTATCGAATTACTGTTTTGAAATATTATTAATATAATCCATAATCAATCTTTGATTAAAATTAATTAAATAAGGTAAAATTTTCATTTTAATAGAAATAATATTTATGCGAATCTTATTTAAGGTGTAATTTTAGATACGATAACAAATTTATTGTTTTTTTCATAATTTATCTATTTCTAATTGCTTTTTGTGGGAATTTTGTTGATGGATTTATTTACTGAAATATTTCCCGTCGCTTTAGGCATTGAAATCAAATACTGATTCTATTCTTTAATTTTATAATGATATATTTTTCTAAGATCACCTTCATCTTTAAATGAATCCTAAAAGTGTAATATAGACTGAGTGGTCAATTTATAGAAAAATTTATAAATAGAGGTTGATTTCTGCTTTACTTCATTTATCAAAATTTATATAATTTAGAGTTTAAGTTCAAAAATACATTAAATTATTTAAATGTTTAACATTTATTTTTCTTATTTTTTCATCAATTCCATTTTTATTGAATAGAATATATTTGATAAAGTTTAGGCAAGTTCCTCTTAGTGTTAGAAATTTAAATACTATATCAAACAATATTAAAAATTGAAAGGAATTGCAAAACTATTTAAGGGGAGTAATTTCTAAAAATGTAAGAATAGAATTGAAATTTAATAGTCAAAGAATAAATCTCATAAATTAAACAATTAATTTAAAGTCTTTAAAAATCTAAAATCTTCTTTGTGAGATAATTTTGATTAACTAACATAAAAATAACTAATGTTCTATAGGTCCATAAATATCAATAGGTCCTAATCAAATCATTATTAGATTTTTTAAAATTTAAATGATTAATTCAATTACATTTTGAGAAAGTTACAACTAATTTAAGAAATATATATGCTTCTTCAGATAAGTGAATAGTAAAAAATTCTCTATCAGTAGCATGAAAAGAAAATAGTGATCAATAATTAGTTTATAATTTCTTCTCAAAAATTTCCGCATTTGTAATAATCTTCAAATCAAAAATATTTATAATAACATTTATCATCACTTAACTTATTTTTATATTATTAAGATATGATAAACTAATAATAAGTGATCAATGTCTTTAAGGAATTACAATAATTAATGATTTTGAATAGTGAAAGTTATTTCTTCACAAAAATTGATTTATAATTAGATTTAAATTATTGTATTTCTATTAAATAATATGAATAAAAACTAAACAATATTCGAAGAGGTCTGCACCAATTCAATATACTGTTAAAACGATTTATGCTAATTGGATCATTCCAGGATATACGTTGGAGTTTGCATAGATTTATTAAGGGCAGAATAATAATTTTATAATGATGGAGGAGAAGATTTCAAATAATTAATTTGCAATAATTCTAATTGCAACTTATATCACTTCAATGAGGAGAAATTTAATAATTTAAAGAGTGGAATAACCATTAATGGAATATTTCCTCATAATCTATGTCGTTAGGATTGTAAATTTAATTGTAATTATATACACAGAGAATGGGCTTAAAATGTATGTTTAAATAATATTGTTAAAATCTGCCGTAATAAAAATTGTAAATTTGAACATAAAGAATGGTAATCATTAAAAGAAAAAGCCAAAGCTTGTTCAAAAATTCAATTTATTACACCTGAGGAAATATTTTCTAAAGATAAGTATGATTGTGGAAAATACTCATATTTATTGAAAGATTATTGTAACCTTTATATATAGGGTTTGTGTAGAAATAAAAAGTGTTAAAAAAATCATATAGATTGGGAAAATATTGATAACAAAATGAATTAAACAAATTCTTTAAAATCTTGTATTGTTATTGCTTAAGAAAGAAAAAAGTAAATTCAAACTACAAGTGATGAAGTGTAATTATTTTGCAAATAATCAGAATTTTTTCATTATTAAAAGAGGTTTGATCAATAAAATATTATAGACGTTGTTTTTATAATGGATTTAACTGAATCGATGAAGCAATGGAAAGAACATATGCAAAATACAATGGATACAATAATAGATAAATTTATAAAATCAATTAATGGATATCAAGTTAGAGTAGCATTTGTAGGTTATAGAGATATATGTGATAAGGAGGACTAGATAGTTTATTGGAGTTTTACTAAAAAAATTGATGAACTTAAGAACTTTATAAAGGGATTAGAAGCTAAAGGAGGTGGAGATTATGCTGAGGATATAGTCTCTGGATTCAAATAAGCTTTTTAACTTAATTTTTCTCACCATGAAGACAGTTTATTATGTACATTTTTACTTGCTGATGCTCCTTGTCATGGAAAAGCTTATCATAAATATCATAACTTTTAATCTGATAATCAATTTGATAAAATGCCTAATAACTATTTTGAAGATGTTTTGGAAAAATATAAAAAAATTAAAAAAAATAATTTTCTGTGTTGTATTAAAATTAATGATACTACAGATATTATGTTTGAAAAAANATACATAAAATTATAAAATAATTTTCATATGTAATAATAATATTGATCTTCAAATCAAAAATATTTATAATAACATTTATCATCACTTAACTTATTTTTATATTATTAAGATATGATAAACTAATAATAAGTGATCAATGTCTTTAAGGAATTACAATAATTAATGATTTTGAATAGTGAAAGTTATTTCTTCACAAAAATTGATTTATAATTAGATTTAAATTATTGTATTTCTATTAAATAATATGAATAAAAACTAAACAATATTCGAAGAGGTCTGCACCAATTCAATATACTGTTAAAACGATTTATGCTAATTGGATCATTCCAGGATATACGTTGGAGTTTGCATAGATTTATTAAGGGCAGAATAATAATTTTATAATGATGGAGGAGAAGATTTCAAATAATTAATTTGCAATAATTCTAATTGCAACTTATATCACTTCAATGAGGAGAAATTTAATAATTTAAAGAGTGGAATAACCATTAATGGAATATTTCCTCATAATCTATGTCGTTAGGATTGTAAATTTAATTGTAATTATATACACAGAGAATGGGCTTAAAATGTATGTTTAAATAATATTGTTAAAATCTGCCGTAATAAAAATTGTAAATTTGAACATAAAGAATGGTAATCATTAAAAGAAAAAGCCAAAGCTTGTTCAAAAATTCAATTTATTACACCTGAGGAAATATTTTCTAAAGATAAGTATGATTGTGGAAAATACTCATATTTATTGAAAGATTATTGTAACCTTTATATATAGGGTTTGTGTAGAAATAAAAAGTGTTAAAAAAATCATATAGATTGGGAAAATATTGATAACAAAATGAATTAAACAAATTCTTTAAAATCTTGTATTGTTATTGCTTAAGAAAGAAAAAAGTAAATTCAAACTACAAGTGATGAAGTGTAATTATTTTGCAAATAATCAGAATTTTTTCATTATTAAAAGAGGTTTGATCAATAAAATATTATAGACGTTGTTTTTATAATGGATTTAACTGAATCGATGAAGCAATGGAAAGAACATATGCAAAATACAATGGATACAATAATAGATAAATTTATAAAATCAATTAATGGATATCAAGTTAGAGTAGCATTTGTAGGTTATAGAGATATATGTGATAAGGAGGACTAGATAGTTTATTGGAGTTTTACTAAAAAAATTGATGAACTTAAGAACTTTATAAAGGGATTAGAAGCTAAAGGAGGTGGAGATTATGCTGAGGATATAGTCTCTGGATTCAAATAAGCTTTTTAACTTAATTTTTCTCACCATGAAGACAGTTTATTATGTACATTTTTACTTGCTGATGCTCCTTGTCATGGAAAAGCTTATCATAAATATCATAACTTTTAATCTGATAATCAATTTGATAAAATGCCTAATAACTATTTTGAAGATGTTTTGGAAAAATATAAAAAAATTAAAAAAAATAATTTTCTGTGTTGTATTAAAATTAATGATACTACAGATATTATGTTTGAAAAAATGTAAAAAGCCTTTCCAATGTTAACAATAACAACAAAAAAATAACCTGAAGATTTAAGCGAATTAGTTAAATTTACATTGCTAGAATCTGTAACAAAATCCATACAAAATAATTAATAAACTAATTAAGAGTATGAGTATTAAAAAGCAAATTTCATAAAATTCAAATTAGATACATTTACTGATAAATATGAAAGTGATTATTTTTGGAAATCATTCTTGGAATTTTGCTAAACAAGAAATGGTGAAACAGGATTAAAAGTGTATAAAAAGAAATTAAATATATTAGATGATAATTCATCTACTTATATTTTTAAAGCTTTTGATTCCATAAATAATAGAGAAGTTATTATTAAAATTCCAAAAAAATATGTTGATAATCAAAAATAATTTACTAATGAAGAGATTTCCAGAGATGAAGAATTAGCAGAAACAAGATTTTATTCTTCTTGCTATGCTTGCTAAATGGCATATTTCTTTAATTAAAGATTAAAAGAAAATAATCTATTAAAGGAGATGTAACCTCTCTTTTATGCTCATCCAATTTTGTATACACTTTCAAAACCATTATATGGAATGAAAAAAGTTTATGGTGAAACCTTCATATAAATTTAATAATACAAATTTTAAAAGTACTCTAACAATTCTAAATATATTGATCCTCAAAAATATTTTTATTCATCATTTAGTCATTTTTCATTTGAAGTTAGTAAAGAAAATTTAGTCATTATGGATTTATAAGGAGCTCATAATATCTTATCTGATCCTTCAATCTAAACTGAAGAATCTTGGATATCTATTTTAATAAAAGATCCTACCAATAGATTTAACAATGGAATCTTTGATTTTAAAACTGCATAGCATAAAGAATGCAGTTACTTATGTGAAAAATTAAAGCTCCATAAAATTAATTAGAATACAAAGTATAATTAAACTCTCTGTCCTCCAAATTAAATAAAAAATATGTATGGAATATGTTATGATTGCGATGAATTTATTAGCTTCAATGAAGAGTTACTTAATGATAAAAATAACAATAAATTTACATTTAATTGTAAATTCTGTTCGGATTCTATGTCTTAAAAAAAAATAGATGTATTTTGCACATGTTGTTAATATATGTTCTAAACCTCCATAAACAATTAATTAAAATAATTGACAAATGTAGGGATTTGTTAAGATTGTAAAAACATCTGTGAAAAATAAATTGTTACTTGCTATTACTGTAGGAGAAAATGCAAAAAGATTATGACTGATATAACTCTTAATAATCAAACCTTTGATATCTGCAAGGATGCTTACGATTATNTATTGGAGTTTTACTAAAAAAATTGATGAACTTAAGAACTTTATAAAGGGATTAGAAGCTAAAGGAGGTGGAGATTATGCTGAGGATATAGTCTCTGGATTCAAATAAGCTTTTTAACTTAATTTTTCTCACCATGAAGACAGTTTATTATGTACATTTTTACTTGCTGATGCTCCTTGTCATGGAAAAGCTTATCATAAATATCATAACTTTTAATCTGATAATCAATTTGATAAAATGCCTAATAACTATTTTGAAGATGTTTTGGAAAAATATAAAAAAATTAAAAAAAATAATTTTCTGTGTTGTATTAAAATTAATGATACTACAGATATTATGTTTGAAAAAATGTAAAAAGCCTTTCCAATGTTAACAATAACAACAAAAAAATAACCTGAAGATTTAAGCGAATTAGTTAAATTTACATTGCTAGAATCTGTAACAAAATCCATACAAAATAATTAATAAACTAATTAAGAGTATGAGTATTAAAAAGCAAATTTCATAAAATTCAAATTAGATACATTTACTGATAAATATGAAAGTGATTATTTTTGGAAATCATTCTTGGAATTTTGCTAAACAAGAAATGGTGAAACAGGATTAAAAGTGTATAAAAAGAAATTAAATATATTAGATGATAATTCATCTACTTATATTTTTAAAGCTTTTGATTCCATAAATAATAGAGAAGTTATTATTAAAATTCCAAAAAAATATGTTGATAATCAAAAATAATTTACTAATGAAGAGATTTCCAGAGATGAAGAATTAGCAGAAACAAGATTTTATTCTTCTTGCTATGCTTGCTAAATGGCATATTTCTTTAATTAAAGATTAAAAGAAAATAATCTATTAAAGGAGATGTAACCTCTCTTTTATGCTCATCCAATTTTGTATACACTTTCAAAACCATTATATGGAATGAAAAAAGTTTATGGTGAAACCTTCATATAAATTTAATAATACAAATTTTAAAAGTACTCTAACAATTCTAAATATATTGATCCTCAAAAATATTTTTATTCATCATTTAGTCATTTTTCATTTGAAGTTAGTAAAGAAAATTTAGTCATTATGGATTTATAAGGAGCTCATAATATCTTATCTGATCCTTCAATCTAAACTGAAGAATCTTGGATATCTATTTTAATAAAAGATCCTACCAATAGATTTAACAATGGAATCTTTGATTTTAAAACTGCATAGCATAAAGAATGCAGTTACTTATGTGAAAAATTAAAGCTCCATAAAATTAATTAGAATACAAAGTATAATTAAACTCTCTGTCCTCCAAATTAAATAAAAAATATGTATGGAATATGTTATGATTGCGATGAATTTATTAGCTTCAATGAAGAGTTACTTAATGATAAAAATAACAATAAATTTACATTTAATTGTAAATTCTGTTCGGATTCTATGTCTTAAAAAAAAATAGATGTATTTTGCACATGTTGTTAATATATGTTCTAAACCTCCATAAACAATTAATTAAAATAATTGACAAATGTAGGGATTTGTTAAGATTGTAAAAACATCTGTGAAAAATAAATTGTTACTTGCTATTACTGTAGGAGAAAATGCAAAAAGATTATGACTGATATAACTCTTAATAATCAAACCTTTGATATCTGCAAGGATGCTTACGATTATCTATAAGCATTTACCTGTAATAAATGCAAAAAGTCATATAATTAGAAATCTATTATTTCTAAGGAGGATTACGAAAAAAATACATTCACCTGTTGTTGAAAAATATTAAATGAAATAATATTCAAATCTTATCTTTTAATTTTATTTATACATTACTTTAATTTAAAAATTTTATCTAAATATTATTTTTTTCATTTTCTAATCTTTCAATTTCTTTAATCCTTATGATTGATTACTTACTAGTATCCAAAGCCATACCATATAATAAAAACCAAAATTATTATATTCCAATTACTGCATTTTGAACTTGAAAAATTCTTTAATTTCATTTTTATGATATAATTTTTAGTTTCTTAACTATTTTATTTGATGATGGATGCTTTATATAGATAATATATTAAATTATTTATAATTATGTTATTTAAATTTGAATTTTTAAAGAATAACTAAATTATTTTTCATTCAATAAATCAGAATATTAAACTTGAACCTTCAGGATAATTTGCTAAGTAAAATGATAGGATTCAAGTTAAAAAAATAATGTCAAGCCAGACATAGACACATATCTTTCTTATTTTCTATTTGGAGAATAGCGGAGCCTAGTAAAGTTTTTATAAAGACTTAATCATTAGGTTTAAATGACTTTTGTGTAAATAGAATTTAGCCGTATAATTCTTAAACTTTTTAATTAAGAATCTTTTCTTAAGGTGGATAGAGAAAATAAATGAGTAAGTTATTTTTATAAAATTTGGGCTAGTTTTTCAGGTAGTTTGCTTCAACCAATATTTATATATTAGCATTAATATATAATGTTGAAATCCTTAAATAAATTTAAGATTAATAATGTATTAATAAGTTCATTCATTAATATAAAATGAGTTGGTGATAGGAAGATACTTATGAACTTCATTCTTAAAGGTAAATTTTTATTATAAAAACAAAAAATTAACATTTATTCATACATCTAAACTAGAAAATTTAATTCCTCTTTATAAAGATTATTTTCCCTGACTAAGTTGGTATAATTTATTATATTATGAGCAAATAGTTATTAAATACAGAAATAATATTTAAGGCTAATCTTCAAATTTAATCAGAATGATAGGATAGTAAAAAATAAATGTGATTTTTGTAAATATCAATCTTTTTGTTTTATAAATATCAGAAATATAATTAAGAAAAAAATACAATAAAAAATTATTTCAAGGTCTAATGTTCTAAATTTTCGCTAATATTAAATTCAAGAGTATCCTCAATAACCTATCCTCTGATCACTGTTAAATTTAACTCTAAATTTCAAAAATTAACTTCTAATAAATTACTGATTTAGTAGTTTTATTACAATAGAAAAAATTTGAAATTATCAAAATATTAAACATCTAATAATTCATTGTAAGAGAAACTAGATAACTATTCAATAGCTTTAATATCTTAATTGTAAAATTTAGGAGGAACACAATTTATAAATGATTGTAGAAAAGTATACATAGAATCATAATAAATAAACTGTGTAAATATGAGAAAGTAATAATAATAAAGATAGTTGAATAATATTTCAAGGATACTTTTGACATTTGATAAAACAGAAACTTCTAAATTTGTTATATTATTTCAGACACTTTTCAATTGAGTCATACAATTAGCTAAGTTGAAAGAAATTGTTTTTTTATATTCAGTTTTAAATTCTAAAACTAAATAGCTTAATAAAACAAATTATTTTTATATGATTTTTTTTATAAATTTTCATTAGTAAAAATGAAAAGTTTCATAAAAATTAATAATTCATGTGATAATGATTTGCATAAATAAATTTTAATTCTTTTCTAATTATTTCTAATTTTCATTTGATTAAGATTATATTTTAAAAAAAGTATTAAATATACAAAATATCGTCTGCATTATTAAACACTTCCTTGTGCTTTCTTCTTTAATGATTCTTCAGACGGTATAGTGAGAGAAATCTGTTAAGGCATATATATATATAGATTTTTATAATCTTTACAAGTTTGATTTTATAAAGGAAATGAACTTAAATTATTTGTTCAAGAAGATGAAAAAATATATTCAATTCTAATAGTTTGCCAAAAAACCACAATCTCGATGAATTAATATAATTTTAATACCAAGCCTAATTAGCTAATCCTTAAGCACCAGTATGAAGTTCTAAATTTAATATCGAATTTTTCTGATATCAATTCTTTATCTTCCAAAGGATTGGTGATTTATGATTATTTTTCAATGTATAAGATAAAATCACTTATCATAAATTGATTTTGATTTTGTAAAATGATTTTGGTTAACGTGTATAAAAATACTGTTTTTGAGATTTGAATCAATAAATAAATATATAATTTATTGAAGAAATGATTTTACTAGAGCTTCAAATGCTTGCAGTTATATCCTGCTATTTTCCTTCGGTTTATGAAACTGAAAGTTATAATTTTGTGGCTTTTTCATATAATATCGACTTTAGTAATTTTACATAAGTTTCATGCAATTCGTTTGGATTATGGAGTAAATATAATCCACTTGGCAATACTATATAAATTGGAAATGAAGGGATGCTAGATAGAAATTGTTATCATTTATTTAGTGTATCAGAATAAACAAATAAAGAGACCAATATGTTACTTTATGAGTGTTTGGACAATAAATAATAATCCATAAAAAAGGTTTTTAATTTTATTGATTAAGATGGTAGCATTTATAAATTCGAAATACCAATTAATTAAGATAAATATGAATCGATATGGTACTATTTCAATTTTATGATATCACCTAAAGACTCCAAATTTCAATTTATCCTATATTCTATATCAGAGAATGATTTGAAGTATTATCAAGAAGTTGATGTTGAGTTTCCATTTAAAGATAAAAATTTGAACTTTCTTATTGGAGGAAACTTAGTTGTAAACAGTTAATCAGCTTTTTATTCCGAAGAAACTTCAAGACTTTCATTTTTTCCAGGAAAATTTTAATACTCTAAAACATACTTTATGAATACATGTGATGTACCTTATTTGATAGGTGAAGTGTCAAAATATAAAAATTTATGCTCTTGCTTCATATATGATTTTAAATTGTAATCTCGGATTTATATAAAAGGTTTAGATTTACAATATTTTATTTCTAATTATGTAAATTGTAACACATTCGAATTATAAGGTTGGATTAAACTAACTGATATCAATAATAATAAAAAACCAATTCTATATTAATTAATTAAGNGTAAAAATGAAAAGTTTCATAAAAATTAATAATTCATGTGATAATGATTTGCATAAATAAATTTTAATTCTTTTCTAATTATTTCTAATTTTCATTTGATTAAGATTATATTTTAAAAAAAGTATTAAATATACAAAATATCGTCTGCATTATTAAACACTTCCTTGTGCTTTCTTCTTTAATGATTCTTCAGACGGTATAGTGAGAGAAATCTGTTAAGGCATATATATATATAGATTTTTATAATCTTTACAAGTTTGATTTTATAAAGGAAATGAACTTAAATTATTTGTTCAAGAAGATGAAAAAATATATTCAATTCTAATAGTTTGCCAAAAAACCACAATCTCGATGAATTAATATAATTTTAATACCAAGCCTAATTAGCTAATCCTTAAGCACCAGTATGAAGTTCTAAATTTAATATCGAATTTTTCTGATATCAATTCTTTATCTTCCAAAGGATTGGTGATTTATGATTATTTTTCAATGTATAAGATAAAATCACTTATCATAAATTGATTTTGATTTTGTAAAATGATTTTGGTTAACGTGTATAAAAATACTGTTTTTGAGATTTGAATCAATAAATAAATATATAATTTATTGAAGAAATGATTTTACTAGAGCTTCAAATGCTTGCAGTTATATCCTGCTATTTTCCTTCGGTTTATGAAACTGAAAGTTATAATTTTGTGGCTTTTTCATATAATATCGACTTTAGTAATTTTACATAAGTTTCATGCAATTCGTTTGGATTATGGAGTAAATATAATCCACTTGGCAATACTATATAAATTGGAAATGAAGGGATGCTAGATAGAAATTGTTATCATTTATTTAGTGTATCAGAATAAACAAATAAAGAGACCAATATGTTACTTTATGAGTGTTTGGACAATAAATAATAATCCATAAAAAAGGTTTTTAATTTTATTGATTAAGATGGTAGCATTTATAAATTCGAAATACCAATTAATTAAGATAAATATGAATCGATATGGTACTATTTCAATTTTATGATATCACCTAAAGACTCCAAATTTCAATTTATCCTATATTCTATATCAGAGAATGATTTGAAGTATTATCAAGAAGTTGATGTTGAGTTTCCATTTAAAGATAAAAATTTGAACTTTCTTATTGGAGGAAACTTAGTTGTAAACAGTTAATCAGCTTTTTATTCCGAAGAAACTTCAAGACTTTCATTTTTTCCAGGAAAATTTTAATACTCTAAAACATACTTTATGAATACATGTGATGTACCTTATTTGATAGGTGAAGTGTCAAAATATAAAAATTTATGCTCTTGCTTCATATATGATTTTAAATTGTAATCTCGGATTTATATAAAAGGTTTAGATTTACAATATTTTATTTCTAATTATGTAAATTGTAACACATTCGAATTATAAGGTTGGATTAAACTAACTGATATCAATAATAATAAAAAACCAATTCTATATTAATTAATTAAGCTTAACGCAAACTCTAAGAATCCTTATCTTATCAATGAAAAATTATCAGCATTTTAATTGTTTTATAAATTATCTGAATCTCAAAATTAATTGATTATAACAACATATAGTTTTACATTTCCATCAGTAAATATTAAATCCACTGATTTAATAACCAAAGAATTTGACTTGAATCATAATATTTCAATATGGCATTATTTAATAGCCTATTTAACTGATACTTCATTTAATGTTGAAATTATATTTTCTGAAGGCAATTAAAGATATAAATATACTTTTCAGTGTTTAGTAAATTAATTTCAAGAAGTTAAATTTTAAATGCAATATGGCAATTTATTATAATGTTTAGATTGTCTAAATGTTGAAATTACGAATTTAAAATTTAATAATTGTGCCGAATAAATTACTTTAGAAAATTATTGTCATAATAATTGCAATTAATGTGATGGACCAACAGAATCAGATTGTTTATCATGTAATGAATCATAAAATCGAATATTTATACAAGAATATAAATCATGCATTTGCCCTTATGGTACTATTGATTTAGGAGGTTAATGTTATGATTATTAAATTGATTAATTCAACCTTGGAGATTATATTTTTAAAGGTACATAATGTTCTTATGGTTATTTTGAATTTGATGATAATTGTTTTAGATGGTAAATTTTGATATGATTTAGCCCTTCAATTATAAATGAAATTACAATAACATGCATAGAATGCTTAATTAATCCAAAAGAATGGATAAATGATGCTTATTGTGAATACGAATATATTGCTAATAATGCTTAGAGTCCATTCAAATTAAAGTAGAAAGAGATTAAAGATATTTATTTATTTGATGGAATTGACTTACAATTATGTGAAAGTTGTTAAAATTCAAATAGCATATTCGCAGATTTTACTTCAATGGGTCTATTTTTCAAGAACTTTTGTTAAACAATAGATTCTTAAGAATTATTAGAAAAGTGTTATAAAACCATTTATGAAAATTGTTATATTTTATTTTTATAACAGTAAGGACCATTTTGTAAGTGTTTTGACGATTCATACGTGTTTGAATAAAATAAATGTAGACGCATTCAAAATTTTTTAAAACGATAATTTTGCGAAACTCCATTTTATCTTACTTATAGATAATAATGTGTATTGTGTTCTATTAAAAATTGTATTTAATGTTTTGAATATAATACATAAGAATTGTCATAGAATACTCTATCAGAATCTAAAATTGTTTATGAAAGTGATAACCAGTTTGAAATAGGATGTGCATTATGTAAAGATGGATTTATGTATGATTTTACAATTAAAGAATGTATATATAGAAGACCGTAAATTTAGAATTGTCTTGCATCATACATTAATATTCAAGGTTAAGAAATCTGCACATTATCTTCGTCAGAAGATTTTATTATTGCTCGAACAATAATAAATTGTTAAAAATATATTTAAAATTGTGAATAGTGCTAACTAAACTATTAGTAAACTATTAAATGTATTATATGTGAAGATGGATACACTGTTTTTGTTTATTCTGGTCTTTGCTCAAATGTACCGTAGAAAATAAATGCTTTAAAATTATTTACTTGTAGTCCTAATAATTAAGATTCTGGTCTAATCAAAACATAAGCATTTGCTGAATCATTTTGGAATTCAAAATTAAGTCGTATGTTTAGCACTGGCACTTCAATATGTATCATAGAATGTTTAGATGGGTACAAATTGTACTAAAATGATTGCCTCAAATATTGTGATTCAAATTGTTAAGAATGTAAATTGAGCTAAATAAGTCCAATGGTTTATAAATATTAATGTTTTCTATGTTCCTTAAACTATTATAAGTAGCCTATGAGAATTTCTGAAAATGGTAAATGTTTTTAATGTCCAAATTTATGTATTATATGCCAATAAAGATCAACCTATCAAATATAATAAATAAATAAGTATTTCTAAATAACAGAAGAAAATACGATATTAACAAAAATATGTCTAAAAAGCATCTCATTAACAAATGTCAAACTTGATCCATATTTAAAAATTGCTAGATACTGTTATAATAATTAATGTGATTAATTTATTGAAAAACAAGTAAATTATTTATATTAAATTTAGATTTAATTAAATTGCATCTACAATTTATTTAAACTTGGCGATGATATATCGAAATAATTTATTGAATATAGCAAACAAATTGCAATTAAATTTCTTGCTTTTACTATTACTCTAATTTAAAATACAGAATGTGAATATGAATAGGATTTAACCAATTTTTTTAAAGAGGATATATTTTCTCTTCAAATTATACACTTGAAGCTCAAAGGGGTTTTTATTAATAATAAGTAAAATTTAACATTTGATATTTAAAACTTTGAATTAATTGAATTTAATAGTCTAGAAATATTTTTATAAAGTGATTTATAAATTAATATCTAAAATAGAGATACTAATTTAAGTTTTAAATTAATTGATACTAATTTATCAACCATATAAGAAAACCCAATTTAGATATCAATTGTAGCAAAAAACTGCGTTTACTTTTTATTTTAAAACTTAATAATTTAGAATATTAGAATAAAATATTCTAATGTATTTCAAATAAATTATGATACAAATTCAAATCAAACATCTTTAAAATATTTATAAATGTATAATTGTAAGTTACAAAATTCAATTCTATTTAATTTTTTAAATATTTAATAGAATATTCTAATTGAATAAGTTATTATAGATAGATGTTAATTTGAAGACTCATCTATATTCAATTTCATTTCATACTAAAATAAGACAATTCGTGTTATAATTAATAAAGTTACAATAAAAAATTCATTATTTAAAAATTCAAGCTTCATTTAAAATAATGATAATAATAATTTATTTATAGATTCCTTTTTAATTTTAGATAATTAATTTTAGGATTCAAAATTAATAAGTTTAAATGAAAGAGTTATAGCATATGATTTTTAGTTGAATTCTAATAAATTTGTTTAATCAGTATTATTTACTTTAAGAGAACCAAAAAGAGTAGAAATTGATTTGGTAATGGCTTCTTAAAATTAATTCTAGAATTTTATAGTGATAAATTCAGATTTTCAGTAAACCTCTTAATAAAATTAAATAAGTCTTTCAAATATTAAATTTTAAGATAATATTCATTCTAATGATGTTTAAGGATATCTATTTATAGTCATTTTCCCTTTCATTTAAATTAGTAATGTTTAAATTAAAAATACTTTTAATCAAAGATACTTTTATTTATTAAATACTTAATAAGTTATAATTAAGAACATTACTTATGAAAATGATAAGCAAGATCTAAAAGTTCCATCATCATTAGATTGTTTAACAAATGTTCTAATAAATTCATAGTTGATATAAATTAATGAATTTTAAGACCTCTTAATAGAAAATGTTATTATTTAGAATTAAAAAACACTTGATGTATCACTTATTGATATTTTGTAAACCACTTTATAAATTAATAATTAAACTTAAACAATCAAAATAAGCAATGTATAATTTGTTGGAAATATTTTATTAAAAGCTGGTTTAGGAAATTTATTTTCACTTCTAACAATTTATTCAGAGAAAGTCTTGAGAATTAATTTAGAGAATATCTAATTTTAAGAGAATATATTTAATTAATTTTCTGTTGATCCAACTCAAACTTCTTCTGGTTTGTTATTTATTAATTCATATCGTAGTTCTATTATTTTAAATAAAATAGCATCTAATCAAAATGCTGTAACAAATTCAACAAATACTTTTTTTACTATATTCTCATATTCCATAAATATAACTAATATGTAGGCTTCATTTCATAATCACTTAAGTAAAGAATTTTGGAATAAATATTATGATTTAAATTTGTAGAATACCGTAACATAATAAGAAATTAATTACTTAATTCAAAAAAGTTATTCTTTTATTAATTAAGGAGGTGTAATGAAAATAAGTGCTGAATATTTTACTCTCTATAATTCATAATTTTAATATATTATTGCAGAAAGTAGCACAATATTTAAGATCATTACTTAAGGGTAAGGATTTGTAGATATTTTTAAATGCAATTTCTTATATGCTGAAAATAATTTACTTTCCAACATAGAAAAAGATGGAGCTCTGAATATTGATTCCAGAAGCAGCCATTTACATATTAAAATTACTGATTTATTATTAATCGAAATCCAAAATCAACTTGGACCATCAATATTTACAATATATCCTTCACCTTATAAAAATACAATAATACTTTAAAATTTTTTAATTTAAAATTGTTATTCTTTAAGAAACTCCTTTTTTCAGTTAAGTTTGAAAACTACTTTTAATGATTAAAATAATATTCTTTTTGAAAAAATAACAATAGTAAATACTGCTGAAAGTTTAATTTAATTTCATCAAAAATTAAACTATTTAGATCTTCAATAATTAGAATAAATAATAAATGATAATGCAATCATCAATATTATAGGAGGCAAAGTTAAAATAACAAAATTATAGGTTGAAGGAATTCTTATTCAACCTTTAATTAAAACCTTAGAATGTTCTTAAATAACGTTAACTTAATTATCAATACAAAATATAAAAGTATTTTTCTCTCAACCTTTAATTCAAATAGAATAAATTGGTTTAATTTCTAATACAATACAAATAACAAATATAGTTATGCAATATATATAATTGGGTGTTGTTAAGGAGTTAATTCTTAGTTATTTCATGAAACCAAATATATTATATAACTTGTAAAAATGTAAAACTATAAACTATATATAAACATAAAATCAAAGTAAAGTATCTGAAAACATTACAAATCTATTTGAATCAATCCAATTACTAAATAATCGAGAGGGATCTCTAATTTCTATTAAAAGCTATTCAAATAGAACTAAAATAAATTTATCATCACTTAAGATTATTAATAATGATTGCTAAATGTGTTGGAATGGTATAATTTATTTTAATATGATTGATTTCTTATAAATATAAATTTAAGAGTTATTTTGCATAAAGAATTTTGTCAAAATGTTTGGATGCATTAAAACATTTGCTGAATAAGAAAAAAATGGATAAATATTCATAACCAAATCTTATTTTTTTTAGAATTAGGGTACTTAAGGCATAGCTGTTTAATCTGAGAATGTGAAGATATTTATTAGTAAATCAAAAATTTTCAATAATAATGCAGATTTATATGGAGGAGGACTATATTTAAAATTGTCTTCTGAAGATTTTAGTCTATATTAAACAATTATTATAAATAATAAGGCTAGAGAAGCTGGAGGAATTTATTTAAATTAAACAAGTATTTTAAAGAAGAATAACTTTAATTAATCTTTATTACTTTTTAATTCTGCACTATAGTCTACAAATAATCTCCAAGAATTGCCTTCTTTTTTGGAATTAAACTTAAATAATAAAAAAATGATGTCTATTTCATAAATAATTGGTAATAAATAAATCAACTCTTTAAAATTAAAATCATATAAAGTTATTTCTTAAGGGTAAACATTTTATTCAAATTTTTTATAAATTCCAAGTAATTAAAAAATTTCATCATATAAAATATATGATATTAGATCTTTAAAATTTTATACTTATATAAATTAATGCTCATTAACCTATAAAAATTAGTTAAATGAATAACTTATTAATTTCCAAGATTCATAATGTTCAATAAAATAAAAAATTTATGATATTATAACTAATAAAGAAATAGAGTCTTATAATGTTACTTAAGTTAATTTTGACGATGAAAACAATTATTTTGATCTAAATTCTTTAAATTTCTCTTTTGACCCTTATCAATAAAACACTAAAAAATATGAAATTTAGATTGAATGTAAATTAGAAAATTAGGAAAATGAATTACAATATAATTTGTAAGTTAAAAGTTTTTTTTGTTAATTAGGAGAATTTTATACTTAAAATGGCTGTTAAATTTGTTAATCAAGCTAAGGATTTTATTCTGTAGATTATAATACAACAAAATGTTCAATTTTTGACAAAAATAAATTTGAAGCAATAACTTCGAATTAACTCTAATTGAAATAAGGATACTGGAGGCCAAATTATTTATCTGATATAATTGATTTATGTTTCAAAAAGTTAGACTTTTGTAAAGGTGGATGGTCAGTTGGAAATGATCTTTGTGTTTTTGGACATATAGGTGGATTTTGTGAAGAGTGTGATAAATATAATGTAAGAGGAGATGGATATTTTTTTTAAAATTAATAGAGTTTATAATGTTTTGAATGCAAAGACTTAACCAATAGTATTTTGCCTTTTGTTCTTACGGTTATTTGGTATGAATATATATATATAGAATTTATTTTAGGACTTTATTGATAAACCTTATAACATTAAGAAGCATTTAAAATACTAATAAAAAATTTAATTATTATAGAATGTTTTAAAAATTTGGTTCGATTCTTTTTAAGCTCAATTTAGGTAGTATATATTCATTTGTAAATAGATTATGAGAGTATTTTACTTAAGCTATTTTTAAATTATTTGTGGATATTCTCTTTAATTTTTATATTTAATATAAATCTTGCCTTTAATTTTTTGAGTAGAACAACTGACACATCATATTTTTTGGCAAGTAATTTAGATTGCTAACTAATTCAAAATTTTAATATTGAATTGATATATAGTCGTGTTATGGCAATGCTTTTCTTAATGATTTTGTAAGTAATAATAATTTAAATTGGATTCAATCTATTTGCAATATTATCATCAAGTAAAATTGATTCAAGCATAATTTCAGTTACTATCCTTTATTTATTTATTTAAAATTATGCTGCTTTAATTAGATAGTATTTATTTATCATTATTATTATCATTAGACTTTTTTCAATAATAGCTTAAAGATAAATTTCTAATATAGATTTTATTTAAGGGGATGTATCATTATAATATGGTCATGGTAATCATTTATAATGGATATATTTTTTTGTAGTTCCCATTTTAGCATTAATTGGAGTAATTATGCCTCTAACTATACTTTTACTGTTGTACTTCAAAAGAGATTAGATAAATTAAATTAAATTTAGAAAACATGTTGGATATTTATTTAATGAATATACTTCCGTTAATTTTTTTTGGGAATGGATTAAATTATGGAAAAAAAGCATAATTATTATAATATTAATTTAATTCGAATCATATGTAATATTAAATGGAATTTTTATAGGAATGACTTTAGTAGTTTATTAATTATTTGCTACCTACTTTTCACCTTATGTAAATCTAAAATTAAATAAATTGGATATTTAAAGTGTATAAATTTGTTTGTTCACTATACTTTTGGCAATTGTTAAATATATTTGCGATTAATAAGAAAATGAATTTTACTCAAAATTTATTTAATCTTTGATAATAATATTATGCATCAGATTAAGTATTCCTTATCTGTTTAACATTTGTCGATCTTATTATAAAAGATATAAAACTTAATTATGCGAATTTTTATTAAAAATCTTAGAGAATCAAAAATTTTGTCTAAAATTATCAAAGAAAATAAGCTTCAAAATATAATATTGGAAGTAATAAGAAGAGAGAATTAAAAAAAATTGTTAAAAATTGAGAAAAGTCTTTTCTTCATAAAAAACTTTTGAATAATTTTAAAGGTATCTTCAATCACAATTATTATTAGAAAAAAGAGAACTTTGACTCGTTTTTCAAGTGTAACCAGAGATTAATAATTTAATACCGAGACTGATTGCGAAGAATAGATAAAATTGGCTCTTAAAAGAAACTTAAAATGAATTATAATAAAAAGAAATATGTTGGCCATTGATTTATTATCATATTTTTTTAATAATAATTATGGATTGGTATTTTAAGTCAAATCAAAAATCGATTATTATTTACAATTAATATATATTTTAATAACAACTTTTAAGATAAAGAATATAGGTTTGAGAATAATGTCATATATCTAAATTAAAATAAGTTTACTCAATATTGCTATTTAGAATATTAAAAAAATCTCTCACATAATAATCATCCATATTTTATGTTTTTCAAACTTAAGATTTTTTGATGTTTCAATAACTTAAACTTATATTATTATTCATTTCATGATTACTCAATGTTAGTAAAATATTATTAAATAATATTAATAACCTTTCTTGTAATTGTTATTGCAAATACGAAAAATTGATTAGAATTGTTAATGTAAAAAATAAATTATTATAATTTTTATAAAATTCTATTTTTTAATCATGGGTGAATTTCTGCTAGAATCTAGATTTTATTAATTTGATTAATTTATAATTTTAATAATTCTATCTGTTGTGCTGTTCTTGAATTTGTTATCTTTTTTTTTCTTTTTGATCTAAAAATTGAGATTTCTTAAGTTTAACCTTTAGTTCGAATTTTAAATCCTATATTGTTAATGATCTTCAAAATGAAGTATTCAAAATATCAATTATTCTAAGTTATATTAATCAATTTAAACTTAATAGGATTCAAATTTTATGTTATTTTGGATCAAGCAATAACATTATTAAATAAGTAATTATTTTAACTTTATTTATATAATATATATATCGTCCAAATCTTATCAGAATAGGTGAACTTTATCAAATACAAGATTTTTATACTTAAATTAATTAAATTCATCTTATGGATATCAAGATGAAATAATTGAACTTTTTTGTTTTGGTAAAATAAAATTCTCTAATAAAATAAATATATATCAATTAATCATCTTGCCATACTTGTCAAAAATAGATTAAATTGTATTTTTGAAATAAATTTATGAAATTAATTGAGAATTAGAGGTTTCGGTTATTTTATTAAAAATAAAATAAAAATTAATTGTTATAGAAATTGGCAAATAGTTTTTGGTAAAACAAATAAGCACCCAACAAATCAAATTTTATTCCCTATCCATATTATATTTTATATAGATGTTATTTCTTTAACCTATCATTATTTATTTCATGTTTTCTTTATTCAAACTTTTGAGTTTTTGAACAATAAATTATTTTGTTTTTAAATTTTACTATAATTCTTAGAGAAACAAAATTTTAGTGTTAAAATAATTATGTAATAAATGATAATTTTTAAATTTTAGAAACTTATTTTGAAAGTTTCAAATTAAATAAATTCAATCCCATATTGGTTTATGATGATTTGTATCTTAAAATGGCTCCCCTTAAGAAGTATCTGGATAATCTTACACATTAGACTTAATTTTAATTATTATCTTACATATAATTAATTAAATTTATTTGAGGAATTGAAATACTAAAAAGGAGGTCTGGAAATAATTTAGGGTGGTTCAAATTATTATAAATCATCAGCAGCAGTAATTTCATTTTAATGATTCATTTTGAGTTTAAAGAGAAAGTTCTAATTATTAATCAAAAAAATGTGTTTCTATTTTTTGATTCTTTTAATAATTTTTTGCTATTGTATTTAATCTTTTATTTTTGTTTTAGTAGAGATCTTTTAATTGAAACTTCTTCTTTGATTTTAATTTTAGAGATAAAACAAACTAAAATAACATTTAAAATAATTTACTTTTCTTTTTATAAATAATCTGATAAATATATAACTTACTTTTTTTCATCTTCTTCTAGTTAATCTCCTATTTCAATTGATCTGTTTTTAGTAATTAACTTTATGAATAATTCTTTCATTTCTGTTGAAATATTGGGGTATTTTTGATTGTTGTTATTTTTACTAAATATATTTGAAATTAGTATAGGTCGCAAAGAAGCTGTAATTTAGGAACCTTAATTGATAGAAGATATGATTACTTTTATTCTTTTGATCATTAGATAGAGATGCTTTCAATAATCTCCTATAAACCTTCTTCACAAAGGCATAAAATTAATTCTTGACATCCTAATCAGTTCTATTATTGAGTTTTTCTGCAATGCAAGTCTAATTATAAGTAAATTATACCCATTTATTCCCATATATCGAAATGAGCTCAAAAAGTTTATCAACCTCATGTTTAGTCAATTTATTCTTATTGAATTTTGAGTCAAGGTAATTTTAAAATCTTTCTCTGCAATCCTTAGGATTCCTTAAATACCCTTTTTTGAGAAGCTCTTCTGATATTTTACTCCAGGCTTGTTTTTGATTGATATATATATTAACAAATGATTGCAAGAGGTCATCCTCCTATTTTTGTAAATCTATATACCTGTTCTGTCCAAGGAATTCTCTTTTTGCTTTGAAATCTTGAGCTACCCGACATTTAATAATTATCAAAAAAAATGAAAATTAAAAAATTTTAAAGATATTTAAGAAGTCTAGTTCAATTCTGTTGGATCCTGTAGCAGTAAAATGAGGTAAATTAAATAAAATTTAATATTATAGAACACTTTACTTGTTGAGGTTAGTTTAAAGAATGAATCTTTAAGATAAAAAACTTGATCATAACAGCCATAACGAGAATATTTAGAACTTACAAAAAAATATAATTATATCTTAACTTTTCAAGTGTTAAGTTATCTCTAGAATCAAACAAAAATAGTAGTCTGTTAAATATTACTCTAAACTTGTACTATTTTCTGTAAAGGAAATAGAAGTAATCTTTTCAATAAAAAAACTTCAAGTTTTAAATCTTTCGTTGATCTTTCCTTTTTTAAGTTAAATTTTGTAAATTATTCTCAAATTCATTAATAAGTTAGATAACTCATTAAGTGTAAAAGTATTAATCTATTTCATCTCCTCTGATGATTAACATTATTGGAAAATAATCTTCTAAATTTTGTTTAATTTTAATGGAACTTAATGACAATTAATTAGGTAGTTTAAAAACTTGCTATAGTTGGAGATTGCAATTTCAAAACCTTTTGGTGGGATTGTAATACCAACTTTTAATATTTTTTTGTAACTTTAATCTCTATTAAAAACATATAAATTATTAATTAAAATTTTTTAATAAATATTTATATTATTATATTATATTATGTTATTAATTAATTATATTATTTTATTTAGTTTGAATTTTGAATAATTTAGGGATGTCAACAGTTCCACTTATAAAATGTCCAACTCATAAGGATTACTTTATAACAAATATGTGTTTATTGAAATAATGCACTGAACCATTATGTCCTGAATGTATTCCTAGACATATTAAGGATCATGCTGCTAATGGATAGATTCCATAGATAGAAAATATTTAAAATGTTAGATAGGAATAAAAAGCTATGGTATTTGACATAGTTTAGAAATTGAATGAATAATTATTTTTATTAAGTAGTACAGATGAAATGGTGATTATGAATAATTTGTATATGAAATTAGAATAATAAAAATAAGAAATTATAAAATCAATAAACAAGAGATTTGATGAATATAAATTGGAGTTATAATAGAGATTTAGAGAAATAAAAGGTACAAAAGAGAGCAATAATAAAGAGAATGTAGAAATAGTAAAGATGGTATTAAATAATTAATAAAATATATAGTAATTATATAAAATGGATGGTTTACTAAATAAATTTGAAAGTCAGGAATATATTTAAGCAATATTAGAAACATTTTTAAATGACATAGGTCCATAAATATATTAAAATTTGGAGAAGAGATGTTAAGAATATCAATAATAATTTCCAGATTTATTGATAAATAATAATATTTAAAATCTAATAATATAGGATTTAGATCAATATATACAGATTGATAATAGAAGTTAGAAATAAAGAATAGTATCATTAAGAGAGTAGGAAATAGTATAATAATTAACAGGAGAGAAAGCAATATAAGTTTAAAGTTAACAATAATAATTTGAGATAAAGAAAGAAAATGTATCGGAAATAAATGGAAATAAAGAGAGTAAGTAATTATTAAGAAATAATGTTTATACAAAATCATATTAGAGTAGTTAAAATCAAAATATTGCAAGAGAGTAGTATCCTTAATCTTAATCATCTTTTAAACCTTAATTTGTTCATAATACTTCTGAATTAATAAAAGTGATGTAGGATGATTAAGTATAATAGTTAAGGATAATAAGTTAGTAGTATGAAAACAGTTTAATAAAGAGTAGTGAAGAGATATTAGTAAGTTGTTACGAGGATTAGAGAAAGATATTGATATATAGGATGCCAAAATTTATATAACCGTTAAAGAATATAAATATTTAAGATTTTTAGGAGATATAATTGATATTAGATAAACGTATTGGGGTTGGACATAAATGTATAGTATATGGGAAAGATATATTAATAATAGGAGGGATAGAAAGAGATGTAGATAGAAATGTGAGTGTTTAGTCAGTTTATAGAGTAAATTTAATATAAAAGACTTTAAATTTGCATTCAAATATGATTCATAGAAGATAAGGATTTGGTATATGTTTAGTAGATACATGTATTTATGTATGTTGTGGATCGTCAACAGATTGTGAAGATAGTAGTATAAATACATTAGAGAGATTTGATGGTTAAAGATGGAGTCCTTTAAGATCTTGTATGTATGCATGTACAGGATGTTCATTAGCAAATATTAATAATGAATATTTAATAAAAATAGGTGGAATTGATAAACAATTTATAAATATTCAAACTATTGAAGTTTATTCTATTAGATAAAATACTTGGTTTGATTTATAGATATTTGATACTTAAGGTAATTTATGGAATGAAATACCATTACATAGTGGAGTTATATAAATTAATTAGACTGAATTATTGATATTTGGAGGATAAATTGGTGAAGAATTTATTGATAAATCTTATGTAATCACATTAGATTTTACAACTACTAGTATAAGATCTGGAATTATAAGAAGGTATTATATATATATATATCTAAATATAGAGCATTTTAAATACCTACTATTGGATATGTCGATTAAGTCAAATTACATGAAAATTCAGTTTATGCAATCATCACTGGAGGTGTACATTTAGCTGGAACTAAAAAAACAGTCATTAATTGTAATAGTGATAAATGGATATATATTAATAATATTAATGAGTGATAAATTTCATAAATTGAGTAATAAATGGACAATATCTGAAAAATATAATGCTAATCAAAACGTAGATTATAAGAGAACTATTGTAGATATCTGCTCTTTTTCAACTGTTGAAGAATTAGGATTTCTTATGAAGAAAACTATTTATTCAAAATTATCTGATATTTTAAGTGAACCTTAAAAATGCAAAATGTAATTATCATCTATTATAATAGATTCAAATAATTCAATAATGAAGATAATACAGATGCATAAATAGAAGCCATTTAAATTTTTAAAAACGATATTAAACCATGGTGGGAAGATGATAATAATAAAAATGGAGGAGAAATTCAATTCGATATTTCTACATAATATTATGCAGTTTATGATTCAATTTATTAAGATTTACTTTTATAAATTGTAGGATAAGCTACAGAACAATTAAGACATGTATATATTAGATTTCTTTAAATTTAGATTAATGGATTAAGAGTCTTAGATAAAATAAATGCTAAATAAGGTAATAGAATTAGAATTGAATTATGGATGGATATTGATCCAAAAGATTAAGATGAATCTATTTCAAAATTAATAGATTGGATTGATAACACTTTGAAGAGACATAAAATTGATATTGATTAAAATTTATTTAATAAAGTTTCTCATAAAAAATGAGAAATATTATTTAAATTATATATATATATATATATAAATTTATATTAAATATGGGATCGGTAGTTTGTACAAATAAAAAAAGTCCACCTAGCACTTTATTATCTGATGTTCCAAATCCTTTTTTAGTTGATGAAAATCGTATGGAAGTTAAGGATAATAATGATAAATATTTTGATGAAGGAGAGTTAAAAGAATTTGAAAACCAATAATTTTAAGTTTAAAAAATGGTGAATAAATGTATTAAGTATATTTAAAATAATTAATTAAGATGGCAGTCATTAAATCATTATTTAGGATCTGGCTCATTTGGTTCTGTTGAATTAGGAAAAGATATTGAAAATGGATAATTTATAGCAGTGAAACAATTATCGATAAAAGGATACAATCCTAAATAAATTTAGACTGTATGTATTCAATTTTGAAGTAGTTAGAAAATTGATTAATTTGAATAAGAAATATTAGTACTATCTAAATTAGATCATCCAAACATTGTTAAATATTTAGGAATGGAATAAACTTAGAATCATATCAATTTATTTCTTGAACATGTATCTGGAGGTTCAATTAAATCATTACTAGAAAGGTATGGTAAATTCCCAGAGAATTTAGTCTAGGTCTATACTAAACAAATATTATAAGGAATTGAATATTTACACAAACATGGAATTATACATAGAGATATTAAAGGAGCTAATATTCTAGTTGATTCAACTGGAATTTGTAAATTAGCTGATTTTGGATCTAGTAAAAGATTATCATTTGCCAAAGAAGAGTGTAAGACTTTTACAGGAACACCTAATTGGATGGCACCTGAAGTTATTAATGGAAAAGGTCATGGAAGATTTGCAGATATATGGTCTTTAGGATGCACAATTATTGAAATGCTTACTGGAAAACCTCCATGGTGTGATGAAACTAAAAATTAATATCAAATCATTATGGAAGTTATGAAAGGATCTCCTCCAAACATACCTTCTCATTTAAGTTCTTCAATTAAAGAATTTTTATCACATTGCTTTTAGTATTAATGATAAAATAATAAATATAGATAAGAACCACATAAGAGATGGAATGTTATAAAATTATTAAATCATCCGTTTATTCCAAATACTAGCAATACTACTTTCTCTGTTGATATTAGTAATATGTTTAAACCACTACAAAAATAAATAAATTGATTAAATAATATTGTTATTTTGTAATTTAATAAATGGATTAAGAAGATCTTGAGATAGTATAATATCTAATATAAAATAGGAAAAAGAGGTGAATGCAATGTTAATTTAAAAGTTTTGGAGATTAAGAAAGCACAAATATGCAGCATAATAGGTAGTACCTTCATTAAGAGAGAAATTTCATTTTTATTACTCAAGTATAAGTACAAATATGAAGGCCACTACTTCAACATAAAGGTACAATATGAATAATAATAATAATTAGATTATTTACATTTGTTAAAAATAAGAAAGTAAAATATTTTGCCTTTAATTTGTGTGACAATCCAATGTGTTAATAATGGGTGAAATAATAAAGATTAAATTAAGATCCATTACCATTTATTTTTATAAATAAAGTATATATTGGATCAATGGATGATCTATAATTACTGATTGATTTTCACCTTTTTGATTCAATTTTAAAATAGGGTAAGAGGAATAAAAATATTTATAGATTATTTGAAAAAATGTTTAGCATGTAATACTCCAAGAGAATAATTGGAAGATGAGAAATGTAGTAAATGCAAAACTAATTATATTTTCTTTGATAAGAAGAATTAAGGAGTGAAGATTTGTCCAAAATGTAGAGATCGCTAGAATGAAGATACAATATAATGTTAGAAATGTTAGATAGATTGCATTAAAGTTAATGAAGTGTTTATCCATTTAAGGGAAATACAATGATTATTAATAATTTAAGAAGTTGTAAATCAATAATCTAAATAACAAAATAAGTATAATAAATCAAAAATTCTTCCTTTTTATCATAAATTATATTGATAAACATGAACAGCACAATATGCCAATAGTAAGAGTCAATGGTGATAAAAATAGCATTACTAAAAAGAAATAAAGTATTCCAAATCCAATTTTAATAGACCTAATCTTAATTTAACCAATTTAAATTTAAAAACTTTTAGAAAGTTTTATGATTGAATTTATAAAGTAAAATGGTATTGAAGTTATAAATATAGCTAATAATATAGAGAACAGTATATTAAGTATATTTAGCATTCTTAAAATCTTTTTTATTCTTACTATTATTCGTCTACCTTAATCTCCATTTATACTTCTAATAATTAACATTAAATTCTTATATCCTGAGATACAAATGATTGAATTGGGAAATTTATTGCTTGCCACTTTTTATTTTATGTTTACTGATTCTCTAGTATTTAATGATGATTTGGCTCAAAAAATTAATCAGAATCAATATAATCATTTGGTTAATATTTAAGAGGTAACTCTTTATTAAAGAAAAGTAGATCTGTGACTAACGGACTATCATTATTTAAATATTAAAAAAATTAGTTATTAATATTGAGGTTTATGCTATTCAAATTAATAAATCTATTACATCTGATTCATTTTTATTAAATATGTTATTGTACTTTATACTTTATATTATTACAGATGAATTATCATCAGCATTACTAATATAATTATAAGAATCAATTAAGTATTTAAAATCTATAAATTTTTATCTCAAATCGTCTAAAGTTCCACTTGGATTAATAATAAATCCATCGTCAATAAATCTATAAGCTCCATATAATTTATATATTTTAAACACAACCAAAATTAATCGGAGCATTTATATCAAGATCATAGATATAATTATTTAGATGTATTAACTCTAATAAGTATATTTAAGTAATTTTAAAATAAATTCACAAATAATTTAAAAAATATTAGAATTATGTTTTGACTAAAAAAATAAAATAATTTCATAATCATACAATTTATATTTAATAATTTGCAAATAATACTTTTTATAAATTGAAATAAAATGTATGTTCATTCGATTCCTGAATAGAGAGCTAGTAAAATACCAAAAAATGGCAATATAAGGAGAAGAAAAGGTTTGAATAGACATTTAGGAATTAGATAGGATAAATATAATTCAAGAAGATTAAAAGAGATTAAAACATAATTTAGCACTTATAAAATACTAATTAATATGATTCAGTAAATCCAAATTATATTTGAGCTTAGAAAGAAGATCATATATAAATATTAACATCGGATACTATAATATGTTAGTTGATGGAGTTAAATGAGATATTATATTCAAAAATCTTCGAGATTATGGTCCTTAAGATATTTAAAAGAATACAATTAAACAGAAAATCTAGAGGATGAAGAATTAGAATATGAAAATATGTTTTAGAAATGAAAATAGATGGATTGGTAAAACTATTTCCTTTATTAATAAAATTAAGAGTGAAAAAAATGAAAAGGGTATTATTTAGAATTTGTGGATTTATGGATGTATGGATGTATGGATGTATGGATTGTCATGATTGAATAAAATAGTTTAAATATATTTATATAAGAATGATGCATATTTTTGAATTGAAAATTACAATAGGAATAGAAGAATATGAGTAGGTATATGAGAATTAAGCTTAAAATAATTTAGGTTTTTTAATGAATAATGAGTAAAATGTATATATAAAAATATTAATAATGGACGTTGATATAAAATAAGGTCGTTTAAAAGCAGTCCGAAAGAATGGATTGATTAATGGGGTTAATTGTCATTAATCAATAAGTTGGATATACTGTCTGTTTGATATAGTAATAGGATATGTGTTTGCATTTGAATTTAAACATTCTGGAATTAGAGTAATTAATGTAATAATGTAGGAACTTTAATTGATATTGCTTACTGTAATAGTTACTTGTATAGTTTATTCATGTCTTAGAGCTACATTGATTGATCCAACAGATTCAGTAGTTAAAGAAGAGAAATTATCAAAACTACAAGGGTAAATTGAATAATTAATATTCAAGTAAAGAATATAAAACTGACATTAAATCATATTGTTTAGTTTGTTAAGCACATATATAAGAAAAGTCTAAACATTGTTGGAATTGTAATAAGTAAAAAATAATATTATTAATTAGGTGTGTTTCTAAATTCGATCATCATTGTATTTGGTTAAATAATTGTATTGGAGATTAAAACTATTCTTATTTCTTTCTATTAGTATTATCTTTAGTAGCACTCAAAATATTTAAATTAGGATAGGATATTAAATTACTTTATTAGCAAACTGATTTTCAGATTTTAGTTTATATTTGTGTTTCAGTAGATCCTCCAGTATTAATTGTTTTAGTATACTTATTATCTATGCATTTATATTTTAAGTAATTAAATATCCTATTTTTAGATGGAACTAAATATCTACCTATGAATATATCAAATCTAAAAAAGATGCTTAAGATAAAAAAACTAAAACATAAAACTTATAATAAAAGTAAATTTAAAATGAAAGCTCTACTGGTTATGGATAATTATTATCAACTTCAAAACGTTTTGATTTAAAATCACAATTATCCTTAAAAACTGGGGATTCTAAAAAATCTAATCCAAACTTTTTCTCTCATAAATAAGATGAAGAAAAGAAAGCTAATTAATAAACATAATAATAATTTACATAAATTCCAAGTTTATTTACTTCTAAACCTACAACTCCTGGAAATGATTAAGATAAAAAATAATAAGTTTCATAATTCTCAAAACCAAAAGATCTCGATGATTTAAAAGATAAATAAATACATAATCAAGTGATAGCTGAAGATTCTGAACCATAATTAAATGAAAGTTCTGATGATGATGATGATAATGATAATCATCATCATTATTAAAAACCTCATCATTGTCCTCATAATAGTCATAGTTCTGTTTTAAATTATAACAATTTTGAATAAATAAATTGCAAAATAGAATAATTTAATAAAAAAGATATAATAATTAAATAAGAAATTGAAATCAATCCAGATAAACTATCTGATGATTAAGAAGGATTATCAAATTAGTAATCTCTTCATGCTGAAAAATCTCCTCAACCTTCTAAATGTTATAAATTTCATTTAGAAATATAAGGAGATTCAAAAATTAATATATCAAATAATAAATAACATTTAATAGCTGATAATTGTACTCAATGAAATTTTAATTATTATATAATTAATTAAATTATTTTAATTAAATTTATGAATCATAATTAATCAACTCCTTCAATTTCAGATGAATTACATACTAAATTAGAACCAGGTGTATGTTCATTATGCTAGAACTCTTTAAAAACTAATTTTTTAGAATCAAAATCAAAGAATCAACCTTACAATAATTTTAATTACTTCTATTTAACATCCAAAAATAAAAATTAAACTCCTAATAAATATATTATTTTTATTTGTAATAAATGCCATTAAGAATAAATTAAATTATAACTCTAATTTAGCATAATATATTCTAATTAATTATTAGAACATAAATTTTTGATTAACTAATTGAGTATCTATTAAAAAGCAGCTAAACAAGAAGATTTTAATATATCATTTTAATAAAATTCAAATTAAGCTGCTTAAGGTTATTTGTCAAATTAAAATATTTTATGTTAAAATTGTAGTAAATTAGAATAATAATTTGAAGTATATGAAAAAAGTTTTATAAATTATGCTTCTTGTACATCTCAGAGAGCATTTGAGATTGCAAAATTATTAGCATAAGAAGAACTTGAATAAGATAAAAGATTATGTAATTAATATTAAGAAGCATTACAACAATTTAATAATAGCAATGTTTAATCTGAATAATTCTATTTGATGAAGAAGCTTTAAAAAATATAGAAAAAATACCAATATATAAGTCAATTAAAGATAGTGAGTTTGGAAATGTTTAAACTAAAATGAAATTAAGATTTAATTTGATTTTGATCTTATAATATATAATTAATTATTTTATCATAGATAAAAATGACAGAATTTACTCAAATTCAAGATGATATTGTGATTGAAGATTTGAAATGTTCATTTGTCAAATGTAAATCTCCCTTAGTACCATAAGGAAACAACAACAAATTTATGTATTATTTTTATAAGTTAAACCAACCAATATTCAACACTTCAGGCAATATTATATAAGGTGAACCTGATCCTAAAGCAACAGAGATTAAATTTATATGTTGCAATTGTATCAATGTATTAAAGAAGGAGGGTTAATAATTTATAAAAAATATTGAATAGAAAATAGATATTTAAAAAGAATTATATAGTGTTTATACTAATAAGGAGGAAAGAGAATCTACAAGTCCTCCAAAGTAAGGCATAATAACTTTAGAAAAACAATATTGTAAAAAATGCATTGATAATCAAATTATCACTAAGGCATTTGATGAAAACATTCAAAAACGTGGTCATACAAATATTAATTAAACTGTTGAAATTGCTAAATATTATGCTGAAGAACAAGTATTAATATTATATCATTATTTAGTATCATAAAGATAAAGAGACTCTAAATTAATTAAAAATTCGATTGTCAAGGCTTAATAATGAATTCTCTAATCGTATGGAGAAATTACTCATTTTAAATAAGATTAGAATGATTATGAAAAAATATGATCGTATTGCTTGAGATTTAATATAGAATTTAAATATTGGCAATATATTATATATAATTATTCATTATTCATCTTAAGGAAAGTACATATCTTTTAAATTTCTAAAAAATTCATTGAACTCATATTCTGCATAATTTAAAAAAAAAAATTCCAATTACTAAATGGAATTAATTTCTTAATATAAAATTTTATTCACATATTGATAATTAGTTGAAATTTAGTCGAAATCACAAATATTATTTATTTTAATACACATTAAGAGAAGCAATCTAATTAAAGCTGTATCTCTTCCTTAGCAATCTTTAAAAAACATTAAATTTTCACTTAAAATCTCTCTATAAGGAATTTTATACTATTCAAAGATTTCATATTATAAATTCTATATTTTATAAAAGTAAAATTACATTATTTATGAAAGGGTCATTTTATGGTAATTGTTGATTGAATATTTGATAGCCTTTTTATATTTATTTGTAAGTAAGACCTTAGAATACTTATTTTTCTTAAATTAAATCCTATTATAATTTTAATTTCATTCTTTTATAATCTTTATCTTGAACAATAAATTCCTTCCATTAGTATTCATCAATAAAAAATATATTTTTATCTTAATTTAAGTCATTTACTAATTCTTATTTTAAAACAATAGATATTTTACTAAGTGCAAAGCATACTTTCCATAAACATAGATCATCACTTAATTTTCTAAAATTTAAAATAAATTCACTCAATTTTTTCAATAAACCAAAACGATATAAGGAAAAGAATATTCTATTCCATATATCTTAATTACATTCAATTGTATCAAAGAATATAGGAAGTATATTTAAAAGATCTTTATTAATTTTTTCAGATTACATCATAAAGTTATTATCTATTTTATCTTTTTCTGAATCAATAATAGGAGGAAATAGATCATCTTCAAAACTTAGATCAGGTGATTAAGGGGGATTTAAATCAACTTCAGAAACCATAAGTTTATTATTAAAAACAAGTTAAGGCCCTTTTTTAGCAATCGCTATATTATTTTCAATTATAAAAGGTCCACTTTCTAAAAGTTTAACTTCAAATTCTTATCTTAATTACAACTGATCATTAATTTGAATGCTAAATTTATTGAAATCATTTGAATAAAAATTCAATAATTTTGAGTTCTATAAATTATCAAATTTTTAAGCTAATTTAATGAAGTCAATTCTTTATTATTTATTTTTTTATAATAATCCCTACATAAATAACTTTAAATGTTGAGAGTAGTTGGTTTCTGCAATAGCTAAATTGATTGTTTCTTCTAAATTTGCAAAGTTTTTAAGTGTGTAAACAGGAAGTTCTTTTCCAACTGTCAAATAATAAAGAACTCTTCCCAATAAAAATACATCTATTTTTTCATTCATTTTGATATCACATACTACTTCAGGTATTTAATAATCCATTTTTGGATAATATCCAAATTCCATTAAAATTGGTGTCTAACCATTAACCAGAATAATATTATCTATATCAAAGCATCTACCAATAATTTAATTTGAATGTAAAACCATTAGAGCAGATACTATGTCAGAAGCTATTCTCAATATTACTTCTTCTTTTGGTTTACAAAGATCTCTCAAAGTTTTGTATTCTCCAACATATTCAAATGCATAATAACCATGTCCATTGGCTTCCTTTATATATTTTCTTAAATGTTTGCAATTATGACTAAAATTCAAATCTTGAGCAAGATAATTATCTAAATCTTGACTCATAGTATTCTTTTTATAATATGCAAAATATTTTTAAGCTTAATTTGATACCTCTCTTATATCAAATGCTGAAGACTTTATTCTGGAAGGTTCACCAACTTATTTAGTGTTCATAATTTAAATTAGATTTAATATTTATTTTATTAAAAAAAAGAACTTAAGCTATACCACTAAATAGATCTAAATGTCAAAAATATTAATTTTATATTATACATTATAATTAAGTCAAAAACAAGGTATATATTTTCCTCTTTCTTAACAATTTTTATTAAAATACTCTTTTTTTATAATTCATATCATTAAAACTTTTCTTGTTTATTCATTGTTCAAATTCTTCTTATCTTTTAAAAATCATCTTTGTCTTTAAAATTTCATATCTCGTTTAATAATATTCTAATTATATAGATAAAATAATACATTTGCGAATTAACACAACAATAAATTCTATCTGAATTACCAAGCCTTAAAGATATTTTCATCTCGATATTTAAATTGTTCATGTTTAAAGTCTTAAAAAATTAAATTTAATATCTCTAAAGAAATTTCTGTATATAACTCAACACTCAAAAAAATAAAGAATTTTATAATTATAGGTATACATTAATTATTATTGATAATTTAACTTTCAAATTTATTTAATACATTATCACGATTATATTTCTATGTCATTATTTGATTGTTTTATTTATTTTTGAGTTTTATCTATTGAAAATATCTAAAATTGTCCATTCATGTAGTAATAATTTTTTCTGATATTTGTATTAAAAGAGATTTTATCAAAATTAAGAAATATACTTAAAGTCATTTATTTAGTTAGTTACTACATTTTCATCTAATTTTTTAGGAGTCTATAAAAAATCATTAAACAATATATATTATTAATTTTCCCATCTCGTCTAATAATTTTTATTGTTTCTACCATTTAAGACTCTTAAAATTAGAATTTAAAAAAACAATCTAATGATTTAAGTTGAAAATTGCTTCAGTCTATTTAATAATATTATATTTCTATATGTAGAGTATGCTATAAGAATATAAAAATTTTGCAGATATTGGTGGCATTAAAAAAGTTATGTTAAATCTTTGTAATTAAATTCTATAGGGAACTCTTATTTAAAAGGATTCAATTATAAGTTATAAAGAAATAAGTCAAGATAATACTTTATTCAGTTTATCAGATTGTAAATCTAATTGATTCTCCTAATAATCTTAAAGTTTGTATAATACAGTTAATAAAGAGATGAAATGATTGTTTATTTCGGATTTCTATAAGAATTATATCTTTTTCTTTATTTTGTTAGGGTTAGAGAAAAAACTAATTTAATTTTAAAATTATCTTAAAACTCTATGAATATGAAATTTGAATAAGAATCTTTACTTACATATTCTTATGTAAATTCAAAAAGCAAGAATAAATAGAAAAGTCTAACTGATTTAAACAATAGCATTATACTAATAATAAGCTTAATCATCTTTATAGTATTTAATATGTAATTAAAAATATATTTTAATATATTGAATCTTTATTATTTTTAGGTAAAAGTAGAACGCAATCATTCATTAAATAATTTATTATAATGGATTGAGTTTTAGTCAAAGTTTTATATGTTAATTTAGTATGAAAATAATTTTTAATTGTATTAAATATTATTAATATAATAAGTTTATAAAAAATGCATAAACATAATATGCATAGTGTATCTGCTCATAGAAGAATAATTTCATCTTCCATAAAACCTTCAGTAAGCAGAATAACTAGTGCTTAATCCAAATCTAAATCAAGTTAGAAAATTCTGAATTAAAGTCCTTTAGGATTTTTCTTAGAATCAATTGTACCTATTGATCAAGAGAAATCAAAAGTTCCTTTAAAAATAATTGAAAAATATTTTGATGAAGGTTATTTATTTAATAATCATTAATCAGTTATTTCTACTTTAAAAAATGTTTCTGGGGAAGTTAAAAAATATTTAGAATACAATTTTGTCGAAGTTTAAGAACTTCAAAAATCTTTTTCATAATATTAAGATAAAGATCCAAAATTATTGTTTCGTATGTATGAGACTCTAATAAATTTAGATAAAACTATTATTTAAGATCTTTTTGATAATAAAGAATAATAAAATAATTTAGATGTTAAATAACATCCAAAAAATCATTTTAGATTTGATGTATTAATAAAATGCATAGAAATACTAAATGAATTAGTGAATAATATATTAAAAATAATAGATGATTAAGCAATAGCTATATTTTTTGAATAAATTTGGAAAGCATTAGTGATTATATTAGATTTGAACACTTAATGGTAATAAGATCGTTTTCAATCATTAGTTGATATTTAAATAGAAGGTTATAAAGAAAGATTAGAATAAATGAGGAATGAACATAAATAATAAGAAGAAAAGTATTAAATGTAGTTAAGAGCATATTAATTAAAGCTTGTAATTGAATAAAAGAAGAATGTTTCATTAAGAGAAGAAAATAATAATATTTGTTAGCAATATAATCATTTAGAAGATTAAATGAATGAACTTAGCAATATTGAAAATGCTAAAGGAGATCTATAAAATATTAATCAAAAATTACATGAAATGGATTTAAATTTTATGAGATTCAATAAAGAAATATCTGAGTCTCACTAGTAGGCTTCAAATTCTATTAAGTAATTAGCTAAGTTATTAACTGTCAAACCAATATAACCAAAATCATTTATACAATAAAAATATGAATAGTTAAACTTATATTATAAAGAATAAAAACCTTTTATTGTATTAATGATTAATCCGTTAATTGCCTAAATTGATATAGAGTTTTATCATGTTGATCAAATCAATAAAAAACAATTAGCATCTGATTTCATTTAATTTGTATTTTAAAATCTTACATCTTATCCTTCCTAATCAGCAGTTGAACTATATGCAATTTGGATCCATTTAGATGAATAATAGTTTGTTAGTACTCGTATAGAATTATTGAATAAATTGAATCAAAATAATAACAAAGATTTTTATATCAGTGTATGTTAATAATTCTTAGGAATTAATATTAAATCTTCTTCATCTCATAAAGTCATTGAAGAAACATTAAAATATATTAAAATTATTGAACTTGCCTTGTTACAATAAACAACATCAAATTAAAATTTACCAAGAAATAGCTTATTTTTAAGGTAAAATAATACAATTGATTTTGAATTAGAAATTAATTTAGCAAAGTAATGTAATTATGTTCTATAACTTTAGTTATTCAACCATTCTACCTTAATAACTTTATGAATATATAGAACAATCATTTCAAACTAATATGAAATTAATTGAATTTACCTATTATACTATTGCATTTCTCTAATAATAAGAAATATTAAAATGGAATTCTTTAGTTAAGTTTTATTTGAAAAATATAAATAAATTTAGTTATCGCTTAGATTCGATTGAACAGTTCTATAATATAGATACATTATTAGTATTTAATTTTATTCATCATTAGATTTGGTAATACGTTATTATTCATTAAAGATTAATGATTAATAAAAAACAAGATGAAATAGTATCAAATGAAGAATTTATTTAATAACTATATTAACTTTGGCTTTAACATCCAAGATGTTTAATAAAACCAACAAATGAATTATAATTGACTTAATCAAATTCCCCAACTTCTAAAAAAGTATAAATTCAAGCATCTTAATAAAAATTAAGCCCTTAATTAAGAAAACAAGGAACTATGCAATCTGAAACTTCTCGTAAGAAATGATTAATTTATTTTTTCTAAAAATGAAAATATATAATTAAAATTGTATTAAAATGAAATAAAGTCTTGCCAAAGAAAAACTTCTCCAATATAATAGCAATTAAATGTCAGATGTGTTAAAATATTTATTAAATTCCAATAGTAAAATAACCCATTAATCAACTAAATTGCCTCCATTATCAATAACAGAATCAATAAAGATTTCACAAAAAAATAAAAGATCAAGAATTTATTCATTTAATCAAGATATATCCTATTAAGGAACTTCAAGAATTGATTTGACATAATAAATTGACACTGCAGAATATACATATAAAGAATTAACATAATAATCTACTTTAAAACATCCAAAATTGTAAATACCTTCACACACTGACAGATCAATTGATGGAAGTCCTTCTCTCTAATCAAATAAAACATTCAAGGTAATTCAAAAATGAATAGAAGTTTAAATATCCTTCAATGTTAGAGTCATTTAGATTAAAAAATACAAATTTACTAAGCTAATATCTTGAAGAAAATAATTAACGATTCTGTGAAATTATCTAAAAGAAAGATTTAGAAAAATTAATATCCTATTTACATTATCCAATTTAATATTCATAGGAATAAAATGTAATTTATTATAATTTGTAATTAGTAACTTAAATTATTTAGTGAATTACTATATTTTTTAGCTTATTTTGCCAACACCATCATATCTTTGAATAAAGCAGCTTATCTATTTAAAGATTGTTTAAAATTATCTGAATTAAGTAGAAATCATATTTTAAAAATTAAAATTTTAATTCAATTTTATGTTATAGCCAAACAGTATTAATTTATATTCATATATTAGATTAAAATAATTTGAATAAGCACGTAAGTTTATTTAAAAAGCTCTAAATTATGCTTGGGCTGATAATCTTGATGATTATGAAATAGATTGCTATGATAAATTAGGAATGTGCTATTTTTATATGGGTAATATTAGTAAAGCTAATTATTTTCATAATAAATGGGCTAAATGTGATATTGAACCAAAAAATTCTTATTATAGATTAACATCTAAAGATTTTATCAAACTTTATGAAAAATAAATACCTATTTGTAAAGAGTTTAATGAAATCCTTTAAAATTATCTTCATATTCCATTCATTAATATTAAAACAGGTAAAATGTTTGATTAATAATCAATCATCAAATATGACAATTGTCTTGCATAATCAATTTTAGATTAAATTTTATAAGGAGTTGATTTTTTATAATTTCAAATTGAATATCATCATATAGATGTAAATGTCAAATAACATTTGAAGAAAGCATCATTACCTAGAAGAGCTATAGAAATTATGTCTAAATATGAAATAAATAAAGAGAAATATATTTTTGACCATAAAATTTATGAAAATCCAATTTATAAATAATCCTTATAGGAAAGAGTTAATTATAGAAAAAATAAATCATATTCACTTGATTAAGTATCACAAAATATTAGAAAATATATTTCAGAATAAAGAGAACCATTTTAAAAAAGTGAAAAAGTTTATGTTAAGGATTCATAACGAAAAGATCTTATTCCTTAAAATGCAAATTAATTATCTTTACGTTTTAAAAAGATGTTTAAGAATGTTATAAATTTAGAATGATTTTTAGATTTCTTATATCTAAAAGTTTATTTATGAATCCTTATTCGATATCTAATAAATTATTATAAATTATAAATTTTTTTAATGTAAACAAATGATAAAAAGGAATCTAAAAGTAGGATACTTATTGAACTAATAAATAATTACTAAAAACCTGTTCAAGAAAAGATGCTTTTGGAAAAATCTAAATTAAAATCAATTTAAAAAATAGAGGAAAGGTTTATCAAGAGTGAAACAAACAAACAGTATGTATTTCCTCGAAAAGAAGAAAAGGAAGAAGAATACAAAGAATCACCAAAATAACAATAGTAATTGATTTCACTTGATAATATAACAAATACTAAGGTCTTTAAAGAATTGATGAATAAAATTTATCAAACTAATACTTCAAAGCAGAAACCAAAAAATTATCAACAAACAGAATTCATCAAAAAGCAATATTTTATTCAATCATAATTGATAAAAAATTCAAATCAAAAATAGTAAAATTAAATTAAAACTGAAATATCTGATACCAAATAAAATAGACAAAATAATAATTCCAGTTTAAAACAAATGTCAATAAATCAATCAAGAGGATAATCACCAAATAATAAACTTCAATATTCTAATAGATCAATTAGTTCATAAATGACAAAATTTTTAAAACAAAAAAAAAATTGTCTTATTGAAAGTTAGGATTAAAACTCACAAAGAAGTTTTGAGTTGAAACAGTAATTATTAAGTAAATCATAAATAAAGTTATAACAAAATAAAAGCTTTGATTTTTTGAAATAATTTTACATAATGAAATAGAAAAAATGAAATAAAAGATCTAAAAGATTATAAATGAAATTATATATTCTCACTAATAAATCTTTTTTAATTAAATAAAAAAAACTCTATTCTAAAATCTAAAATCTCTAATTAATAATTTTTGGATAACTTAAAATTATAAATTGGTATTTATATTTGTAATGCAAAAAAGATTTTATTTGTTTTTTTGACACCTTTTTATTTTCTTAAGGTGCATAAACTCAATTATCATCGCTAATTTAAAAAATAAATAAATACTCTTGATCTTATTTGTCTTTTTTTTTAAATTAGTTATTCTTAATCTTAGATCTAAAAATAATAATTGTTTTAATATAATGAATCTTCTAAAGGAGGAATTTTAGCCTTATCTACAATTTTTTTAACAACACATCAGCCCCATATTTTTATATTTTAAATTATTCTATTTATTTTAATTTTAATATTTAAGCTTTTATTATATTTTTATCATAAACTTCTTCCCAACCTTTATTATTGGAATCTTAAGATATTTAAGATATTTATTAATCTTAGGTAGTTTTATTTGTTGAATTTTAAACTTAACATATAGAAGTTTATTATAATTTACTTTATTATTTAGCATTAATTTTAGATTTTTTATATTTCCTAATCTTTCAGAAAGTGAGGAAGCAGTTTTCAAGAGATTTTTTATTAAGCTAATTGGGATGTTTATATTTTTTGTTAATTGTTAAGTATGAATAAGTTTAAATCTTTTTTTAATAATTTAGTTTTTTCAAATTATACTTCTTTAATTGTTATTAAGTATTAATATATGTTTAATTAAAATTGAATGGTACTTATCGAATGAGAAATAATAGTAAATAGTTATGATTAGAAATGTATTAATAAATTTAAATGGTGTATTAAAACATATATTTCAATCTGTTAATTCATCTGACTCATTTAATATAAGTCCATTTTCATGATAATCTCTTTCTTAGATAGCTTTTGCATCATGAAATGTTCTTTAAAGAATTGTATGTGAGAGAACTCCAATTCTAAGATCCATTTATTTAATTTCTAACTAAAGAATAATATTAGATAATAAAAATTACTCTCAATTTAGTAAGACTAGCTTTAATTCTAATAACAGGTGATTAATCTGTAGATACACTACCATGTTCATTTAATTTATTTTAAACAGTTTCAAATTTTTCTTAGATTTGTTTATATTAATCATTCATTTCTTTTTTTGCATTAGTATAATTTTAATATTAAAGTTCAATTTTTTTATATTCTTCATTTTTCTTTTTGAATTCATTAGACTATAATAATAAGAGATAGAAATAGATTTACCATTTCACTCATATTTTCATTAATATTATATTCTCTTTTAGTAATTCTATCTAAGATTTCAGCTAATTCATCACTCATTCTTTCTAATTTAATTCTAGCTTCAGGTAAAATAGTTTTAATTTGATTAGAATATTATTTAGTAGCATCAAAATGTTATCTCCATTCTCCTGCATCTGGTTTAATAACAATTTTAATTTTTTAAGCTGCTCTTTCAACTTCTTTAGCCCACTCTTTTGGATTCACATTAGATTCAATTACCATTTTATCTTCACTTTTTATTTATATTATAATATTCTTACTCTTTTTAGAATCCTTATTCTGTAAATACATCTTCAGGTTCTTCATCTGATGCTACTTCTGGATCAGAATCTGATGATACACTTCCTGTTTCTTAAACTGGTTCATCATCTTATCTTCTATATATCATAATAATTATCAATTATTTACGTTTAAGATTATTATTCAATTTTTGCTTTCTTGTATTAAAATTTCTTTTTTTATAATGCTCTTGTTGCCAATTACAACAAAACATATACAACATATTCACCAAATCCTTATTTTAATTTTAGTGGAGGAAAATCCACTTCTATTCCTATATTTTTCAATTCATTTACTAATATTTTTATTAACCTTTTTTACTTATATTCTATGATAATGTCACTGGATCATCCAATTTATTAAAATCACTTGTCTATACATCATTTTATTAAAATAACCATTTTACTAATCTATTCAAATATTTATTCAAAAACTTACGTTTTAAATTAAGTAAATTATTCACTTGAATTTGTTTAATTAACAAAATATGCTCTATTCAAAGGTTTTCCACCTCTAATTTAATATATAATACAAACTATTACTTCTATTTTAAATAACTTTATTCATAATTCAATAATACTAATTTCTCATACAACTCTTCCATCATTGCTGTTACATCCAATTATTCCTATTACTCACATTTATTTATTACTTAACCACTCTACTACTATTCTGACATTAATAAATTTATTAATATTTGAATATACTCTTTAATATATATATATATATTTATATAATTAATCTTTCTTTCAAACTTACCAATTATGCAACATTATTTTTTGTAATGATAACAATGCATTTTCTTTTATCATTTAATCATTGCTTCTAGCTTGTCTCATTATTTCTTATTTTGCATTTAATTGTTCTAAAACTCTATTAAAAATATTCTATTGCATTACACTTTCCCAAATGGATGAAATCTACAAAACTCTCCCAAATCATAACAAGCAACAGCTATATTTTAATTATTATTTGATTTTAAAATATCTGCTAATTTCCTATTATTTATTGTCTAATCTAATGATACCTTATTAATAAAAAATCATTCTCTTCAAACTTCTTTACATTCTCTTTCCAAAACTTTTCACTATGAACTGGACTCCAATTTAAATTCTAAGCATTCAATTCCTTTACATATTTTTCAAAAGATCTTATAATTAAATTTTATATTTATTTACGTTAAGATCTTCATATTCTTCTCCAATATCTCACCAACATATTTTATATCATCAATTAAATCTTAATCTTTTAGATTTCCTTTCAATAATAAATCCACAACCTTGATCAATCCATTATCAACCATTAATTCTATACATTAAGCTGAAATATCCACTAAATTCTTAAAACAAGCAAATGAAACTCTTAAAATTTTCTCTCTTGATATCTTCTATATTGATTCTATAATCATTCTAATCAAACCAATTTAAGGATCATTGAAATATTAAATTGATTCATTTGTAAAGCTCAATAACCATAGTGCCAAAATTGTGTAATAAGCTACATGCAAATCTGTTGGGTAATTAATCAATTGATTGGATATTCTATAAATTTATGATTAATATCATACATCTTAATACCACCACTCTTTATGAATTATATTGCTAAGGAATCATGCTTAAGAAAATGTACACATATTGGCATTATCATCTAATCTGAAATCTTTAATTTATTTCCTACATTTTTAATATATTTTTCTTATGTACCTATACCACCTAAAAATAATATGACCCATTCTTTTGCATCATTTCCTCCTTCTTCTGCTATTATCATTGTGGCTATCTTTGCTGCTGCTTCATATACCACTTTATCATATCCATCAAGAAATAAGAATTATTTCAACTTTGGCACTACTTATGGTGTCAAAGCTCGCATAAATTATTTGAAAAGTCTCTAATTCTCTGATATTATTGCTTCTACTGTTGTCAACACATATGTCATCAAAGGTTTATCATGTGCTACGTTTTCAATTATATCTAAAAGCATCTAAAATACACCAACAGAGTCTGTTTCTAACAACTTCTTTTAGTCTTATAACTAATCAATATATCTAATTATTACCTTTGCTTGTGTAAATTTTACAAACATGTCTTTTGTGTCCTTCTTAATCGCTTTCCCGTGTTGATCTAATTGTTTGAAGCAATCTTCGCAGTCCTTTAATACCTTATTTAGTTATTGCTCTTATTGGTAAAATAATATGGACTAACAGAAGTATTTCCTATTTCTAAACATTATTTATTATAAGATTTATATTTGATTTTATTTTTTTATTTTATTGACTATTCCAAACTTGTTTACAAAATGATCTAACTTTTCTTTATCAGATTTTATTTTCCTATTTCATTTCTCTCTTTCTCAAACAAACTAATTTATACTAAAATACTAGAAGGTAACACACACTCTTATACTTTATAATATAATAGATATAATATTTCTTAACTAACAGAATCATATATATTTATAGATCAAATCAAAGTAATTTGTACTACTAATGATTTATTACCATTTATTTGCACATTGATTTACGATTCGTTATTAATAAACTAAATAACTAATATCAAATAATACTTAAATGCATTTATATATTGGAGTATTGATAAATTTGTACTTTTCTTCCTCATCTTTTGGAATCATCTATTTCATAAAGAATACTTTTGCCCCTTATTAAAGACTATTCACTTCTTCTCCTAACATATTTTCCAATTTCTTGACTATGTATTATAATGGTTCAGTCAATCTCTTAATTTCTAGTTTCAATTTAGTCCAGATTGAAATATCCAAACCATTTTTTAATTAGAACTAGAAATAAATGAAATGAAATTACTTTTTCAACTTCACCTGGTTCACTCTGCATCATAAATGGAATTGCTAGATTTAAGAAAGTATTTCTGTATTAGGTTGTAGTTTATAGTATTTTAATTAATTCCAAAGTCTATAAGGCAGCTATACATGAAGTAGTAGTAGCCATAGCTGGAATAATCTATAAAATATTAGAATATAATAATTACTCTTCCTGCTTTTAATTTAGTCCACATCCAATCAACTTATTAGATTCCATAATTGATTGCTCTACCATTAGTGGCAGCAGTTATAAATGATACATGATGATTTTGGTCATCATCTTTTTCAAATTACTAAGGTTGTGGTAATTTTGGTTTAATTTTACTTAATAATGATTTAGCTTCTTTAATAAGTTGATCATAATCTTTAACTTCTTCTTCAATTTATTAGGATTAATTATTTTTATCTTATTTTTCTACAATATCTTTAATTTTTTTCTATTTTATGGTCATTTTAGGAATATATACATTTTGGATAAGAAGTTTCAAATCATATTATAAAGGTATGTTAATACCATAGATTTATGCAGTTAATATAGCAAAATCTTAAACAAATGTGAATGCAAAATCTCCATAGAAATCTATAGGTTTAGGAGGTCTTTTTGGAGGAGCCCAAAATAATTTACCTTCTTTAGTTAGAGAATCTATAGGATATGCATTCATCAAAGCTACAATATCATAGTTGAAAAGTTTTTAGAATTTTAATCTACCCATTTATACACATTATTAAAATGAGATTGGGAATTTCTTTAATACTTTGATTGCCAAATCTATAGTTTATTACTAAGGTGAAGGATCTTACATCAATTATACTAATGCTTATGGTTTTCTAAAGAAGTACTATTCAAATTTATCACGAGCCCATTCCAAACAATGAATATTAGATTCTGGAAACATTCTTAAAGTACAATAAGGTATATCATTATTTTATTCTGGATCTTATTTGCTAGCATAACTTTCAGTAAGATTAGGAATAATAGATTATACATGACCTTTCGGCCCTAGAGTACCACTTTCTATTAATGAAACATTATTTTCCACACATTTAGAATCAATAAATAATCTAGCCTAGACATTATCTAACGCATTAGTTATACAATTCATTTATTTATAAAAGCCACTATGATATATATCTTAAGTTTCTTAACAAACCTTATCTAATCTAGCTACAATATTAATATCAGGATTCATTTATTTAACAACAGCAGCTGCAGTTAAACTCTTAGGTTTTCTTATGTGTTTTTCTCTAAAAAGAAATTAACGACTAAGATTTGAATTTTCAATAATATCAGGATCAGTCACATATATTTTACCAAATTTACTTACACCTAACATAGCATAATTCTTAAGTAATTCACAACCTATAGCTCCTGCTCCTACAACAAATACTTATGCTGAAAATATTTTTTATATATTTCCAATTGTATTTGTTAAATCATTATATCTTGTATTGTAATTCTTTTTAAATCCAAATTACTACATACATTATTCATATTTATTTAAATTAATTTCAAGATTATTGGATTAACCAATTTAGGCAAATTTCAACTCATTTACTTTAAATGGAAGCACATCTTCAAATGATTAAACATATACTTAATGTATAGGTGTATACTTTTTATTTATTGCTTTTAAGACTTCTTAAGCTGCCATACCACCAATCAAAGCACATAAAGGTTAAAACTATGTATTAATTGATAATAATATTAATAATGATAATAATTCTTCTTAATATTTTAAAAGTACATCTTCTTTATATTTATTATTAAGAATTTCTCTTACATTTTACTATCTAATCTAATTAATAAACAACCTAATTCTTTCAATATCCCAATTATCAGTCAATTAATCATTAGAAGTTGTATTCAATGAAAAATTAATAAGATCCCTTTTAATTTAATCAATTCCATCATATGATCCAATATTATCACAATAATGATCAAATGAATTAATTACTTTTGAAATTCTATCAAATTACAATTTTATTGGTTATTTTTATTAATAAGCAATACCATGACTAATATAATTTGTAAATATTTTATTTGTATTTAATTCAAATGATGATCTTTTAACATTCTTAATTTAGAATAATTAATTATAACTATTGCCATTTCCTGGTTATTATTTAACTTCTTAAATAAGTACAAAATCATTTTCAGTTAGATTATGATTTTAATTTTTAAATAAAGTTACAACATTATTAGTTATATTTTCAATATTGAGTTCTGATAATTGTTCACCATCTTTATCAAGAACAGTAAAGTCATTACCAAAATCAGTAACAATTCTGACAAAAATATTTCTTGTTTATGCTAAGACAACAGCAATTTAATTTTAATTTGATACTATACTTGCAACATTTGAATCTTAAGTAACAAAAACTTAGATTTCATTTAAATTTAATTCATTCAAACTATTTTAAAGAACATCTATCTTTACATAAGGATTTAAATGTTTCAATTTATTTAATACTCCAAAATCTCTTCTTTTATTTAGATCTGCCTATGTCAAATAAAAGTTATTTCCTAAATCATTTACCTACATCAATTATGGATCAAATAATATCAATCTTTTAACACCTGATAATACTATATTTTTAGCTATTTCAACTCCTAATCCATTTAATATATGTATAAAGATAGTAGATTCACTTTATTTTTTAACTGCATCTAAACCTACAACTCCAATATATCTACTCATTAAATTTTAAAGATTCTAATCATTTGAATCAAACTATCTCTATTGTAGATTATTATTGTAAGTGATATCAATCTCATTAATATTTAAACCTTAAGGTGGATTATTTTTATTAATAATTTATTATTATTATTATTATAATTATTAATATTCTTTAGCATCTAAATTAAAAGCAATTTCTTTCTTTTTTTCATTTGAAATAGTTTAAAAATCCTTTCCAATATTAAATTTCAATTTCTCTAATTCCACTTTTAATTCTTCATAGATTTTAATAAGATCTTATTTATATTATTATGGTTAAACAGTATAAGTACATGAATTTTAAGTTTAATTGTAAGTAGCTGGTAAATTGGCTTATTCAATCCATAATTCAATTTCTTTTTTAATTAGATCTTTACGTAAATAAAAACTCTTCTTAATAACTTCTTCAAATCCTCTAGGAGGCTTTTATAATTATTCTATCATAGCATATCTTATATTTTAAATTTTAATAAAATTGCAATATCCTCTATTAGCTTATTCTCCATTAGGTGTTCCCATTTAAGATTCCCAACCTGGTTCATTAAACATTACATATTCACTCATAACCATAGATTATACAGAAACTAATATTTATAAAATAGTAGAGAAATTAGCAATCCAATTATCTCCCCAAGTACCCAATAAACTTAAACATACTTTTCCACAATTATATAAATTAGGATTAAATCTTACTTTACCATGTCCAGTTGTTGACAATTTCATTTTTGGAGGTCTTTATGGATAATCATCTCCAAAATACATATCATATAAAAATGCTCCATGTGCATATGGTGTACCACTGGCACCAAATATAATTGTTCTCATACAATCCATTCGATCATTATCATATCTAATAAATATTGAATTAGTTGCATCTAATGGTAGATTCTCTTCTATTGTTGATATTTCTGATACTAATTTCTACATTTTATTTTATGATGGATTATTTGCTTATATAAAACAATCTTTCATATGAGTAACATAATCTACATCATCTTTTATCTCACATTTACCAACTGCCAATCTCTTCATAAAAGGTCGATAAAATTAATGAATGTTAATATTTCCATCCACATTATTTTATTAATCTTATGAAAGATATTTAATTGTTATTAATTATGCTGCATATAAACAATTTTCTACATATGAATACAAACTCATAAACCTATTCAATTCCTCTATTTTAGAATTGAATGTCTTAATAAAAATTATCACTTATTGATTAAATGATTCCAATTATCTAAATAAACATGTTGCCTCTTTCGATACAAATAATTCTAGTGTCATCTCTCTCTAAGCCAAACATTCTATAATCTATAAAATCAAATTAAATATCTTTGAATTCTCTACTGCTGTAATATTAGTATTCTATAAATATTTAATCAACAAATTAATTATATTAGACTATTAAATACATTCTAGTAATTTAATATTTATAAATTGTAGATCCAATAATTATATTAGACAATTCAAAAGATTGATTAAATGTGTATCTTCTTCATTCTATTATTTATCTACCTTATCTATAAATTACTCTTACTACTACTACTACTTTTATTATTATATATTGAATTATTATTATTGATTAATATATTGAAATCCCTTATATTCACCATCACCATATCCAATTCCCTTAGGCTTACCTTAATTTACAATTTATTTCTTTAAAAAGTGTGCTGGTTTTGGTTACTCAAACCTTACTTAAACTTATTATTGAACATTCTGATTAATAAAATTCAATGATTACTCTGTCTTAATAACTATCTTCTCTAATAATCTGTGTTCTAATAATACAACAATCTTCATATAGGGTTTCTCTTACAATAATTAAACTAATTATTAATAAATCAGCAAATTAATTCTTCTATATATTTCTTTACGCTCTTATCTCTTATTCAAATAAGCTAAAACCAATAATTGTTATAAAAATCCATCTGTTTATACAATCTATTATTAAAATCCATCAATTTAACATAAAATATTTAATTCAAATACTAAATCTTTAATTTATTTATCTGCTTAAGTTTAATCTAAATACTTCTTTACATAATCCAATATCATTTATATACCACCTATTTTTTACTCAAAATATGTTAATAATTATTTCTATTATTTACTCTTTATTTATATTTATTATTAAATTGGTTTAGTTACTTCTATATCATTTATTTAATTTTCCTTCAATTTCTCAAATATTACTTACTCTTTCAAAATCTAACTCAACTCTTATGCATCTACCGTACTTGGTATAAATTAAATTGGTTGCATTCTCAATTAAGAATAATAATAATTCAATTATTTCTCATAATTCTTTTTTAATGATTAAATATCATCCTCCAACTAATTATCCTTATTTACATCAAATGTAAATATTCCTATCTACAACAAATAACACTCTAAACCCTACAAAGCAGCATTTATTTAATCCATCAACAATGTCTTCTCTTACAACTTTTAAAATGGAAATCCAAATTTACTTTGTTAAAGATCTGAAAAATTTATACACGCTATTGGTTCATTATGATGACTAATCTAAACCATATGTTATTAAATATCTAACAGAACATGTGGTTTACCATCTAATGCATTCACATACCAATAATGATCTTCTTAAATCATCATCGCATAAAATGATGATTCATTTGATTTTGCTTATACATAATTCTATCTTCTTCTATCTTATATTATATGATTCACAAAACATATAAGTTTTACATTCTCCATACCCACCATCAATTCAAAAATAAATAATACATTTGTACGATTCTCTAAAACCTTTGTTAATATCTATGAATCAAAATGAGGATTAAATGCACTAAACGAATGCAAATTTATCCATGAACCTTTTATTTATTTATCGTTCCCTATATTTTATTTCTATTACTCTATTATTTATTCAGCATTTTTATTTACTTCCTAATTTTATTAAATCTAATTTTAAAAATTTATTTATCCAAATTTTTATTTCTCAAACTAATGTTCCTCTTAAAATAAATCGAAAAATGCTTAATCATTATACTCTAACTCCATTTATTATAATTAATCTTATTTTAATGCTTAAAACACAATCTATTATTATTATTACAATTATTATTACAATTATTATTATTGTTATTAAAATTATTATTAAAATTATTATTAAAATTATTAAAATTATTATTAAAATTATGATGATTATTATTATTATTGTTATTATTATTATTATTATTATTATTATTATTATTATTATTATTATTATTATTATTATTATTATTATTATTATTATTATTATTATTATTATTATTATTATTATTATTATTATTATTATTATTATTATTATTATTATTATTATTATTATTATTATTATTATTATTATTATTATTATTATTATTATTATTATTATTATTATTATTATTATTATTATTATTATTATTATTATTATTATTATTATTATTATTATTATTATTATTATTATTATTATTATTATTATTATTATTATTATTATTATTATTATTATTATTATTATTATTATTATTATTATTATTATTATTATTATTATTATTATTATTATTATTATTATTATTATTATTATTATTATTATTATTATTATTATTATTATTATTATTATTATTATTATTATTATTATTATTATTATTATTATTATTATTATTATTATTATTATTATTATTATTATTATTATTATTATTATTATTATTATTATTATTATTATTATTATTATTATTATTATTATTATTATTATTATTATTATTATTATTATTATTATTATTATTATTATTATTATTATTATTATTATTATTATTATTATTATTATTATTATTATTATTATTATTATTATTATTATTATTATTATTATTATTATTATTATTATTATTATTATTATTATTATTATTATTATTATTATTATTATTACTATTATTATTACTATTATTATGATTATTATTATTTTTATTAATTTTTATTTAGATGTTCTAAAACTAATTAACTAACTTTTTCACTTTAATTTCTATTTAATAATTCTGTTACTAAAGATTTTGATCCTGCCATTGTTCTAGTTTAACTTTATAAAAATTTCTCTGTTTATGCTTTACTTTCAAGTATAGTCAATTTTGGATGAAAACATACTGGAACCAAACGTCCTTATTCACTATTTAAAATAGGTAAGATAATTCTATATATCAAATCTAATTTCGATTGTTATAATAACATCATAAAATCATTATGTAATGTATCTATAAATAATTAATCAAACTAATCATAACTTAAGATTCTTATTATCAAACTTACTATCTATTCAATTATCAATGGTTCCTTAGACCAAATTTAATAACTTACATTTCCAAAATTTGGATATGTTGATCTTATGTAATTATATAAAGTTTTATGAAAATTAATTTAAAAAAAGGATTTCAATACTTCATAATTAGTTGTAAAAGCAATTAAAAATTATAATAGATTTTATATTTATTAAACAATTTCTGTCTAATCATTCTTCTACTCCAATAAACTAAATAATATATATATAATTTATTACCTCTCTAGAATAGATCTAAGAATCTCTACAGTTTCTCTATATAAATTAAAATTTAATTCAGGATCAGAAAAATATGATAATGCTAACAAATCCAATTTGTAAGGCTTCTCAAAGTTAGACTCAAATAATTCATAATTGATTTTATTAACAATTAGATTTTGTAAAGATTTCAATTATGATCTACCTAAAAATGGTTAAGGAGGATTTATAGAAAATATTAAAAATCTTGGTAAATACATTCTAATTTATGAGAAGAAATCATTTTCTTTATTTAATATCTCCTCACTTAAAATAATCTTTAAAAGTAATTGAATCAAAGATTGATCGCTATTAATTAAAAATCTAAATGGATATCCAGACTTAATATCATTTAAACCATATTGCTATGCTAATTAATAAGTAAATTCTGAATTCTATCCAATCTCATGAATTTAAAAGAACATCTTCAATAACTTAGTTAATTAATTAGTATATTCAGGCGCACCTAAACTATATTTTTAGAAAGATTACCTTGCATATCCAAATCTGTCAATTATAATAAATTGGCCAAATAATTGTATAGCTTTGCCTCTCGATTAAAAAACATTGGAATATCTTAAAGCATCGCCTCCTCTAATTAGCCAGTGCTTGCTTCTTATAACAAAAATACAAATCCCGAATCTTCAATATTATTGGGATCGAGTATTTAAAAAAACTATTTCTCATTTTAAACTTAAATAATTAATCAAATTACTATTTTGTTGTTGTCTATTGAATTACCCTAATTCTTCAATATCAAATTATTAGTTACACCCTTCCATATCAAATTAGTCAAATTAATTATCATACGACATTTTTTTCTTTCCAAATAAAAATTATTAAATATAAGATATCACAATGAAAGAATATTTACAAAATTTAATCAGAATTTAGACACATAATTTTAGCGAATAATCGTATATAAATTTGACATAATTATATATATACATACAAATTTTCATTTTTTTAGAATTGACATTATTAAATTCTTTTAATTCATATAATTTCTCAACTCCTACATAATATATATATTTACTTGTTTTATTTAGTTTCTAATTTTATTTGGATTCAAAGAAGATCAAATTAAAACATAATTAGATTGTTTTATATGTTTAAAAGAAAATTTAGATTTTTTTCAAACAAATAATAAAAAACAATTATAGTCTCCAATCATCTTATACAATGAAATCAGAACATAATTTAAAAATTGATTAATAACAAAGAAAAACAACTCTTTAACAAATTAAACATAATTATTTATTAATATATATTTAATATAAATGATAAAGTTGCTCATAATTATAGTGATTCTGAATGTAACATTATCAGCTTCTATTTTTAAATAACAAATATTTTTAAATAAGAAGACAAATAAAAAACCTACTGTAGAATGGAAGAGTGCTTCAGAATACTCCAATAATCCTACTTATACATAAGTAGTTGAAGTTGCCAAGAAGAACTGTTCCAAATAATGTTAGTTAAGCAACACTATCAAATTTAAAAAAGTTGTAAAAGTTGCCAAGTAATTAGTTTAAGGAATGTTGTGGAGTGTATTATAATTATTTTTATAAACTAGTTACAAGTTGAGTTTTCTAACAAATCAACTAAAGTTTTATAGATATATGAAGATTTGGATGGTTCATTTGAATTTGATTCATGTAAAGATAATATTTGATATAATAATTTATTGAATATAAAATTGTGAGATTATATTTATATTTTTTAATAATCAAATTATAATTGGCAAAGAATGTCTTAATTACGAAGAGAAGAATGATATTTTTGGATTGCTTAATAATAAATTTAATAAGTCAATATTTTTATTATGATTTGTTATTTTAATTAAATAAATATATCGTTAAAATAAATAATGTAAAAGACTTGGTTAGAAAAACCCTAAAGACCATTGGATATCAATTTTGACATCAAAACCATAAGGAATCAAGTAAAAGATAAATTCGTACCTCCTTTGTAATACAATACTGGGTCTGCATCCAAGTAATTTAATTCGTTTAGGTAAAACGATAATTTAAGGCAGAAAGGAAAGTTTACCAACAATTCCTTCATTTGACAATCTATAAGCTAGAATAAGAGATTTTTCATATACAAGACTTTAATACACTTCTTCTCTTCTTTGTAATACTCCATCAACAAAAAAATAACAAGAATAGTCCCCTTAAAGAACGAAAACAATTAGGTATTATGTGATTGAGTAATATAGTTCTATGAGTTATAGAAACAATGTTCAAAATTAAAAATAACAGTCAACAATTTATCAACCAATAGAATTAAATTACAGAACCTAATAAAAACGATCTTTGGTCGAGAATGTATAATTAAACGAAATCGTATCTTTGAGAAATAAGATTGAATCATCAGGTTCTTGTAGAAGTTCTCTTGGAACTAAGTATATAAAAGTTTAATAATAAATTATTAGTTATGTTAGTGAGCTTGTAAAATTAGCCTAAGCAATTACTAATGCTTTAAAATGAGTATGATTTTATACTAAGATAATGATAATTATATAATATTGTTATAATTTATGAAAAAAAATTAATATCAAATCAAAATAACATAAGATAGTACACCTTCAATTGAAAATATAACATAATAAGATATCTTATTGAATTCGAGAAAATCTAAAGTGAAATTTGTTAAGGATCCTTTAGAAAATGAATGTCCTTTAGAGTAGCCAAATCCATTTCTCTTCAATGAATAATTGAAACATAGTTTTAGGGATTATTTAGAAGGACAAAAAACTGCCTTAAACTTAGTTAATGAATGTAATCATATAATAGGTTAGACTCATAAAATGGATTAATTTAAACTCTTTTCAAATGTAAATAGATTTAAAACTTAATTGAAATAAAGATCATCAATAAGAATGTTTATGTTATAATAAAATTCATATGCAGATGATCTCTTATTACGTAAGATCAAAGTTTAAGAAAGATTTAATAAAATTCGACAATTAATTTAATAAAAAATGAAATCAAAGAATAAAAATGATTCTTTAAGAGATGTTTAAATGTTTAAACATTTATTTGATACATGTGAAAAAAATATAAATAAAATCAAATCTAAAAATTTATTATCTGAAAAGGCTGATGGAATAAGAGAATATGATTAAATTAAATACTAAAAGAATCCAAAAGGATCTCTAAGAGTTCGAGTGAATACTTGCAAATAATAAGTTCATTCTCAAATAAGAGTGAAGACCTTACCTTAATAGTAAACACTACATTTAACAATGAAAAAATAGAGAGAAAAGATGAATGATAAATTAACAGAATTTTTAGAACATGATTTAAATTAAGAAAGAAATTTGTAACTTAAAGCAAGAAGAAATTTAATTAGAGATTTAAAAAAAGGAAATAAAAAGTTTCATTCTTTTGAACCAAATCAATATAATTTAACAGATCCACTTAGTAAGGATGTTAAATTATATGCATATATGTTTATGAAACCTAATAAAGATGATCCTATTACAAAATCATCAAATCATAATATTCTTTCTCGAAGTGCAAGAACTTAAAATAATTAAAACAGACATTTTTTAGCTAATTTTAATGAATAACTATCTAACTTTAGAGATAAGAGTTTAGATGAAGATTCATCTTTTAATTCTATGTTAGAAATAAATATTGATAATTTGTATAAAAGAAGTGCAGATTTATAAAGTAAGATTTTGAACACTAAATCTGAAAAATTAGTTAAAAGAATAAGATAATTTTAGAAGGTCAAACAATTAACAACACAAATCATTAAAGTTAATGAGCTCAAACTCTCGAATACTAAATTATTATGATTAATAGATACTTTAAATTTATTTATATATTTATTATCTTCCATAAATTCCAGCACTATACTATCTTTTCATATATGTTGGTTTTCCCATATTATGTTGAGTTTAATGTCCTACTTCTTTAGTATAAATATGGATTAGGTTGATTTCTTGGCGGAATATCTCGAATAACTTAATTTTATTTAATAAAAGTTGGTTTACAATATTATTATCCTTTATTTCTGTAATTAATAAAATATCAAATACTATAACTTTTATTCCTTATATTAAATTTTTAATCCTTAATATTATGGGGTTGAAGGAGGATGTTAGAATTTTTAAGCTTAAGCACTTTAAGGTTTGGCTAAAGGAGGTTTATTATTAATTGGAGCACCTTATGATGGAAAATTTACTAATTTCTTTCTAAGGAGTTATTATTATTTTTATTATAGATTTTTTAAATTAATTCGAGCTTATTTAGAAATAGGATAATCAGTTTCAATTTTGATTCTTTATTATCAATGAGATCTTTTCATTCTATTTTAATATTTTGATTATGGTAAATTATCTTTTAATTATTTTAAATTGATTGGAAGCTTAATAGTTTATAATATTTAGCTTATTTAATACCATTCTATTCTACTTCTACTAATAACTAACTTTAATAACTTTAGGATTCTTAAGAATTTAATCACAATTAGGTCTTTCATTTGGATCAACTTATAAAAGTAATTTTAAAATATCTTATAGATCCGAATTATATTTAGATGGAATAGGTTCATAATAGCCTGCTTAAATTTTCTTATTTAAAGATATCAGATATAAGATCAGCAGCTCTAAAAGGAGGATAAAATGTAATTAATTCATTATAATACAACCTATTGATCATATATGACAAGGCCATGTATATTGTTCACCTTTCCAAACTTCAGGAGCTGCATATCTATTTAGATATTAAAATAGATATTTATACATGGAGTTTCTGTTTGTGTTTTAGCATTTGCACCATCTCCAATTTTATATATATTTCCTTAAGAAGTTTTAGATTAAAAACATTTGTAGATTTTCACATATAATCACATTCTATTCAAAAATAATCAAATTCCTCATTCTTCTAATTCTTCTAATTCTCTTAATTCTCTCAAGAATTATATTCCAAACTAACCTCCTCACTCTTTTTCATTTTTATCAATCTACTTTTTTTTTATAGATATTTATTTTTAAACTACCTTTTACTTTTATAATTTAATTATATCTTCCATATTACCAATTATAAATCTCTATTCCTAAAGATGGCGTTAGTAACTATTTATGATATTTATTTCAATCTTTCAACTTTCATTGATTTATATCTTTATTCTTTATTAAATCCAAATAAAAAATTATAAAAAGTGTTCTGTTGATTTTGATGGAAATTTATCATTTAATTATCGAAAGTTAATTATGTAATTTAATATTCTCTCCTAAATTTAATAATATTCTATAATTTTTTAAAAATTGAAATTTTTTCATCAACACGAAATCTTTTTTTTCAGATTGAAATTGATTGATAAAAGATAATTTAAATTTAAAATTATCTTCTTTGAATATAATCAATTTTTATCATTTCAATAAATAAAATTTAATAATTTTAGAATTCGTAATTAAAGATTTAAAATATATTCAACATAATAATTAATGATTAACATAATTATTAATTTGGTAAAATGAAAATAAATCAGAAGAGAAAATATACTTTTGGTAAAAATAGAACATTTTTACAAAAAAATCATTAATTACATAAGATAATAATAATATTTATATGATAAATATATTTAGATTTATTAGAATATTGATTAGTCATTAATGTTTTATATAAAAAGAATATCAAACATCATCATCTTAGATGATTTGATCTTTTTCATATTTTGGAATAGTAATTCTACTTTTTTAATTAAGAACATTTTTGAATGAAACATTTTTCAGCAATTACAAAGTTCCTTGAATTATAATTAAAATAATAATGAGTACAAAAAGAACTAAGAAGATTGATTCTAACAAATTAGTTTTTTGTATTGAACCAGCTTTAATTAATCCACAAGCTGGAATAGAAGCATATTCAAATTTTTTGCAAAGTATTTTCATAATTTAATCAAAAGGAGTATTAGTAAGATCTTTATTATCTAAATTTAATGAAAAATGAGTTTGATTGAATTATAATGATTTGTATTAATCTAGTATTCTATTGGTTTTAAGTGATTTATTTTGATCAGATTCCCCTTGAAAACTATTTTCAATACAAGTATCAATGGATTGAACAGAAATATTATTATTAATAAAATAGTTTTGTGAACAAGGTTAAATTTGACTTGGTAATTGCATACATAATTCATTGAAATAAATAGAGTAATTAAAATAATATTGAGGTTATTCTTCTAGTATACATTGTTATCTAATCATTTCAGTTAATATAATTTAGCCTGAAACTGATTCAGAATACTCTTAAATTAGATATATATTGATACGACAATATTAGCCTCCTCCAAAGCAATTAGGCTCTGATTCTTTATATTAATGACGAGTATAACAACTATAACAAGGCAAGAGATGTTATGCTATGATCAGATTTACTAATTTATATTAATGTATAATTCTACATCCTTTTTATTGAAAGTCTAAAAATTACGATTGAAATTGTTTATAGAAGGATATATGGGAATTGTCCATAAAATCTAATCCGATATTCAAATTGACATTTGGTCTCACATCAATAGATTATACCAATGAAATTAAAATAAAGCAAAGCATTAAATATATTATTAATGAACAATAGTGAATATATAGTAAAATTTATCACTAATTTACCTTAAGAATATTAGTTTAGTAATAATGAAATAGTTGTTCAAGGAGATATGAATTAAAATGATTTTAGTTGTTTAATATAATAATTACTATAAGCTGAGAATCCAGATTAAGAATATAATAAATTATTTGATTTTTTAATAAATGGAATAAATTTAAGATCTAATTTACATGAATTCATAACATCAAATAAAATAGCAACTGAAAAAACATTACAAATAGAGTATTTATTTGCAATCCCTGAACCTAAATTAAAATAAACAATAAATATAAATGATTGGATACTCACAATAGGTACATTGAATAATTAAATATTAACATGTTTATTTAATGGAGATATAGTAATATGCAGTGAGAAGGGTAAAATTCTAAAAATTTACAAAACTAAATTAGCTAAAAGTTTTACTATTTATGATAACTTAATTATTTCAACTCATTGGGATTGTAGTGTTAGAATTTAGACTATATTACAGATAAAATAGAATTGATAGTAACATAAGGCTATTTACCATCTTATGGAGAATGTAGTTGTATCAATAGAAAGAATATAAATGAACTTTGTGTTAGAACTGCTAATGGAGAATTTATCATTTTTTGATCTTAGCACAGTTTAATAGTATAAGATAGAAATTAAAGATTATTATAAAATACATTAATAATAAATTACATGTTGTTAATGGATTAGAAATAGTACCATTATTACTTGATCATACTTGGTCATACGATCATTCAATCTGTTTGTTTAATAAAAGAACAGGATCAATTAATAAATAATTATTTTCTAAAAGATTCTGCTATCGTTGTTTTATGTTATTTAGAAATTAATTTATAAATTTTATCTATTCGTGAAGATGGATATTTGAAATTATGGGATACTTTAAGTGAATAATTAATTAAAATATATATGAGTTAATTATCTTAATTGACTTGTATCAATATGAATTCAAATGGATAAATTATTGTTGTAATCTATTTTATCTTATTATTATTAGACTTCTATGGATGGAAATGCATAGCTATGGGATTTAAGAGGAGAAATACCATTGTATTAATTAAATGGTGATGGAAAAGCTTTAACTTGTACATGGATTGATAATAAAATACTTTTTGGAAGGATCAACTAATAAATTATATATTTATTATTGTTGATACCAAACCTTATTTATTATTTTTTTATTTAGTATTTTATTTACAATTATCATCATTATTCTTAATATATTAATTATTTAATAATGAAGGCTGAAGTTTCCAAAAGCAAATTATCCAAAGAAGACTATGAAAAATTGAAGAGAGCTGAAAGAAGAAAAAATAATAAGAACAAAAAGAAATGCAATAAAGAAATGTAAGAAATTTAAGAGGAGATAGTCAAAGGTGATGAAGAATAGGTTGTGTATGATGAAGAGACTTTCCAAGAAATTGAAGTAATTATCGGATACAATCATTTAGATAGATGCACTTATTACAGGCAAACATTATGACAATTTTAAACAGGTTTTTGATAATTTCAATCAACATGCAGAAAGATTAATGATGAAGACATATGAAAAGGTTTATGAAACAGAAAAAGAAAAAGAAAAGGAATAAGAAGAATAATAGGCAGCTGAATAACAATAATAATAATAGCAACAATAAATTCAATAATAAATAAGTGAACCAAATTAAACAATTTAAAATTATTTATAATAGGGAAAAAAAAAAGAGGCTAAATTATCAAAAAAATAAAGAAAATAATTGAGATGGTTAAAAGTAGCTGAATTGAAGTAGAAAGTTAAAAGGCCTGACCTCGTTGAGTTTTGGGATATTACATCTCCAGATCCAAATTTTTTAATATAATTGAAGAGTGTACGTAATTCAGTGACTGTTCCTAGACATTGGTCTTAGAAGAGAAAATATTTATAAAATAAAAGAGGAATATTGAAAGAGCCTTTTTAATTACCAGATTATATTGAGAAGACAGGAATAGCAAAATTGAGAGATCCTTTTGTTGATAGAGATGGAGGTAAGATGGTGAGATAGAAATTGAGAGAGAGAATGAATCCAAAATAAGGGAAATTAGATATAGATTATTAAATATTACATGATGCTTTTTTTAAATATTAGACAAAGCCATAAATGACAAAACATGGAGAAATATATTTTGAAGGAAAAGAGGAAGAGATGAGAGCTAAAAACTTTTGTCCAGGAAAAATGAGCGCAGAATTAAGAAGTGCATTAGGTTGTACTGATTTTTAAGCACCTCCTTGGTTACCAAATATGTAAAGGTATGGTCCTCCTCCAAGTTATCCTCATATGAGATTTATAGGAATGGCAAGTATATTTGCAGAACCATCTTCATATCATACATCTGTAAAATAAGTGATAGAAGATTCATGTAAAAAAGCAGATTAACCAGGATTATATGCTACCTTTAAATATTATGATGAAGAAGATTTAAATGAATTATCTTAAAAAACAGGATTATAAGGAGATGCTCCTGTAGATAAATCATTATGGGGTAAGATTGATGAAGTAGAAGATGAAGGTGAAGTAGAATAAGAAGATGAAGAAGAACCAGAAGTATAATAAAGATAAGAATAATAATAATAATAATTTGATAATTAATCATTTTAATTTGGTGATTCTGATACTCGTATTCCTGGTAGATCTATTAGTGGATTATAAACACCAGATGTTGATTTAAGAAGAAGTAAAATTAATAATAATTATTTATTTAGATTTATAAAATGATCCAAAACCTTTATATTAATAGTTGGAATAGGTATAAATTGATCCTAGTAGTGGAAATTAAATTTTTATGACGGGACATACATATGTATTACCAAAATAATGATTATTATTATTAAAATAAATAATTCAGATTGGGATTAATGTTTCAAAATAAGTACTAAATATGTTTCAATATATCATAGAACTGATTATGATAGAGGTGTCAATACTTTCTCACCTGAAGGTCGTCTATTTTAAGTAGAGTATGCTTTATAAGCAATTAAATTGGGTGCAAGTGCATTAGCAATTAAAGTTAATGAAGGTGTAGTGTTGGCAGGTGAAAGAAAATTGAATTCAACATTACTTGAACCTAAAAGCATTGAAAAAATATATGAAATTGATACTCATTTAGCTTGTACTGCATCTGGATTCATTCCTGATGCTAGAACATTAGTTGAACATGCTAGAGTTGAATCTTAAAATCATAAATTTAATTATGGAGAATCTATTAATGTTAGAGCACTTACACAAATTGTTTGTGATCTTGCACTTGATTTTGGAGAAAGTGATTCCAAAAATAAAACTAGAATGTCTAGACCTTATGGAGTTGCTTTATTAATTGCAGGAGTTTCTGATTAAGGACCATAAATTTATTAAACAGGTATCATTATTTATTTAATTTAAGATCCTACTGGAACCATGATTGAATATTAAGCCAAAGGAATCGGTGCTGCTGATGAAGGAATCCAAAGTATTTTGAAAGAATAATATAAATAAGTAATTTCAAAACAGTATCCAAGGATTTAACTTTAGAACAAGCTGAGAGATTGGCTATTTTATGTTTGAAAAATGTTATGGAAGAAAAAGTAACTAAAATTCATCATCATCATCTTAGATTAATAATAAAAATGTTGAATTAGCAGTTATTACTACTGCAGAAAAAAGGTTTACATAGAGAACATCTGAATAAATTTAAAGTTTAATCGATAAAGTTTGAAATACCTGAGTATATTAAAATCAAATTATCAAAATTCAATAAATATTTTTTTGATTTCTTGAATTAAAAAAGTGATTGAATGTTTAAAAATGTTGATCATCTTCTATTTTATATGGTTCTGAATAATCATTATCATCTTCAAAAACGATCTTTTTGGATGGAAAATACTTTTTTAATAATTATTTGCTACTAGATGCATAACTCACAGCAGTCTTAATTACTTCTTCATTTTATATACATTATTACTGTCCAGGAAATCCTCTAAAAATATCCATATATTAAACCCAAATCTTGCTTTGTACAATTATAAAAATTAACCTATTGATGGTTTTTCATCTTCCAAAACTATTTTTATTACTCTAATATCTTCGGTGCCTTCCCAAATTTCGAATTCTTCCTCAAAACTTATATTACTTTCAGAAGTGTATATTGATACCAAAGAAGGCATTTATTGATTATCTACAGAGCTAGTTGAATTAAGTTTGAATTCAACTTAACACTCTTAATCATCTTGGTTTTCATCTTACTCTAGATTCTATATAATTATTGCCTTTACCACAAAATTATTATAATTATGAGTAAGATTATGGTTTTTTTCTTTTGGCTTTTTCCTCTGTCTCCCATTCAACAGTTTTAAGGATGTCTCTTATTTCACATTCAGATAAAATCTTTTTTTTTTAAAATTCAAATCCCTTTTTTCTATGCATTCTATTTTATTATTTTAAATTAAATCATCTACAAACTAAAAATTATAATGGTGTAAATAAATATTTTAGATATTTCATTCAGATATATGAATATATCTAAAATATGAAAACAATTAATTGTTTATGTTTAAAATATGTTTATATTAAATGATTTTTATTTATGAGGAATATTATTAATCAATAATGAAATGAGTTCTTATGATTATTTAAAATATCATTGATCAACTTAACTTAAAATGCATTTGGAATCTTAGCTTAAGGAAGGTTAGGTGTAATGATGTCCAAAAATGTTTCTGTTGATGCGTTAGAATCCTTCTCTCTTTATTTCAACCATTTTTCATAATACTCATTTTTTTATTTCTTAGTTCGTGTATTGAGCATATAGCACTCATTACATTCAGATTTCATTCGATTTTCAATAGCCTTTTAATGGAATCGATTATTTTAAATACCTAAATTGTTCATTAGTTTAATTAATAAACAGTTTAAATATATAATCTAAATGATACCTATTGCTTAGAATTCCAAAACCAATTAGTATGAATCTACATAATGTCATTATTTGAGTAGAGTCAACCATAATATCAGAAGGGCTCCAAAGAAAATTCATTTTTAGATAATATTAATTTGTTGATTTAATGTACAACATTACTAATATGGATTTCAATGTTATAAAAAGTTTAAGATAAAAGTTATTTCATCAATCATTTTAGAGTCCCTTCACAATCAATTAATTTATGATCTCCTTGAAAAGAAAATTGGAAATCATCGAAATATTATGTAAATATTGATTGACAACATTAAATATATCTTGTTAAGATAGAAACTCAAACAATCAATCTGATTCATTGTTTGGATATTTATTTATGATTTCTAAAGTAAAATTATAAATTTCTGGATCTTAAATGATTCCAATATTTTTGGTCATCTAATCATTGAACTTCTCTAATAATTGATTTTCTCAAAGCCAATCCTAAAGGACATTATAGTATTACTATAAATCCTTTTGTATTTCTATTTGAATCAATCCTCTCACCATATAATCCCTTTGGTTTCATATGCACAATTTTGTTTTTGTTCTTTAGATAATAATTTGATCATCTATTTATTAATTAGAATCAAAATTGATAGCTCTTGAATCACCAAATTTGAGAGTATTAATCTAAGTTTATTTAGACTTATATACTTTATTATTTAGTGTTAACACTCCTATCATAGTAGATCCATAATTCTTAAGATCAATTTTTGATTAATCTAACAACTAAGTAACATGAGTGAAGATTTATCATATAGCAAGTTAAGGATTTATAAATATTATATTTATTTAATATTTTATAATCAAAATGAAAATTTAATTATTTACAGTTTAAATTTTTTGTTTTATGAAAGCTAAACACATTATTTCTATTGATTTCATGTATATAAAATGCTAAGAATAATGCATAAAGGTTTTATTATTTATTTCAAGTAATTTAATAAATGAATCTTGAGTTTATGGTTTGGTGCCTGAAATTATTATCCAGTTTTGATTCAAAGTAATATATATACTAAGTGTTTTTCCATTAAAATTATATTTATCAATTAAAAATCCTTTGGGATTAAGAAAAATTATCTTTGTTATTATTCTATATATAATAACCATTTATGAATTTGTTTTTTCTTATATATTCACTGTAAGAATTCCTTATATAGATAGAATATTGATGAACAAATAAATATTTTAATTTAATAATATTTAATAATTTTAGGACAATATCAAATGATAAACTTGTATAAATTTATATAAGAGAATAGTAAAAATAGAATTTAAGTGAATTTGAAAAGTATTCTTAAGCAGGAAAGAATGATTTTGAATACTTTTAATAATAATTTTGTTAAATTTTAATGATTTGTGAGTAATTTATAGAAAGGATGGAAAAAAAGAAGAAGGAAGATATATATGAAGAAAGAGAATATTAGAAATGATGTGAAATATATGAAATAAATAGTATGTTTTAATAAATAATAAAATGAAAGTATAGTTGTATAGATTATTAAATTATAATGAGACTGTTAATTATTTTAAATTGTAATGAAGCATAGAATAGGAGGTAACAGTTTAAATCAGAAGGAGAATGAGAAATAAATTGGGAATCAATATGCTTTGAAACACAGACCACCCTTGTAATAGGAATTACTAATGAACTTAAAAAATCAACAATTGAAGAATTTGGATGCAATAAGTTAAATTTTGCAATCTAAATTTTGTAAAGTAGAGAAACGAGATAATGTTGAATATTTTAAATTTGATTTCAAATAACAGAATATATGTGATAGAGTGAAGTTTTTAACAAATTAGACAGATGATGATACAAATAAAACTGAGCAATTCAAAGCATAATATAAAGTTGGTAGTCGTATAGGTTAGGGTGCATATGCAACAGTTAGAGTTGCAATATAAATAGAGAGTGATACAAAAGTGGCAATTAAGATATATGAAAAAACAAAGATCAAAGATTTATAGAGAAGAAAAGGAGTAAGAAGAGAGATTGAAATCTTAGAAAAGTTAGATCATCCAAACATAGTTAAAATATTAGATACTGTAGAATCAAATAACCATGTTAATATAATATTAGAATACGTTAGCGGTAGTTCATTACACCATTTAGTTAGAAAGTAGCCGGTACAAAAAATAAGTCTAAATTTTAGGAAAGAAGATTAGAAGAAGAAATAGCAAAAAGAATATTCAAATAGATTCTAGATGCAATATAATATTGTCATTCAAAAAACATAGCACACAGAGATATTAAATTAGAAAATATATTGTTAGAAGGCCTTACTCCTAAATTAATAGATTTTGGATTCTCTACGTCTTTTCCAATAGATAAAAAAGTCAAAATGTTTTGTGGTACTCCAAGTTATATGGCACCAGAAATAGTAACAAGATAAGAATATAGAGGAGATAAATCTGATGTTTGGGCATTAGGAGTAGTGTTATTCACAATGCTTTAAGGTGTGTTTCCCTTTAAAGGAGATACTGATTCAGAATTGTATACTAGAATCTAATCAGGGGAATTTACAATCATTCATGATATATCTAAAGAAGCTATTGCATTATTATATGGTATGCTAACTATTGATCCAGATGAAAGACCAACTGTATAAGAATTACTTAATTATCCTTGGTTTAAAAAATATTAAACTAATAATATTGATAATGGAGAACTCAAAAAGAAACATAAATTACCTTATGATTTATTAGAAGACCTTAATAACATCACTAAAAATATGTCTTATATTACTCCTACTAGTTAAATTAAATAACAATTCAACTTTGATTTTTCACATCTCAAAAATAATTCAAAATTAACTAATACTAAAGTATTTATTAATATTTATTATTTTAGGCTATTATTCCTAAACCTACATATTTTACTACCACTAATGCTTAAACCAAACTTAGAGAACCTTAATTTTTTAAAGTTGAAAAGATTCTAACTAATAATGATAGACATACTACGACACATTCTAAAGAAAGATAACCTACATTATCTAAAGAAAGATAATCCTCATATAGTTTTGAATCTAGTAGAGGCTTATCTTAAAAGAAGAATCCTCATCAATTAACTGTTCATCCTAGTTTTATACCAAGTGAAAAAAGCTTTAATTCTGTCAAAAGTCCATCAGTTGGTATTACTGAAAAACGTTCTTTCAATTTTTTTTATAATTGATTAAATTTCTATTGTGTTGTACAAATTATTTCATACATTTATTTTTTATTTATTTTTATCTCATTTTTTTTAATCATAATTTAATAAATTAATTTAATATGAATTCTATTACTTTTAAATGGGAAAATAGTTCAGAAACATTTACTATTCCAATCCAAGGTGTCAAAATATAAGTAAAAGATCTAAGAATCAAGATTGAAAAAGTATATAAATCCTAGAAAGATGACATATAAATGCTTTATGAAGATAAGATTTTGAATATTAGTGATGAAATTAGAAATAAATAATTGGTTTTATTACTTAGAATCCCAAAAAGAAGAAATCTTTGCCTCTCTTGTTTTTCTAAGGATTTTGAAATTTTAACTCCTTGTTGTTAAAAATCTATATGTGCCACTTGTGATAATATATTCTATTAGAAATTCAAATGTTTCTTTAATATCAATCCTTAATGTTATTATAAATACACAGAAACATTTTAAACACTAGTACCAGAGCCTTCTTGTAATGAATTCATTACATACAATTCTATCTTCTATCTAATAAAATCAAATAAAACTAATTTAGCTTACGCCAAAAGATTCTCTGTTTGGACAGTCAAAGAAATCACATACTAGAAATTTGCATAAGATTGTAATATTCCTGCTAATGTTATATTGATTTTTATTAATAATGATTAATTTGTTGGTTGTGCTAAAATGATCAATCAACTTGTTGTTTATGATTAATAACTCCCTAAACTTAAGACCTTTAAAATTTAGTGGCTAAGAAAATAACCATCTATCAAAACTATTTATGATTTCCCTTCCCTTGAATTATATAATGGTTTCAAAATTCAAAATGGAATTGCTAAATCAATATGTCAATCTTTTCCGATTGGATAAATGCCTGCTGAAATTTTATAATAATAATAATCAACCTCAACTGATGAATGGGATGTTGATGAAATTCTTAAAGACTAACAAGAAACTGTTAAAAAAGATGAATCAATTCTCAATAATCAAATTAAAACATCGGATTTTTGTTAAAATAAACAAGAAGTTAAACCTGAAATTAATTATAAGCTATATGAAAATAATGCTAATACAAAAAATCAATAATTTCTAAATTTTGTCTAGTTGTTTCAAAAAACTTAAGAATTATTTGATACAATTAACAATGGATAAATACCAGGAATCAAAGGTGAAAATAAATATACTCATCCTATTTTTTTATAAATATATTAAGATCTTATTTCGAACTCTAAAATTTAATTGAAAAAAAAACGAAAATATTCCAGAAGTATCTCTAGAAGTTCAAGCAGTTCAAGCAGTTCAAGTAGTTCAAGTAGTTCAAGTAGTGATTCATTAAGATCATAATCAAGAGGAAAACAAAAATTCAGCAATTCATATAGAAAATCAAAATAAGCATCAAAATCCAAAAGAGAAAAAAAATAATAGAAATTTAGAAGTCACAAAACATCTTAATTTTATGAAGATAAAATAAAGAAATAACAATAAGTTAAATATTCATAAAAAGAAAAGATTAGAACTAATTCCAAGCAACTTATCAAATGAATAAGAAAATATGATATTTTTATTTTTATTTTTAAATAATATATAACGATTATTTTATTATTAGAATAATTCTAACTTTTATTTTATTTTTTTTATTGATCTTATTGAAAAATAATTCAAATTTTCCAATAATTTCAAATGTAAATCTCTATTTCAAGAATAACGATTATCATACATTAAACTATGAGAATTTTAGATAATAAAAGTATTTTTTTAATATTCTAGAATTATTAATATAATAATCATTATTATTAATAAATATATTTATACTTAATTTTAATATTATTATTCTTAGCAAAGGGATGTTTATTTACAAAAATAGATGTTTCAATATTTACATAATAATTACATCTCAAAATAAATAAACTATATTCTATAGATTTAAAATTTCCCATCAATCTAATTAAGAGATGTAATCTAAAAATAAGAAAATTCTGGAAATTTTTTATTTGGAATATCCCTTTTGTTCTATTTTTTCTTTTTGAATGCATAAAAATTGTTTAAAAAAGCCTTTTTTTATCTATAAAATTCTTAATTCAACTAAATTTATTTATCATTTAGAATACAAATAATTGAGTATCTTAGATTGGTATTGATAATCAGATAAAATGATTAATTTTTATACAATTCATTTTCATCATACCTATAATAATTAGAACTTATAATTATTTTTTTCGGCGTTTCAAATTTATATAAAATATAAAAACAAAAATTTTGAAACGACATAGCTCGTTATTTGTAATAAAAATATATATAAATTCTCAAATATTCCATAAAGTTGAATAATTATATGAATCAGAATGAATATAAGCTATTGAAGTTTATTCAAGTTACTAAAATTATTTTCATAAATTTTACATAATTTGATTCTGTTTTATTTGAAGGCTGCTGCCAAACAAAAGGGTTAATTGAAGTTATTTAATATGGTTAACAGAGGGATGCTTATTCGAATATTTTATCCTAAAAGAGTTAATTTTAAGCATTTGCAAAATTTGCGTAAAAATCAAGGTATTAGAAATCTAACTTTTTTAAAGCAGAGACAAAAATTGGTTGCTTCTTTTAGATTTTATTCAGTATTTTTTATTGTTAAAATTCATTATAGACAAACTTGATTTTTGAGCTAGTATGTTTTTTTTTTGTTTTCAATTTTTTTTGTTTCCTTATGATTTTATTTTAGAGATATACTTAACTAAAATTATTATTGTAAGTACTTTTCTTTTTACAAATAAACTGATATTTACTTAACTCTTTCTTTAGTTTCTTCATTTATTTTTTCTCCAATTTGAATTGATTTATTTTGTCTAATTAAACTTTTAAAAAGTTCTCTCATATCGTCTTAGATTTAAATTTACTTCTAATCTATCTCATTCTCATAACAAAATATGCTTGAAATCAATAAAGGTTGTAATTTGGCAGTAATCATTGAACCTAAGATATAACTGGTAATATTGACTTTCAGTTGTTTAAAATGAAGCTTTTAATAATCTCCTGAAAACTTTTTTTACGTGAGCATAAAACTTATTTTTGATATCTTAATCTGTTCTATGATTGAGCTCTTCAGCAATACAAGTCTAATTATATTAAATTAATACCCATTTGTTTCCATGAATTTTTATGAGTTCAAAAAGTTTATCAAGTTCAAGTTGAGTTAACTCACTTTTATTATAAGTATTATCAAGATGATTGAAAAATCTCTCTCTACAAGCCTTTGTATTTCTATTGTAGCCTTATTTTTTTAGAGATTAGGATATTTTCTTCCAGCCAAGTCTTTCATTTTAGTATTTATGCACAAATTACTTTAGGAGTTTATCTTCCTACTATAGTAAAATTTGTACATCATCTGTCCATGAAATTCTTTTTTTCGATTAGGGCAAGGATTAGTTCAGCATATTAATAATTATCAAGAATGTGATAACAATAATTAAGATTTTATGTTGTTTACCATACATTTTATCGGGATTAATAATTGAATAATATATATTAAGTTAAAATAATAAATTTTAATCAAACATATGTATATCTAATTTCTTAATTTTTTTGATTTCTCAAATGATTGAAAGTATATAAAGTAACCACAACTTGGATTATTTAAAAACTAAGAATTTCAATATAAAGTAAAAAAAGTTGTTACAAAATTGCCAATATAACTAATACTAAAACACCAATCTAAGCCATAATTTGAAATTTCAGATAATTTTATAATCTTTAAAGAACAGATATTTTAAATGTCCAAGGAGTTGACCAAACATAAGATTAATCAAATTTACTTATCAATAATAATAACAACCTTCCACAAAATGTAAGTGAAATAATATGGAGCAACTTAAACCAATTGCTTTATTAACGAATTCCAATATACTCTGGATCTATCTTAAATAAATTCATGAAAACTATGTAAATCTAAGATGAAAAATGTATAACTATAACTGAAATCATACAAAATCCATATATTAAATCCAGGGTTACAAAAAAATAAATGAATAAAAATATATGGATTATATGTTCCATCAAAGATGCTAAAGAATAAAATATTATAAAGGTTTCTGATTCACTACACCAACACTTACGAGACAAAGCAAACAAAAAAATAATAACTACAATTGGACTAATTACAGGAGGAGTAAAAATAAATGTAACCTCTTCATTATTACTTGTTATTTCTACTTTCTTATTTGGATTTAGGAGATTATTATTATTATTTTATTGATTAGTATCATTTATATTATTGTTACTACTTTAATTATTTACACAGGAATTATTTACAATAATTTGATTCTCTTTACATATTAATTAGCAAGTATTATTTATTAATGTAAAAGTAGATTTGCATGCTATACAATCATTTAAATTACAAACTCCACATTAATCAATTCCGCATTCATAATTAAAAGAATACCTTATATTAGATTTTTATTAAATCTATCCTAAATCATTAAAAGAAGTAAGATTAAAAAAATCAGTGTAATTGCTAATAGGATTGATGAATTATATTGTAAAATTTAGTGTTTAATTTCCTTTTGGAATTTAAACTAAATTACTTAAATCTTACCCATTTAAAGTAATATTGTTTACTTATAAATTTGAGACATCTAATTGCAATTTTCCATTTATTGGTATATCAAAATATGTATCAAAAGTTATTGATATGTTATCAGATTCATTTAATAATGTATTTTATTTTTTGATCCTCACATTCTTAAATTCCATAATATCTAATTTTGGCAATGTTAAATTTCCCTATGCATATATAAATCCTTCTCTGTAATATGCTACTTCCCAATAGTTCTCTTCTTTTTCTAAGTATTGGTTTGTCATATTTAAAGAATATTGCGTTTTATTGATATACATGGATGAAGCATTAATCTTATTTTCTTGATTATTTGGTAATATAAATGGAATTTTCAAAACTCCTTTATCCTACAAATCAGGTGTAATAGTTATTTACCAATTACCTTATGCTAATTAGTAATTATTATCAGTAATAACTGATAATTACAATGGCTGTGGAATAGCTGCTTATTTAAAATTCTACTCAGCAATTAAGCATTAATCTTTGTAAGCTATTATTTTAATAGTGTAAGGTTTTATGTTTTGAAAGTTAATAGCTGAAAATTAAATATTATTAACTTAACCATATTGTAATTAATTTTCGAATTAGATACAATCCTAACATGTAAAATTAGGCAAAGTTGTAGTTATGTAATATGTAGTAATTTATGTAGAATCCAGACCATTAATTGTAAAATCTACTTCCTCTCCAATATTAAAAGAAGATGTATCTAATGTAGAAGTTAATTTGTATTTTACAAGTTGAGGTGCTAATTAATTAGATCTAGCCAACTCTTAATTTTGATAAAAGAGTCTTGCCTAAAATAAATAAGAATCACAACCAGGTAATAGGATCTCTAATCTTATTACTACTTTATTTAATTTTGATTCTAATAGACTAGATTTATAGATATTATTTGACTAAGAACATTCCAAATCCTAGATTTTGCAACTATTTGTTACATATTAATTTGTTAATTCAACAAAAAAGTTAGTATATTATTAATTTAACTATAAATTTAAAATTACAAGTGCATAATTTAACATTATAGTTGTATTCTAAGAGAGTGTCATTTATATATTATCTTTAATTGGATTATATAAGATGGATCTTCTTATGCTATCATAATTATTTAAAGTAACTTTTAAATCAAAATTAATATTATTTAATGAAAGAGGATTGAAAAATTGCTCAAATACTGTTGTATGACAAGAAGATTCAAAAGTAGTAACATATTTTAATGTCAAAATTTATGTGGAAAACAAAAATTGACTTTATGAATGTAGGTTGCAAAATACAATTTTCATAGTTGTTGGCATTCCAACAATTTAATTGTCTACAGACAAAGTGTAATCATAGTTGTTATTAATATTTTAAATAGTTTAAGTAGTCGAAAAAGTTGTTAAATATCCATTATTAGAATCTAAGATCTCTATTTTATAGTTTATAGGTTCATTAGATGGAATAGTCAATTTTGTAATGTTGATCGAAGTTTAAGAGTTAGATGGCAATTAAACATTACTGATGATTATTTTATTCTCTTATTGTTTTATATTATTAAAAACAATTCCACTTAATTAAACTGGATTTTCCAATATACCATTTGTTGTTATTACTATTTAAGATTAAGTTGGATATGTGATGGTAGTACCATCAATATTTATTATTAAAGGAGCAGCTACATAAGTTGTAGTTGGTTGATTTATTGATATAGGAATATTTTTGGGCTAAAATTAGAGTTAAACAAGTTATGTGAAAATTAATGATTTTGTTGCAATAACTGAAGCATTCAATTGAACTGGATCAGTAAATGTAGTTAATGGGTTGTTTATATTAATAAAAATGATTTAGAATGTAGGTGTGGCAGACTTGAATGTTATTATAAACTTACTATATACTAAATTACATGCTCCATTAGTTAATCCTGTTATTCCACAAACAATATTTTCTTAACCAAGTATTTGATTAGGCAATTAAACATCCACCTATATATCTGAAGAAGTTGGAAAGATTGTAGTAATGTTGAATGTTATGGTATTAGCTGCCTATTAAATTGTATTATTCTTCTGGTCATAAACTATAGTCACTGATGCTAAAGAGCTTACTATTAAAGTGCTTAAGATGATTATAATTGAATTCATAAATAATTTACTATTATGTTATTAAGACTATTTTTGAATAGTTTTACTACAAAATTAAGTTCACTTTTTTATATATTTTTTATTATTTTAATAAAGAATATTTTTTAAAGGCATTCATGGCCAATAGATGCTAATTTGAAAACTCGAATGATATTGGTGTTTTTTCTAAACTTACAAATTCATATTGCTTAGTTGCACTTGGTGGAAGTGAAAACTTCTATTCTGTGTTTGAATCTGAACTTGGATTAAGTATGCCTGTCATTCATTGTTCAATTGGAGGTACAAGAATTATTGGAAGATTAACAGCAGGTATTTTGAATGATAAATTATATAGGAAATAAAAATGGGCTTTTAGTTCCAAATACATGCACAGATCAAGAATTGAAATAGATTAGAAATTCATTACCGGATGAGGTTAAAGTATTTAAATCAATTAAAATTATAGGTTAAAAGAGTGGAAGAAAAGCTATCAGCTCTTGGAAATTGTATTGCTTGCAATGATTATGTTGCATTAATTCATTCTGATTTAGATAAAGAAACTGAGGAAATTATAGCTGATACTCTTGGTGTTGAAGTATTTAGAACTACAGTGGCATAATAAGTCTTAGTTGGAACTTATTGCTGCTTTAATAATTAAGGAGGACTTGTTCATCCATTAACTACTGTTGAAGAATTGGATGAATTAGCTAACTTACTTTAAATTCCATTATGCGCAGGAACAGTTAATAGAGGAAGTGATATAATTGCATCAGGACTAGTTGTTAATGATGTTGCAGCATTTTGTGGTATCAATCCAATTAAACTTTAATATAGGTCTTGATACAACATCAACAGAAATCACTGTTATTGAAAAAATATTTAAACTATAAGATAAAAATAAATAAAATTTAGAAGTACAAATTCGTTAAGATATGATGTAAGAATTAGAATGATCATAAATTTACATTTTGTTTTATATTAGAGTAACGAAAATAAATAATTTAATGAGTTATTGAATTTTTAACTACAATCAAAATTTAATTGCAAGGATTATCCATAAAAAAGTTTTCTAAGAATTTTATTTTGAGAACAACAATACCTATCATTTATAAATTAATATAGGATAGCTATAAATTTAAAATTTGATTTTTATTTAATCTCAATTTATAAACCTTTTATATTGTTTTATTTTGTGATTTTGATTTAAAGTTTGAATAGATAATTGCGCTACATATTGTGCTTTATTAATTATTCCTAAAATTTTCCTATCTCATTTAATTATTATCGTTTTTAAATTATTTGAAAATGATTTATTTTTGATCATAATGACTAATCTTGGTCTCTTTTTTAAGAATATTAATAAAGATTCTTCTTAATTACTAATAAGTAACTTTTATTCTCCTGCAATTAAATTTATGGATTTATTCTATAAATTTAATTATATTTTAATTTAATTTATTAAGAAATTTTTTGTGAATTCCTAAATTTTATCTTGAAATCCTTCTTAGATTGGGTTAGTTATGATTAGTCTGTGATAGCTAATTAAAATTAATCATTTTAACTTATTCTCCGTTCTAATAAATGAATATAAACATATAAATTATCAAGATCATCTAATTTATCAATATAAAGATTATAAAATGCCCCATTTTTAGGAAAATCTTAGCAAAAATCAATATATTCTCTTAAAAGCATATAATCAACTCAAATAATTAAAGTAAAAATGATTACAAGTGACTGTTTGAGTTTAGATGATTATAACCAAAGTTTAAATTGTCAGCTTATTTGCAAATATTGTCAGATGCTGAAATTGATTAGTAAAGGTTACAAATAATGTGATAAAGAATGAAGAAAAATCAAGTTTTACAAACTAATAGAGGATATTAAATTGAAAAATTCTAGAGTCAGAAAAATAACGAAACCTCAAATAGTAAAGAAACTGAAGGTTTTGAGTAAAATATTAACATTCTGTAACCATTTTATTATCAATAATACATTCAAAAGAGTTGTTAAAGTAGAGTAATTGATTTAAAAAATTTAAAAATATTTAATTCTAGTCGATTAATTAATCTGTTAGTTCATCGCGATGAAGTTTATAAGCAATTGAGTGAATGTGAATTTCTAAAATAATCAAAAACGATAAATAAAATGTTCAAAGCTATTGTTGTCTTAATATTAGTCATTTCATTATCGGCTTCAAATATCAGAAAGCACCATAATGACATAAAAAAGAGGCAAGAGAAAGAATAAATTTTGGTAGAGAACTAAAAGTTCAATATAAAATAAAAAGAGTCATCATAGACATTTAAACGATTATAATAAACTAATAATGAAAATGTATTGGGTAGTAAAAAAGAAAGTTTATTAGAAAAAAATTTAGATGTAAAGAAAAATGATTTAAGTGAAGAAAACATACTATCAGAATAAGAAAACATAAATTTGGAAATAATAACAACATAAACAAAAGAAAAACATAAAAAATCATAAGAAAAATAAGCAAATTAAGTTGCAAATAAAAGTAATGAATTATAAATTATTTTAGACTAATTGACAAATAAAAATTTATTAGAAGAGAATGTTGTTGCTGATGAAAGAGCTAGATCAAATGAAGAATGGATGTAAAAACTCGCTAATGATGTTTCTACAATTAAATAAAACATCAAAGCTTAATTAGATGCTGATCATATTGCTTTTGTAGAAGAGAATGTAGTTGCTGATGGAAGAGGTAGATCAAATGAAGAATGGATGTAAAAGATTGCTAATGATGTTTCTACAATTAAATAAAACATCAAAGCTTAATTAGATGCTGATCATATTGCTTTTGTAGAAGAGAATGTAGTTGCTGATGGAAGAGGTAGATCAAATGAAGAATGGATGTAAAAGATTGCTAACGATGTTTCTACAATTAAAATGAACATCAAAGCTTAATTAGATGCTGATCATATTGCTTTTGTAGAAGAGAATGTTGTTGCTGATGGAAGAGGTAGATCAAATGAAGAATGGATGTAAAAGATTGCTAATGATGTTTCTACAATTAAATAAAACATCAAAGCTTAATTAGATGCTGATCATATTGCTTTTGTAGAAGAGAATGTAGTTGCTGATGGAAGAGGTAGATCAAATGAAGAATGGATGTAAAAGATTGCTAACGATGTTTCTACAATTAAAATGAACATCAAAGCTTAATTAGATGCTGATCATATTGCTTTTGTAGAAGAGAATGTTGTTGCTGATGGAAGAGGTAGATCAAATGAAGAATGGATGTAAAAGATTGCTAATGATGTTTCTACAATTAAATAAAACATCAAAGCTTAATTAGATGCTGATCATATTGCTTTTGTAGAAGAGAATGTAGTTGCTGATGGAAGAGGTAGATCAAATGAAGAATGGATGTAAAAGATTGCTAACGATGTTTCTACAATTAAAATGAACATCAAAGCTTAATTAGATGCTGATCATATTGCTTTTGTAGAAGAGAATGTTGTTGCTGATGGAAGAGGTAGATCAAATGAAGAATGGATGTAAAAGATTGCTAATGATGTTTCTACAATTAAATAAAACATCAAAGCTTAATTAGATGCTGATCATATTGCTTTTGTAGAAGAGAATGTAGTTGCTGATGGAAGAGGTAGATCAAATGAAGAATGGATGTAAAAGATTGCTAACGATGTTTCTACAATTAAAATGAACATCAAAGCTTAATTAGATGCTGATCATATTGCTTTTGTAGAAGAGAATGTTGTTGCTGATGGAAGAGGTAGATCAAATGAAGAATGGATGTAAAAGATTGCTAATGATGTTTCTACAATTAAATAAAACATCAAAGCTTAATTAGATGCTGATCATATTGCTTTTGTAGAAGAGAATGTAGTTGCTGATGGAAGAGGTAGATCAAATGAAGAATGGATGTAAAAGATTGCTAACGATGTTTCTACAATTAAAATGAACATCAAAGCTTAATTAGATGCTGATCATATTGCTTTTGTAGAAGAGAATGTTGTTGCTGATGGAAGAGGTAGATCAAATGAAGAATGGATGTAAAAGATTGCTAATGATGTTTCTACAATTAAATAAAACATCAAAGCTTAATTAGATGCTGATCATATTGCTTTTGTAGAAGAGAATGTAGTTGCTGATGGAAGAGCTAGATCAAATGAAGAATGGATGTAAAAGATTGCTAACGATGTTTCTACAATTAAAATGAACATCAAAGCTTAATTAGATGCTGATCATATTGCTTTTGTAGAAGAGAATGTTGTTGCTGATGGAAGAGGTAGATCAAATGAAGAATGGATGTAAAAGATTGCTAATGATGTTTCTACAATTAAATAAAACATCAAAGCCTAATTAGATGCTGATCATATTGCTTTTGTAGAAGAGAATGTAGTTGCTGATGGAAGAGCTAGATCAAATGAAGAATGGATGTAAAAGATCGCAAATGATGTTTCAACAATTAAATAGAACATAAATACTTAACTCAAAAATTTAGAATTTGTATAATAAAATCATATTGATAGTGCATTAGTAGACGAATAAGAACAGCAACCCTAAGATTATTGGTCTTAAAAATTAAAAGAAGATATAAATAAAATCAAACAAGATAATTCTAATAAAAAATTAGAATGATTTATTCATATAAAATAAAAACCATTATTTTTGCTATTTTTCTATAAAATATTATAATCTTTTTATTCTATTTTATAAACATTGAATATAATCATAAAAATAAATATTATTAACTTAATTACAAATGAATAATTAACTTAATTTGATATCAATAACCTCAACCTTATCATACATTAAAATACTTTGTATTTATTAAGTTCTAAGGTCTATTCATAATAATTTTATTTACCTCATAACAGTTCATTTTCTTTTAAAAAGATATAAAAAAAAGACACATATAAATAAAAAGAAAAAAGCATCTTCTTCAATTCACATTTTTTAAAATATGTAAAACTTTTCTTATATATTATATTTTTATATTAATTTTCACTTGCTTGAGCATATCAAATACGTTCCAATAAAAATTAAAATTAATCCAACCCAAGTCTTTTACTTCAATTGCTTCTTTTTTAAGCGAGATTCAGTTATTACAGTAGTTGCTGAATTAACACAATTCACAATAACAGGTCCAAGACTTAATGGAGAATGACCCAATAGGTAGTAATAAAATATAGATGCGCTTTAATTTATTCCAAAAGGAATAATAAACTTGTAATCAAGGATTGTTGAAATAAAAGATTTAAATCCGAAAAGGTCTTACTATTTATTACCAACTCCAGATTCCATAAATGGGTTGGTAATTCCCCATATTATTCCAACAAGTAATAAACCTATTATATAAATCATAAAATAATTAAAGATAATTTTTTAGCAATTTTTGGTCTTTACTCTTAAGAAGAGATCAAATATATTAAGCTAGTTGCTGAAATTGAGGAGATGATAGCTTAGAAGTCCTATAAAAATATTTTTAAGTCTTATGTTAATTATAATGATGAAAAAAAATTAAGTACTTTTGCAATAATTGAAGCTCAGACTTTGGAATATAAAATTCATTTGAAAATATATTTGAAAATTTCATAGAAGCTCAAGAAAAAAAATTACATTTTTACTAAATAGGAATAATTTATATATTACTAAAATTACATCAAATAACAGCATATCCTCCTTCGCTTTATAACCCTCTAAATTTCTTAATTATTCCAAAAGCTTTGATAACAGTAAAATTAATTCCATCCTTAACTAAATGAGGAAAATCTTTCCAAAAATGAGAGTGAGGTAGCGCATCTACTCCACTAAGCTAGTATTATTTTTTGTTGTAAGCTATGCCTCCCCCAAAATAAAGGCCTGCAGCTAAAATAATATATAAAAGCATAGTTTAACTGCCCCCGCCTAGAATTAATTTAATAAATACTAGGAGAAGATCCTTATCGACAACCAGCTGAATGTTAAATACCCAACCTAATATTGCATTTGCTAGAATCAATAACCCTAAAGTTAGGCTCATCTTTTCCACAAGTTATTTCAAAAGTAACAGATCTTGGACTCATTTACATTTATTCATTATCTGCAATTATTTTTTGTAATCCACCATCATCTTTAACATCAAAACACATATCGCCTTAGAATTAATTTAAAAAAACCTTATTTATAAGTTATGGAAATTCCTAATTCAGGATAAATTGGATTAATATAGCCAAATTCTTGAGTTTCTTTTAATCCCAAGACCTTTATATTGAATAATTATATACATCGCAATTTTCAGTTACCTTGCCCATTACTTCAAGTGCTTCAAATGCAGCAACATCTCGACCTTAACATCTCACAGCTCCTATGCAAAAATTAAATTCATAAATCATATTAAACATCCCCATGCCTTTATAAATTTGTATATTAAAAGTTACTTGTATCAGTATCAGGTACTTAATAGTTATTGATGTTGTGAAGTTTTTAGATGTCATAAATGTATCCATAAGAATCGTGCCATAGGCAATTTTTATCTGTTGCATAAGACGTGGTAATTAAAAACAACACAGAAAACATTTTATAATATTAATTATTTCATCTAAAATAACTACGGAAATTTAATTCATCAGCGATTTCCATGCTTTGATTTTTTTTGAATGATGGTTCAAAATTTTCTTTTCCACATTTATTAGGTGCATTTTTTTCATGAGAACAAATGTGCTTAAATGGTTCCTTAAACTATTAAATACTGCTTTGCATATCATTGTAAGTTGGACTACTTTAATTCAATTAAGATTAGAAATAGCTTTGGAATGATTCAATTTCGCTTTTACTTGACTCTTCAGTTTTCTTATTCTCATTTACATCCCAAAATTAAACATTAATAGCTGATGTGTCAAATAGATATTTGGGATATTTAATAGGCTTAGAGGTTTTTAATTTTAATGCTTCAGTATTGTCACCTTTAGGTTTTATCTCCTTTCTCAGTTTAACTTTGTATATATTTTGCATCATGATAGAAATATTCTCTAACATTTGATCTAATGTTTCGTTGCTCAATAATAACATCTCATCAACATCAATCATATTATGATAGCATTGCGCAATTTTTTAAAGTTTATTTCTTTCATCCTAAAGATCTTTACTTAATTATTTGTATTTTCTCGTTTTAGCTTTTTAATTCGCATATCTCTTTTTTGTTTAAATTATAGCTTCCTATTACTTTAATTTAAGTTCATTAACTTAAGATTCAAGCGTTTACTTCTCTGATTTCATTATAATGAACTCTTCCTCTAAATTTTAATATTTTTTTATCATCCCAAAAGAATCAATAATATCTTATTTAACTTCGACATCTCTGCTTCCTTTTTCTGGAACCCAAAGTACTCCAACACCATGATAGTGTAAATGAGTCCATTAATAAGGTAAATCTTTGTTAATCATGGCTTATATATGATCAGAAGCTGTAAATTAGGATTTAAATATTTTTCTTTGCTCTTCAAGCTTTTCTATAATTTTTAGCATCATTTCTTATTACTATTTATCATCAACTCTTGCTTTTTGCAATTCTTCAATTTTGGTTTCATAATCTTTAATTACTCTATTGAGACTTTCATCATTATCAAAGCCAACAATATTCTTGGATACATTATTTTCAATTTTTTTTGCATTAGTACCAAATCTTAAAGTAGACAAAGTTTATTCAAACTAACTGTAACAAGGATTAACACATAGAATTATAGCAGTTCTTGAGTTACCTCCTAAGGAAGATCTTAAAATCTTAGTTAATGGCGAGTTTCGATATGGAATATGTTGATCGCTAAATAATATAAAATTCTTACTTTCGCCCTTGAGCTCTTAGAGATATCACTTGAGTCAAAAAAAACAAACTTTTATTGATGTGTTTGGATTCATTTTGTCTATCTTTATATTGAGTCCCACTTCCTCCTGCTGAAGTTCCTCTTTTTTTAAGCATTGAATCATGGATGTTGATTTTTTCAGATCCTGCTAAATCAACAAAATTAAGAATAGATTCAGTAATCACAGAATTTGGTCCAATAGTATTTGGAACACATCTAACATAAAGTCTGAAAATGGTATGAGATCTACTACTACAATGATTCATAACAGTTGAAGCATAATGCCTATTACTTTCTCCAAATTGAAGAATATCCATAATTTCATCAATAGTTGTGACAACTTCTTCAACCGCTCCCTTAATAACAAATTCTCTATTAAAATCTTCATTTATGAGTAAAGTTTCGCTTAATCTCTCTTGAGTAGATAGTAGGTCGTAAACTTAATCAGTATAGATTTCAACATAGCTGCATCTTAAGAAAAACTATTTGTCTTATTGTTTCTGAATATCTGCAAAAAGATCTTTGAGTGCTTATTTTAAAATTCCTTCTTCTTAATCATATCCCATCATAGTGTAAGTCTTACCACTTCCTGTTTATCCATACATGAATACTGTCCCATTTATACCCTACAATGATGATAATGTTATTCTTTATATCTACTATTAGTAAATAAATTTAGTGGTGTGTTTGGGATCGAAACATTAATCTATTGATATGAGATTGATTATTTACTGAAAGTAAACTCTACTCTTTGTCCAGGTACAAATTTACGCATTCTAACTAAATCATTAAATCTGTCATTAGAAATAGTGATTGTGTCTTGATTTTAAACAGACCAAATTTCAAGATCATTATTATCTTTCTCTAAAACATTTGATGGTCTAATTCTAACTACAACTTGGATGTTCTCCATTAATTTAAATTAATATTGTTTTAACCGAATATTTTACAATTAAAATGTAGAAATTGTATTGATATTAATATTGCTGATAATTCATTAATCAAAAGACCTCTTCTCTAATTTAAAGGAACTCTGAAGCAGCACTCACTTTTTGAGTAAGGACTTCTTATAATCTTTCGACGACTTCCAATTATTATTCTCTTTCAAAAGTCTAAGCTTCATATTAGGCTTCTTATTCAGCAGCCCATCTTTATTGGATAGCCAATGAGTCTTCAGCATCTTCAAGGAATAACTAGATTTAAATAATGAGAATACAGTTTAATCTTCTAAATCTTCAACAGCTTCTTAGATGGTGACTTTGAATTGAACAATTGAGTTTTCTAAGAAAGCTTTTCTCTCAACTAATCTCTTGTGTTCTTCTTATAAGTGAGAACTTTAGACTTCCCAATTAGCAGCTTATCTTTCTTCTGTTGCAAGGAGTGAGGCTCTACTGGCAACTAATTATTATCTGATTTAAGCTAAGAGCTCTAAAATTTTGATGATGCTCTTGTTATCAACTTTTGAGGCTAATTATGTCAAAGCATTAATGAGTGGCTAAAAAATAGAATGAAATCAATACTTTGAAGAGAGCATGTTTGCTTTCCATCAATTTAGATTAGACTTTCTCAAATCTACTCTTAAGTTGAGCAAATGCAACACCAGCTTATAAATGTTAAACAATCTTTGAAGCTTCATCAATGGCATCCATTTAGTCAACATGTTCTGCATCCTTTCTAACCCATGTTTCGTGTTATGATTATCTTGTTGCGGATTCATCAGCAAAACTTTTTTCGTTATTGGCAATATCAGAAGTAACAACTCTGACTTCAACTTCAGCCTCTCCCAAAGCATCAGTTGTTGAATCTCTCAAGTTTGAAAGAGCAACGATTTAAGATTAATGATAAGCGATTTCTTATTCTAAGTCAGCAATGATCTATAATCATAATTATTAACTATACCTTCTCGAAGGCAACTGTGTCACTTTCATGAACTTTGTCAGCTTTCTTTTAATCTCCATTGAGTTATGAGGCAATGTTGTTTAAAAGGATTTAGATTTCTCCAACTGGTCCTCCTGTTGCCAATTAGAGTTGGAGGACTGACAATACAGAATTACCAAATGAATCTTTGTTGATTTATGCCAACACTTCCTTTGGACTTTCACTCTTTGCTACTCTAGCAGTAGCCACTGCCAAGATTAGTGTTAATACAGGAATGATTCTAGCCATATTAAAATTATTAATGAATTATTTTCACATCCAAGCAGAAGACTTAAAAAACCCGTTTTTTAATTATTTGTTTATAATAAATTTAATTCCATTATAAATATCACCTTATTCTTCTTATAAAATTGTGCATATTGTCAATCTTTACTTCCTATCTTCTACATTACTCCTAAACATAAATAATATCACTCAAGCTCTTGCAAACCAAAATTTTTAATTATTATTTCCAAGCCTTTCAAAAATTTCATACAAATCATAATTCATTTTACAAATCAACTCTCATCTACATCAAGAATCGAGACTAAACAATTGTTCTTGCTTGTTTTTATAGTTTTTAATAGATTACTTTGAAGCTAATTTATTTTAGAATAAATTTTATATTTATATCTTTCTATATCAAAACTCCTTTTCAACTATTTCTATTACTATCTCAATATCCTAAATTTCAAATTAAGCATTCATTCTTCTTGTATAAGTTAGGATCATTAATATTCTAAACCTGAGCTAAAAAAAATGAATGAACTTAATTATTGATTTTTTACTTTCAATAAATTCAATCTAAAGTTTATAAAATTTTTTATTTTTAGTTTCATAATTTGAAAACAGCAAATTGAAAAGGCCTTTAAGTATATCTTAACAGTAATATATTCTAAATTATTATAATATTGAATTCAATTTTTGTTATAATTCTTGAAATAAATAGTTTACATATTGTTTTAGTGCTATTATCTTTTTTTGAAATTGTTAACACAATAAAAAATACAAATTAGAAATGATAAAAGTTTTTTGAGCCAAAAATATTGTTGATAAATAGAAAATATTAGTACGATATTGAGTTAAAATTCTTTTCATAAAGGAAATTTTAATCATATGATTAAAAATAGTCAAGTATTTTGTATTATTAATATATTATATCAAATGCGTCAATAATCTTCGAAAAACTCTTTTTTAAAAACTATCCCATTTTAAACAATTTTTATGGAGGCTTTAAAATAACCATCGATGTGGGTATAATCAAACATGATTGATGGAAATAGTTAATTTTAAGGTATCGATGAATAAATCATTCAGGAAGGCTACTTTTAAAAGTTGATAGTTAATGGGAATCAGTGTAATTAAATCTACATCCTGAGAAATTATACAGAAAAGGAGTAGGATCTGAGGATTATACATCTTTCTGTTAATTATAGGCATGTTTTTTAAAAAAGTTTACTCATTTTGATCCGACGATGCCAAATTATAGATACGGAATAAGACTTCAATTTGGATAATAACTAACTCATTTATTATGTGAGAATTCAGATATATTCAAAAAATGGTTTCAATTTTTAAGAAGATTTTGCATAATGGATAAATTTGCCAGAAAATATAAAGTACTTGGGAAAATAAAGTACAATGACCCAGTTTTTGGTTAATGTTTATTTTCTTGTGTGAGAGTACAAGATGCAGAGTATCATATAGTAAAAGTGATAGAAAAAGAAGTTATTACTGCAGCACAAAAGCAAAATTTATATAGGGAGTTGAGTAATCTAAGAAAATTAAGTCACACATAAATATGTTATATTGTTGAAGTTTTTGAAGATGAATAGAATGTTTATATCTTATACGAATATTATTTGGGGATTGATTTAAGATCTTATATAAAGGAATCTTAAATTTATTAAATGGCAGAATAATCCACTTAAGGATTGGATGAGAAATTGGTTGCAGATATCATATATGGAATTCTATAAGCAATATAGCATATGCATTCAAGAGGAGTTTTCCATAGGGATATAAAAATGGAAAATTTGTTTATTCCAGAAAAGAAACGTTTGCCTTTTGTTGTGTTGGGCAACTTCTGTTATTCAGAAACTACAGATTAGTTATAATATAAGAAATGTGGAACTCCAGGATTTGTTGCTCCTGAAATATTTAGATCTAAGAATTATACAAATAAAGTGGATTTATTTTCTTTAGGTGTTATCTTCTATTTATTAATTTATGGGAAACTACCTTTTGAAGGTAAAGATTAAGAAGAAATACTTAGATCAAATGAAAGATGTGAATTAGATTTTAGAATTGAGTAACAATATATAATTAAATAGAAAAAAAATATGTAAGAAAATTTCGAATTCTGGAATGGATTTGTTAAAAGGATTGTTGAATAAGGAACCAATTAAAAGATTATCAGCGACTTAAGCACTTAATCATCATTGGTTCATAAAAATGGGAACTAGACATTAAAGAAATTAATATTTATAAGTCTAAAGAGGAAAATCTCTGTCTACTATTATTGAAAATTCAGTCGACATTACTTAAAGGTAATCAAATTTATTTTAACAAGTTTTTTAGTTATTATTAATCAAATTCTCAATTGCATTAATCAACAAAAGAAGAAGATAGATTAGATAGAGTAGAAAAGGAATTCAATTAAGGAAGTTTATATGATAAGTTGCTCTATTTTAATAGTATTTAGTATTAACCATCTAAAATTCGTCACAATTAACCATCATAGTGATAAATTATTTTTATTCTTTATAATATTTATAGATTTATGTGAAAAAAAAATAAGAATTTTGGAGATGTGAGAAAAAATTAAATAATTTAATCAATTTTAATTATGACATCCAAACTTTTAATGATTCCAAAAACTAAATTCAATCCTCGATTTCATCCAACATCTAGAGAGATTGAATTACTTAGTTAGGTAATAAAATTTGAGTAAAATGTTGATTCGAAAGTAAATTTGAGAATATAAACAAGGCATTTACTTTGCATGAAAATCCTTTAAGTGTGCATGGAAAATTACATTTAGGACATTTTTACAATAAAATTCATAAGGATATAATAAAAAGGTATAAATTACTGAGAGGATATAAAATTGCACCTTCAATGTCATTTGAATTGTTTGGACCATAAATTGAACATGCAGCATTTTAATAATTAATTTAATAGGGAACAACATAAATGGAGTATGATGAAATAGCAATAAGATAAATATGTTCAAAATATGCAGAAGAACAATTAAAATCTTATTTGGAATAGATTTAAAGATGGGGTATATTAGAATAAGAAATAAGTTTAACAATAGATCCAAGATATCAAAAAAAAGTATTATATTAGTTAGCTCATTTTCTAGAAAAAAGTATATATAAATGTAATATAATAATAGATTAAATTATAAAGGAATAGAAAGTTGTGATATGGTCTAAATCTAGATTATCAGAAGTTCCTTTAGATTCAGTAATTATTTCACAAAGAGATGTTCCAGCACATGCTATAAAATTCAGATTTACAAGATTAAGTCCAAACTTTAAGAAATTAAAATGTGTTGTATATCTTGTTCTAGAATTACCATCTCCATGGAAAATTCCAAGTGCAAAGGCTATTTAATTAATGGAATAGGAATGGTTGGTGATAAAAGATAAAGAGGCTCTTATTATGAGCAAGTAATTTTTTAATACTCATAAAGATGAATTTTCGATGCATAAATTTGTTGGAACAATAGTAACATCTGATATTATTAATTTGACTGTTGATAATGGTTTAAATGAGTTTATAGATTTAAGAATGATTATAGGTGAATAAAATAATATAATTTGTCCTGCTCATTAAATGGATGATATACCTCTAGCAAAAAAATATAAACTTGATAGAACAGGTATGGTAAATGAGAATGGATAACTAATTTATGAAGATGAAGAATTAGATATTCTAAATAATGAAGCAAATTAATAAATTTTGAAAGATCTAAGAGAAAAAAATAGAATTCTTAATATTGTTAGTTCAGCATAAGATGTTTTTTATCATCATAAAGTTACAGGAGAATAACTGTTATTAAGAAGTGTTTCTGCATGGTTTTTGAAATTTGATGAATAACTTATTAAATAATATAAAGAAAAGTATAATATAGATGAAGAGAATGCAAAATTAAATAATAAAGATTAAATATATACATCATATATAGAATTAATGGAATCTTTATGTGGTTAATTGTGCATAACTGAACATAATGTTTGGGGAATTCCAATACCTTTATTTAAAGCTACAGTTCCTAAAAAATTTGATAAATTAAAAAATGGATACTTACTTAATGCAGATATTGTCAGACATTTTGCTGATTTAATTGAAAATAATGGAAGTGACATATATTGGAAGTGGAATATTGTTGATTTATTACCAGATTAATATAAACATTTAGCATAACATCTTGAAAAACATACATGCGTCTTAAATCGAAACTTTAGTTTACCATAATAATGTGATCTTATATATGAAGGATAAGATTAAAATGAGTCCTTTCTTTTTAGTAGTTAAATGATGATGATACTATTTCACAAAAAATTTAATAGAAAAATTTATACTCATCCAGTCTTATAATACAATAAGGATAAAATTAGTAAAACCAATTATTTTACTTTAGAAAGTATTATTGATGGGTAAATTAAAGCAAATGAATTAAATTAATATGGAGTAAACTATTATTATTATTATTATTAGTGTGGTGTTGATATTTTGAGAGCTCTTGTCACTTCTATAAATGAATATGATGAATTTTCATAATTTATGATAGACAAAAAAAAGGAATAAATTAATTATATTAGAAAAATCTATTGGTAGATTATTGGCTGTCTAGAAATTGCTTCTGTCACTCTTGTTGAATTCAAAGATTTAAAATTTGTACTTATAAATTAATTAATAATTTAGTATGATTCTTATATTTATCAACAATTGATATTATTTGTTTCCAACATTACAAAAGCCTATGAAGATTTAAACTTTGGATAAGCTTACTAATTATATATAGATTTCATGCAAAATTATGTTTCTTTATATGTTTCAAGCACAAGAAATAAAATTATTGCATTTCATAGTGAGTATCAAAATAGCTTATATATCTATTTCAAAATTTACGATATTACATTAAATGTTATTCAACCTATATTATGTTTTAATGCTCGAGATATTCATACCAAATTACCTACTTCATGGCCTAAAATCCCAGTTAGTCATTTTTAAGAAGCATAATAAAATATTGTGACTTTAAATTTATTACATAAATTATAAAAAGAGATCAATACATAAATTGATTTAGTTTAAGAAAGAATTAAACAAAAAAACGTATCAAAAAAATTAGAAATTGTATTTATAATTGAACCAAATACTTATGAATCTTAATTAATTGATTTAGATCCTAATGAATTAGCTTTATTTTTTGATTGTGGTTAAATAACTATAGAGACTGATTATTTAAATAAACAAAGACCAACACATATTTGCATTTCTTCATTTTTTGTGAAAGAATAATTTTATCATCAAAAGATTAATTATCATCTCAAATTTTATGAAATTACTCATAATTAGTGTCCAAGATGTCTTGAACATAAACCCCTCATATCAGATATCTGTTAGGATTGTATAGATTATATTTAAATAGAAGAAGAAAAGTTAAAATAAATTAATTGAAAACAAATGTTTATATTATTTTATAAAAATATTTGAGGAGTTCTAAATAAATTATTTTTCAACTGATCTTGTTTTTCATTTTTCTTTATTTTAACACTTATTTTTCATTCGAAAGAAGAACAAAAAATCTTATAAAAATAGAAATTAATTGTTTTTAGAAATTCAAGTTTAAAATATATAAAGTCAATTTAAATCCTTACATGAAAGCCTTGAATTTGAAATTCTTACAGTTTTTATAAGTTTAGGTTAAAATTCACTTGGGATTTTAATCTTTGGTGTCATTGGTGAATCCAAACCATCATTTCTATCCCAAAGGTCATATTCACTTGATTTAGATTAAGTATCAAGATTTTTCTAACTTAAATTTAAAGATCTCAAAGATTTTCTCTCCAAAGCGGATTACATAAAACGATTGTTCAAGAGATTAAAAGAATCCATTAAAAAAATGCAATATAAAATAATAATAATTTTTTTTCAATTAAATAAATCTTAATAAATCTAAAAAATTTTATTGGGATAATAATCAATTATTAACTTTTTATTAACAATATATAAAATATTAGCATTTGAAAAACAATATCAATTGATTTTACCTTACAATTTACTAATCATTATTGTTCTTTCTTCAAAGTATTTTCCATTAGATTTTTATTTGATAATTCATTAATGATACATTTTATAAATGCCTTCTAATTGTTTCTAAAAAAAATTATAGGAACTTTTATATTCCCATTTTTAGTTTCTCAGCAAAGTTTGAATATTTATTATAAATACTTATTTAATACTAGCGTACATATATTCATTTATTCATTGAAGAGATCTTCTTCCATATTTATTGTTGAGCTAACCAATTAAATTTGCTTTAACAGATTTAGGAATATTATTTAGACTAAAACTTTCTTGATCTGAAGCCTTTGTATAAGATGAATTGAGATCCTTATATAGAGATTAAGTTTTTTATTCAATTAGATTGTCTATTTGTTAATTTTTGAATTTTGAGCCAAAGTCTTCACTCTATCTATTTCTCTTCTTTTCACAAGCCTTTTAATGAAATCGATTCTTTTCTAGACTAAAAGTGCTCATCAATTAATTATAATAATGGTTAGATAGTAATCAATGATTGACAACCTATTATAAACAATTTAAATTGTTATAAATAAAGAATAGATGGATCATATCAAATATATAAAAAGAGCAATTATCAAACTTAAGAAATTTTCTTGAAGTTTGCATCAAATCATAAAAAAACTTAAAATTTCAAGTTTAAATATCTTCTTAAATTATTTTGTGTTAATTTTTATTAAATGATACTAAAAAAACTATTGAATTAAAAAAAATCGAAAAGCAATAAGAAATAATGATGGAAAATTACAAATATTCATAAATAACTACTTGATTTTGTAAATTAATTAGATTATCTTATATTCATATTACTTGTTTGTTATTTTTAAAGTATAAGGATATATTAATTAAACAATTTTTCATTTAAAAGTTTAGATCTTCAATAATAGATATTATTTAATCATCAATTGCTTAAAATAATATTTAAGTATATTTTTTGAATGGTAAATAAAACTTGAAATGATTTGTAAAATAAAACATATATTAATTCTTTAAATAAAATTATATTGCTTAGAAATAAAATGAACAATTATGTTTACGGATAGAACTGTAATGATACTTAAAAATATTTTTAGAATAGATAATAATTTAGCAATTGTTCTGTAAGATTGAGCAATTGATGATAGAAATATAAAAATTAACAAATTTTTCCAATCAATTAATAATGAATTTATAAACATAGGAAAACTAATACAATTCTCTAAAGAGACAATTTAATGATATATGGAGTTAATTAAGTGAGTAATAAAAGATCTGGTTTAATTTAAAGAATAATACTCAGCATTATACTTTATCAAATGAAGCATTCGTAATGTCTAATTTAATAACTGATATAAGGAGTAGAGTATCAGAAATACAATAATTTAATTATAACCAATAGGATTATTCCAAATAGAAAAAATGTTAATAATGTTCAGAAAAAGATTATACAATAAGTAATCTAAAAGCACAAATACAAAAATAGGCAGAAATTTTATTAAAATTATAATGTATAAAATTTTAATTAAAATAATAGCGGATAGTGAAATAGCAAGACCTTAAACCTAAAATTGTTTTGGTAATTATAATAATCAAAGAATTCATACTGAAGGATTAACAAGATAAAGATTTGCATCTCAAAAACTTTTTTAAAGTAATTTAAGTACTACAACAGCTCCTGGCTCAAAGTTTTGATAATAACAAGATTTTATTTAATAAATTTAATTAATAAAAAAAGCTGAATAAAAATTTAATTCAATATTTTTTAATACTTTATTTAGGAGATCTGTCTTTAGTTACATTAAGTTATGGATCTTTTTTTTAGGGTTTCTTTAATAAATCATGTTTTTCTTTGTTAGACATTAAATTCATCATTTAAGAAATTAATTAAATAAATTCTGATTTAATAAGAGAGTGTTTTCCTTTTTCCATTTCTTATAACAAAGGAGTTATTGCTTGAAGAATTTAAGGATCTAAATTAGTGGTATCAATTCTTAAAGAATCAATCTCTCCATCTTAATCAGAATCCAAGAGATCAAATATATTTGAAAGTTTATTATAAATTGATTATTGAGTAATTTTATCAGATTAATGACTAGCCTTTATTTAAGATTAAAAAAGTGCTTGATCCATACTAGATGATAATAATTAAGCTTTTTTATCAGATAATTCTTTAGCTTGATTATAAAGTGTATCAAATAAATTTTCTGGTCGATATTCAGGAGGTCTACCTGTTTTAGGTCGAAAACACTCTTCAACTGATTGATATTTATCTTTAGTAGAAATTAAAAACTTTTATTATCTATCTTAAAAGGATTAACCAGAAACTATTTATTCTGATATTTAATCTATTTTTGGATGGAATGTATAATTTTCTGTAAAATATTCTTATCCTTTTTAATTTAATTTCATTTGACGAATAGTATTCACTTAGTAGAGTTATTCATAATGAGGAATTTAAATTTAAGAGGCTTTTTTCTTTTCTTCAATAATGTTTTAAGATCTAATTAAATATATAATATTACTATTTATCAATTTATGGATGAAAAGAACATTATTATTATTACTCTTCAACTTTATTAAATTATGCTTACTCTTTTTTTTCAGAGATTACTTTAGCTAATTAATTTAAATGAAAGCAAATTGGTTCTGATGGACGATTAACAATTTTCTAGGAAATTGAATTAATTTATGGTTTATAAGTGCATTCAATCATTTATAATTGTTGTTTCTCCAATTATGCCATTTCAGCTTTTAAAATAAACTCATCTTTTTTATTCATTCCTCTCTAATATAGTAATTATCCATAGTTAACATCTGATTCTTAATTATGAACTAATTAATTTGAAATTTATAATCGTTCAGATTCTTGTCTTTATATTTTCATTTTTTTATTTTGAGCACTTTGATACAATCTATTAAAAACATCATCACCTTTCTTCTCTTTAATAGTTTTTGGAGATTAAGTACTCATTTCCTTTATTATATTTTATTATGTCAATTATTCTTGTTATTATTGTTTAATTATTTGCTTGTCTTTTTATTATTAAAGCTATGATCTTATGTTATATTAATACATATTGAGTCATATTTTATTTCTCTTTTAAAGCAATATATATATTCTTCTTAATATTTTCAGTAAGCATAGGAACTAATCTTTGATTTAATTTGTGTTAATTGCAGAAATTTATAGCTAACAGTTCAGGATCGTCTTCTTCAAATACATCAATTCTTGCTGTATTATTATCATCAATTTACACTGTCATTACTAATAATTGGTTGCTCTTTTTTCATATCAAAAAAGATTACTTAATATTCAACAGAATTTTGGCTCATTGATATAATAATAAACTAAATTAAAATTAATAGTGACGTTAATGGACCTATATCCGATAAACAATATTATCAGTCAAACAATTAATTAAAAAATCAAATATGTCTGTGAACAATGCAGAAAAAGAGAGATTCAATAAAAACTTGGATATTATTACTATTCCATACAAATCAAACCTGATAAATCAAATTTATCAATTCAATTCAATAAGAATATTTAGAATAAAGAAAATTATAGTATGAACAATAATTAGGAAGCTAAATCTAGTAAAATTCTATCTTTAAAGAAATATAACTAAACAAATAAATAAATTTCAGAAATTTAGTTTCCATAAAAAAGTGAAAGGCAGTTGGAATCAAATAAATTACAAATAAAAAAAATTATTAAATAAGAAATGGGATAAAAATGAATAATTCAGATACGTTTCTATATATTTTTAAAATTAATCATATATATTCTAATAAATAAAGAAGTGTTACTAAATAAGATACTAAAATAAGTTACTCAATAAAGAACTTAAAGTTACATACCAAATAATTTGATAAAATTTAAAGTTTTATAAAAAAAAGAAATAAAATAAATTTCCTCAAAAAGAGTTATGAAAAAATTCAGAGAATTAAAAAAGACAGGTGATGGAACATTTGGAGTAGTAATAAAAGCAGAAGATACTTAAACTCATGATTTAGTTGCTATAAAAAAGATGAAATAAAAGTATCACAATTTTGATGAATGTACAAATTTGAGGGAAGTAAAGGCTTTATTAAAACTCTAAAATCATCCAAATATTGTAAAACTAAAAGAAAGTATAAAAAATAATATATTAGTTTTTCTTGATAATGATACTTTATGTTTAGTATTTGAATTTGTCGAAAAGAGTATTTATTAAATGTATACTTAATAAAAAGAAATGGTAAATTCGATAATTAAATATAGGGTAAAATAATTTCAGAAGATTAAATAAAATCAATAATATATTAAGTCGCTAATGGTTTAAGTTATATGCATAAACATGGATATTTCCATCGTGATCTGAAACCAGAGAATATGTTAGTAACAAATAATGGAGTAGTTAAAATAATTGATCTTGGATGTGCAAGAGAAATAAGGTCTAGACCTCCTTATACTGATTATATAGCCACTAGATGGTATAGAGTAAATTTTTAATTAAAAATAATAGGCACCAGAAATACTTTTGAAATAAGCTAATTATAATAGTCCTGTAGATATATTTGCATTAGGTTGTATAATGGCTGAACTATTTTTAAATAGACCATTATTCTAAGGTAATTCTGAATTGGAATAATTTAATAAAATACTTTCAACTTTAGGGTATATATATAAATCATTAATCAATAAGGACATTTACATAATAAGAATGGCCTGAAGGAGGTAGACTAGTGTCTTAAATGGGTTTGGCTCTTGCTTAGTTTTAACCTTTACAACTTTAATAATTAATACCAAATGCTAGTACAGAAGCGATTAATTTATTAACCTAAATGATCAGATGGGATCCTAATAAAAGGATTACTGCTACATAAATGTTGACTCATCCTTTTTTTTATAACATTGAAAAGATTGCACCATCTTTAATTTTCGAAGAATAAATTAAATCTAAGGATGAATTAAAGTTCTTTGAGTCGGATCATAAAACTAAATCTTACAGTCAAAAAGATGAAATTCAAACATAATTCAAACAAAAATAATAATTCAAATAATAAATTAAAGATGATGATAGCAATGATTTAGATGACATTATAGATTTCATTACTACAGAAAATAAACCTATGCCATCTAAATTAACTACTTAAAGTGCTAAAACACTTGATTTCGGAGAATATACCCCATCATAAACTTTAAATAGATAACCTAGAAATCTATAAACAAGTTAATTATAGGAATAGCAAAAGAAAGATAATAATTCTATCTATGATTTCAGCCATTTGCAAAGTTTTAAACCAACCAAATAGTCAAATATAAATTCTAAATATTGATCATTTTTATTCTTGAATTTTATATATTTGCTTAAATTATTTTATTTTGTGTGTCTCTTTATTCATTTCTCTTATCATCAAATTTCTTTTATTTTTATAAATACATTTTATTTACTTAATTTATATGAATAATTCAACTTTACTACTATGAATGAGCAATTAATTACTTAAGAAAATTCATTCTAATACTAAATTACACTAACTAACTAGAACTAATATATAAATTTAATATTCATTTAAATATTGAAAAAAAAGAATAAGATATAATAATATTATGGGCAATTCGTGTTATTGTCAATAACCAGAACTAGAGCTCCATCATTAAGAAATTATTTCACAAATCTCTAAAGATAGACAAAAATCTATTGACAATGATGATATCTTCAGTGACTTAGTTTAATAGCATTCTTCGATGTATCAATATCAAGAAGGCATTATGCTTACATTAACTAAACCATTATCTCCTAGATCTTAACATTAAATAATATTTTTAGAACCCAAGGATGTTTTAGATGAGGGGATTAATTACCAACCAACTAGTTTATAAGGAATTTTGAGTTCAAGAAGTAATCAGCAAGAACTTCCATAAAGTTCAAGAAGTAATCTACAAGAACTTCCATAACAATCTCCAGAAATTGAAACCAATGGAAAAGAGAGAATCAAAAAGAAAGTAAATTTTTTAAAGTGAATTAAAATTGACAAAATTATGAAAAACTGAAAATATATCAAAGCATCATCATTTTTAATTTATAGAAACAAATATTTTGAGAATAATATTTATAGTAGAATGCCATACAAAAGATTGAAATTAAATCTAATAATTCATGATTTTAAACTCTACACATTTTACTTTGAAATTATATCAAAGGAAAAAAAGAACTTTCTTTTGAATTCTTAAAGTTTATTATTATATTTCTTAAATGTTAATATGAGGAAAAACTTGATTCAATTCAGAAAATAAAACAAAAAATAATTTTAATAATTAGAGTTATAATTTCATCTAGAATCATATTTAATGAGAGAATGAATCTAAAATAACTTCCTTGCTTGTCTTGCTTTTAGTATAAATTATTAATATAATTTAACTAATATTTGCAATAATGTTAAATTTAATTATTATGTAAATTTTCATCAAATGCTTATTTCAAACTTAACTAATTAATACTAAATGTAATTATAAAATTAAAAATTTATTAGATCATCATTAGGCAGGAGCTTTTTTAAATAAGAAATCTTTAACTTTGATATCTTATTTATCTTAAACAATTTTCAAACAAAGCATCATAAAAAATGATATTAACTCTTTTTTCCCATAGTTTTTTTTTTTAAACTTATTATAAGGTAATATAATCAATAGTTTGTCTTCTATTTTTGGCAATATTAATAAAAAATGAAGCAATATCTGAATTAATTAAAAGTTAAAAGATTATGTAGAGAGTATTTGTTGAATTAATTTTTATGTATACAGGATATTATGAAACAGATAAAAGTGAAGATATTTTAAAATATAAATTATTTTTTTTAAAATTAATCAATAATGATTTTTAATAATTATAATTTAAAGTATATATTATCTTATGAAGCGTATATATTAATTGAAAATCTTAAAGATAAAATTATTTCATTTAAGCATTATTTTCAATATAAATTATAAATAAAAAAATCATCCGAGGCAGGAGTCGAACCTGCAACCTACAGCTTAGGAGGCTGTCGCGCTACCATTACGCCACACGGACATATTAAAGTAATTTACATTTATTTCATTTATAACTTGATTCTTTTAGAAAATAAAAGAATTTCAAGCCTTTCTCTACTTTAAGTTGTTAAAAAGAATTATTTGGAATAACTCTAAAATAAATATTATAACTAATATCTAATAATTATAAATATTTTTATAATTAATATAAGTATTTTTAATAATAATATTTATGTCAGAAATCATAATTTTTATTAAGTAGCCTATTAACTGAGTTTTTGACTGTCCAAGCAGTTCCAGATGATAGTGGAGCCTTAATAAAATTAAGTGAAACTCCTTTATAAAATCCTTTAATGATTCCCTCAACTTTATAGATGGTTTTTATCTAAACCCATGTGGATCTTAAATTATTATAAAATAAAAAGTACGTCATTGTTTAAATCTCTCCTTATTAGAGTAACATGTTTTATCCTTACATTCTTTTCTTTACAATATCAAAAGGATATGCTAAAACTTAAGCAATAATAGCTCCACTTGCTCCTATAGCAAAGTCTGTGCTTTTATGTTTAGCAATCCATGGATATTATTCAAGTAGATATTCTTTCATTAATGTAAAAGAAAAGAAACCACTTCCATGATATATTCCTACTCCTATTATTCCTATTGATAATCCTGAATAAAATGATAAGAATCCTTCGACTTTGTATATTTTTAGAGCTGCATCATATATGTTTTTATAAAGAAAAGCATCTCTCTACATTGCTAATCTTGTTCGTAAAAAATCAAATGGATAAGCTATACTTTATGCAACAATCCCTGAAGCTAATCCGCATAAAAATAATCTAATCTTTCTTAATATTGTTTTATCATCTCTATCTGGAGCAAATTTGCTTCTCAAATAATCAAAAGTTGAGAAATTCTATTCATTATCAATATTATTTACAATGGCTGATTAAGGAAATATTCTTAACACATTTGCCTGATTACCTCTCCAAAAATTTAGAAAACCATGGTGTTAATACACATATATAGCATCTTAAATAGCTGCTTTATAAGTGAATTAAGTGGATCTAGTCTATGTTTAATATCATAACACATTAATACCAAATATAGTAATTTGATTCTTTCAAATGGAGAAATGACAGTTTTAGCACAAACTCCTGCACAACCACCTTTTCATAAAATTAGATTCACTACCTGATATAAAACTTGTCCAATAGTCTTTTTGTTTATTAGTCATTTATTAAAAATGAACATAAATCAATCACTAAATTTTTACAAAACCTCAAAAAGTAATCAAAAAAATTGAATTTTATTCTACAGGTATTATTTAAATCTCAAGAATCTCATAGAATGAAATAATATTTGTAAAATGAAGAATACGCTAAAAAAAATTATTTATTTATTTTCAATAACATAGTCCTATTATTAGTTCATCTTTTATATTTCTGATTAATCAACATAATACTAAAGTCTTTTTCAAGAAATTATAATAAACACACCCTTTAAGATATATCAATTCTGTCAAAGTTTAAGGGTATTTTTGAAAATAAAAACATCTTTTTTAAGAATCATTTAAAACGATATAAACTCACGAGATAATCATCATTTATAAATTAGCATAACCTTATTATGATCAAGATTAAGAATATAAAATTATTAAATGATTTCATTCTTTAGGAATATCAAATAAAATATGAGCTTTTTTTTGATGTTTCTTTTTCAAAATCAGTCCACTCACAATGGAGAATAAATTATTTGGTAATAAAAGTTCCTTTGAGATAAAATTTATGATTCATTTTTAAAATAAATAAAAAACTTTAGTATATAAATAAATTAAAAATTTCTAAAAACTATTTGTTATATAAATATATTTATATCCATCTAATATATCACTTTTTTTATTACTCTAATCCTTGTTTAATACGTGGTACTAGTTCCTCTATTGAATAATTAGATAAATAGATTACCTCTAACTTGTCTAGCTTTTTCTCTAATTTATTGCATATTTTTGCTTTTAGCATTTGCTCTAATTTTTTTGAACATTGGAGCATATTTGAATACATCAGGAATCACTACAAATCTAATTTGGCTTCCTCTTAAATATACTTATTCTAAAGACATTGGTCTACCATCTCTTGTTACCATTTACACTTCATCTAATCTTACATTCATTGTGTCCTTTAATATTGTAGTTTTAATTACTTCAGCTTCTGCCATATATCCTGTAAACATTTCACCTGTTTTTAGTTCAACTGTGACAATATGATGAACTGCTTCATGCATAATTTTAAGAGGTACTCCTAAAGACATTACTTAATTTTTATATTAATTATATAATTTAATTAATTTTAAAAATTCTTACTTGATAACAGTGACTTATTTTAGTTGGAATTTTTTAAAACAATAACTTCTAAAATCAAGTAAATTTAGTCCTTTTTTTGAGATTCTGATTGATAATAAATATTAATAAATAAAAGATTTTAATAAATAAAAATGGACAATAAGAAATGTTTATTCGAGAGATTCGGTGGTGATCAATAAGTTTCTGAACTGATTGATCAATTCTATTATAAAGTCCTCTTCGATAAATTATTAAGGGATAAATTTCTCAAAGCTGATATGAGTCGTGTAAGATATTAATAGAAAAGATTCTTTTCTTAAATGATGGGTGATAAAAACACTCAATATACAGGAAGGTATTATAGTATTATTTAAGCATTAGAGATTTAGTTGAAGTTCATAAAGGATTAAACATAACAAATTAGCAGTTTGATAAATTTAAAGCTCATCTCAAAAGCATAGCATCTGATATGGAAGTAAGTGAAGCAGATTTGGCAGAATTACTTGATTATGTCGAAAAGTATAGAGAAACCATTGTGTTTAATAAGGCAGCATGATTCTATAATTATATATTCATATACACAATTTGATCTATAAACTTTACTTACTTACGCATCATCAATAATAATAATGAAAAAAATATTGATTCAGCATTAGGAAATTTAAATTATAATAAATTTATTTATTTTAAAATTCTTGTGCTTGAATGATTTTTTAAGTATAACTTATTACTTTTAGAATAAGGTCTTGTTTAATTTCATAGTTCTCTATCCTAATTGAATATATCATAGAATAATTAAATTTATTCATAATATATTATATAATAATAATATATTACTTCAACCCTTCTTTTTATCTAAATTCTCGAATTTAACCCATGATGATCCAGATTCTATACTCTCTAACTAATTCATTAAATCTAAAAATATTTTACTTCATCAGCAATTTCTTCTTCAGTGTGTCCACTTCTTAATACTGATGTCCAAAAATTTAACCATTCTTCTTCAGATATTGTTCCACTGTTATCAGTATCAACTGATTTAAATAATTCTTCAGTATTCAATTTTGCAAAATTACTCTTCCTAGTCAGATTTGAAATTGCCACAAATACCAATATTTAATAGTTTCTGATTTTTCAATTGATTTAGAACCATCAACATCAAATCTTGCAAATAATTTAAGTACTCTATCTCTCATTTATGGAGATAACTACACATAAATCTGAATTAAGATACTTCTTTTCCTTGAGTAGGACCCATATTTGTTTATTTTATAAATTTTTAATAATGAATTAATAAGACTCTCTTAAATAACCTCTAATATAAGAATAGGAATCAAAAACTATAATCTTAGGTGATTGTTCATTTACAGAAATGAATATGGATTAAATTGTTAATGATAGTGCTTTTGAATGGGGTTCTATGTCATTTTTAGAAGAAGATAATTAAGTAAAGGTAATACCATTTGTTACTAATGAAACTATATTTTATAGAAGGACATTAGAAAAAAATAATAAAAAACTTAATTTTTTTGAAAAGTGTTTCAAAAGTAAGAAATCTATAAATAAAGTGACAATGGCTTAAGTCATTGATTTAAGATAAAAAGATATTTTTAAAGATTATGCTTATGAAACCAAAAAAACTGGATTCTTTAAAAGAACTTCTTTTTGTTTTGGGTAATTAAATGTACTTGAACCAGATTCTCAGTTCTACATATATTGGTAGGTTCTAAATAGCATTTTAGTAGTTATTTTCTTCTTTTAAATTCCATTTATGCTTGCCTATCAACCTCTTATAGATGAAAGACTTGCATACCATTTCAAATTCCATGCAGAATTATCATTGTATATAGGAATTTCTATTTTTGTCTTGGATATTATTGGGTCTTTCAATATAGCTTTTTATAAATAAGGATAGCTTATAAATGGAAGAAAATAGATTGCCATTAATTATTTAAAGACTTATTTCTTATTAGATTTAATACCTCTTTTATGTTTAATAGAGTTTAGATTATTATTATTTAATGAAAGACAATTAGGATTTGAACAATTTTTATTCCTTTTAAAAAGTTATGAGGTTAATAAAACTAGTAATATGATAAAAGAATATTTGTAACTTGAACCTTCAAAATTAGCAAAGTATCGTCTACTTACTGTAATGTTGACAATAATATGGTTATGTCATTTATTTGCTTGTTTATTCTTTTTTGTTGGAAGAAGACAAAAATATGGAAATCCATCATGGTTAAATAGTTGCAATGTAGTTATAATGAATGGAGGATATGAAGATATGCCAATCTTTGAATTGCATTTATATTCATTTTATTGGGCTGTAACAACAATGATAACAGTAGGATATGGTGATGTAACTCCGATGAATTTTTGGGAAGTTTTTGTAACAGTCATAACTTAACTAATCTCTTGTATTGTTTTTGCCTATTCTGTCAATGCTATTTGGGAAATGATTTATTCCCAAAATGAAAGTAAATAAAAATTTTAGTATATTATTATTTATTTCATTATAGAAAATATGTTAATGCCATCTAAAGATTCATGGTTGAACATAATGTTGATAGAAAATTAAAAGCTCGAATTGAAGCTTATTTGTTTCATCTTTGGTAAACTGAAAAGGCCAGAGATTATGAATTAGAAAAAGCTATGATTCTCAAATTAGCACCTGCCTTAAGAGAAGAGTTGATTTACTAAACATTAGGAAAAATGTTAAAACACAATAATTCCTTTTCCTGTTTTTCATAAGATTTTCTTATGTAATTAGCATAAGAAATTTAATAACAATATTATTCCTAAGAAGAAAATATTTTCCTTGAAAGAGAAGAAATCGATGATTTCCCATTATATTTTCTAGATAAAGGATAAGTAGAAATCTTTCTTGACAGCGAAAAAAGAATCAAATTACATATCATAAAATCTGGTATTTTTGGAATAATTGGATTTATAACAGGACATAAAAGGACTGCATCTGCACGTTGTTTGACTTATTCAGTGATTTACAAACTATCTAGAATATAATTTATTAATTTATTAGATAAATATGAACAAGATAGACAAAAATTCTATGAAATACGTCACAATGTATTTTTCAATAACAATTATGAGAATTTAAAGTTAAGATGCTATATTTGTGAAAGTAGAAGTCATCTAGCAATTAACTGTAAAAGAACATTATATCTTCCAATAAAAAATGAAATAATTTAATCTTATTACAATGTTAAAAATAATAGAGAATCAAGTTTTAAAAGAAGAATAGTTAAATAATAATTTAAAGCTTTGTCTCATATACGAGAAGTTTAATTGAATGCATTGGCTATAAAAAAGTACTTTTAGATAACAACATTTAATTTGGATTCAAATGATGAGGATGATGAATATAGTTCTGATGTAGATGATTATGAAGAAGAAATAGAAAATATAAAAAAGATAGTTGAATAAGAGAAAGAAAGAGCATAATTAAAAAAGAGAGGATAATGGTTGGCTGATGATAATTATGAGATGAAAATAGATGAAAATAAAGATAGTCTAAGTAATGAATAATCAGATTTGTAAAAGTCTTAAATAAATATAAAGAATTCTGAAGAGGAATAGAATAAAGTGAAAAAAAAAAAGAAATTTTAGAGTTTTGTAAAGTTACAATTACCAAAGAAAGTGAGAACTTCATCAATGTCTAGTTTAACTCCGATTAAAGAATAAATAAAAAAGGTTGGAAAAGGATAAAGCAATCTATCTCCAAACATTGCTTAAGTTTAAAGAAGGAAAAGCAAATTAATATAAGGATAAGAAAGTAATGATAAATAAATTGATAAAATGTTATCTCCTGAGAAATTAATTAACAATGATGATAAGAAATAAGAATTATTGAGAAAAATGAAATTTCTTTAAATAGCTTAACCAAGAAATAAAGAAGTCCAATTGATTATCGATGAATTGAGGTAACTTTACCAAAACTTAAATTTAGGAACTATATCTCTAATAGTTAAAGTTATAATCAGCAATCTAAAGTTGAAAATGAATCCGATCCTAATGCTAATGCTACTTCAGATCTTGATAGTTCATTTAGTATTGATCATTTGGCCAATTACGAGTGTTTCTTTTAAGAAGAGAACCCTGACAAAGTGATACGTAAATATAAGAGAATCTTTAAGGAAAAAGTTAAATAGAGAAGAACAACCTTAATTAGATATTAGGATGATTGAAATAAACAAATTAATTTTATTTCAAATGTAGTAATAATAAATATTACCTCCATATACATTGACATTAAAAGAGTTACTCAGTAGACCTAATTTAGTAGTTGTCTCAGAGGAAGGAATGAGATTTAGAACTGAAATGAGAGAAGATACTCGTAGTGCATCTCCAATTCCCTAAAAACACAGTCATTAGGCACTTAAAAATGATAAATCTAAAGATATTACTATCAAAGCTCTAAAAATAGGAAATTAATCATTCTATTAAGGAAGGTAACTATTAAAATACTAATATAGATAAAATGAAACTTTATTAAACACAAGTTAACTTAAAACAAAATTCTAGAAACCTTATGATTAAAAAATTGTATAAAAACTAACGAGTAAAATCTTAAGACCTGAAACTCCCATTTAAACCATTACAAATAAATTATAAGAATTATATAATGAAATTGATAAAAATGACAAAAAAATTATTAAGTTTGAAGAAACAATTGATCAAACCAACAAAGAAGCTGCTTTGGCTGTTATTGAATCTAAATTAGCCAAATTACATTAAAATTATGAAATATAATTGAAAAAAAGAGACTGGACATAAAAGGTATTTCATTTACATTCATACTTTTGAGCATATTAAAGAAGTATTGAGACAATAGAAATTATATAATTAAAGATAAAATGAATTATATGACAGTAATTTTGAAAGACCTACTAATAAAGAAATCGAAGAATCCTATTACAAAGATCCAAAATACTTATAAAGAAAACAAATTAGATTGCGTGATTATCAGAAATGTAAATTTGAAGTAGAGTATATTTGAAATGCATAGAAATACTGGAAATTGCAACCTATATTAGGCAAATTTTAGACCTGACAAAGAAATCCGTTTAATTTAATATTATTTTATTATTAAAAAAATTTAATAAAATTTAACGTATATATGAGTCAATTGGAACCATTTGAAGACCATTACAATAATTAATATTTTGAAGTATTTGGATGTTGTCATTAAAATCGACATTATTATTCAAATAAAGACATATGCAGAGAATGTGGCATATTTTTAAATAATGTAAATAATCTCTTATATGTATAATAGCCAAATACTAGAGTATACAAAACATTAAAAATGAAATTTAATGCTTTTTTCAATCCAATTAAAGTTCTAGAAAGTATTTTATTTGAAGGAGTGCCAAAAGGGCCTGCAAAACAACGTTAACAGATCATTGAATTTATTTTACAGGCTTCTGAAAGATTAAATCTATCATTAAATACTTCTTTTTTGGCAATAAATTATATAGATGAATATTTAAGTAAAGTAACAATAAATGAAAATCAAACATATTTATTTGTAGCAAGTGCTTTAATGCTTGCAGCTAAGGCATAAGAACTTGATGAACGTGTACCTTTCATTAGTAAATTAAAAAGATATGCATCAATGACAAATCATCCTGAAATTAATCAATATTCAATTTAAGAATATAAATTTGCGGAGAGATCATTGATTTAGATAATGGAATGGAGATTATAGAGAATTACTTTATTAGATAGGATAGAAGCTATTTTATCTTTTGGAGTGATAGATGATGATGATAGTTTGGGATAACAACATCAAAAAGAGAATAAAGAAAGTTTCCATTAATAACATGTAAAACTTAGAGATCTTTAAGAAAATCAAATATTGTATTATGTAAAAGAAGTTGAAAGTAAATATACAGAAATAGCATTGTAAATAATAAAAGGTATTATTATATATAGAAGATAGATGATAATTTATATTTTGGAACAGATTAGACAATCTTAGCATTATCTTGTGTGGCTTATTTAAGAAAGAAGGCAGGATTATTAAATATTTGGTCATAGTAATTACAATGTTTGACTGGAATAAGTGCATAAAAGATTTCATCATCAGTTTCATAGATTATGACATTAATTGCAAAAAGCAAGAGTTTTAAAACAATTACAAATTTGTAATTAAACCCTTAAGAAATCTATTTTTAACCTTTAATGCCTAATAATACATTGACAACTATAAATACAAATCATTTGAACAACAATCGTCCATTCTAATTAGAGACTAAGAGACCATCCTTTGGTGAAGTAGTAATTCAAAGTAGTAAATTAAAAATGCCATTATATCAATCATAATCAACTGTTTAACTTGCTGAATTCTAGAAATAGAATTAATTATATAAGCACGCTAATTTCACTACAGCTACAAATTATTCTTATCTTCATGATAATCAAATTCATCAGACCCACTTGTTATAATAGTTTGGCACTACCTAAACTCAAGAACTTGATAAAAAGTATGAGCAAGTACATAAAGTCAGTACTAATATGTTCAGACCTTTGTAATGATACTACCAATTATTATATCATCACTGTTATTAAAACATATATTTTATAGCTTCATCAATAAATTTGTAAACATATTGGTATTGTTCTGAAGTATGTACCATTCCCCATCGCTATTCTCTCAATCTCCTTACTACTCCAAAAATTGAAATCCTAAACTAATCAGGATTCTCAAATATTTCTTGGTTTATTTATATTTCTTACTAGAATTATCATTTCCTATATAAGATTTGTAAGTTGTAAGTATAATCATTAGATTAACTAATGATATTAATGTTCCTGTTCTCCCAACTCCAGCACTAATTAAATATTTATAACTTAATATTACCTGCAATGAAATACCACCTTTTATTCATTTAATACTCTATCCAAAATTTATGTTAGTAACTCTTTTATTGTATTAAAATCGTTATGATTAGGCACTCCTTGATCTGGCCATCCACACCATTATAATTAAATGACTTATTTTTCTTCTCCATTTTATTCTTATATTTTCAAAGTTCTTTTTATTATATTATTCCCCAAATCCTCTTGACTAATGAAATTTACTGTAATATTTCCTATTAGTAAATTATCTCCAATATTTTTAGGCCAGTATTACTCACATTATGCCTATCATATTTTCAAAACTTCTATTACCTTTCCATTTTCTTTTAAATTACACAGCATTACTATCACTGCTACACTCTCTTAAGAAATCATTCTCCAAAAATGTCCTATTGTTTAACATACTGGACCTTATGTTGCAATCATCATCTTCTCCTTTCCATTTATTAACTAATAACTTTATATTATACCTTACATTTATGTAATCAGCATTTAAATATGACTCCTTTTAGTTCTCTTCTTCATCACATTTCAATTTTACTATTGAGTGTTTAACTATGATAACTTTTTACATTACAAGGTATGATGTTACTATAACGATTCAATTTCAAAATATCAGGATGAAAATCATAAAGGTTATCATTATGATACTAAGTTTCTGTCAACCTTCTTAAAATCTTAGAGAAAAATAAATTTTTATTTTTACTCTAAATTCCATTTCTTAATCTCTATTCTAAATTTATTCACTAAACTCAGCTATCGGAATCCCTTTCTCAATACTTCTCAAATCTGCATTCCCCATTACCCATTCATGTGAATAATCTTGACTGATTTCTCGACCTTCCACTTATAAATTTTGTAGCATAATTTTTAATTTATATAATAAAATCTTTATCAAATCTAATTATTAGAAATCTACAATTATCTTATCAAAATATTAAGATATTCCACCTTATTTTTATTATATTTTATAATAGTTTTCAAGTTCAACTTTTATTTTTATAATTCTGACTTTTAAAATATTACTAACACAAAAATGAAATTCTAGAAAATATTAAAAATTTCACACAATAATTTTTAAATCAATATCAGTTGATTATCCAATCTCTACTTAATTCTCCTATTTTACAACTACATTTCCAATTTAACATAAAGTGTTTCTTCTCAAGTTTAAGCTAATTATTTTTGTTTCTTTTTTTATTTTTTACTTTAAATAAATTATCAATATTGAATAATAATTCATCAAAAAATGTAAGCAAAATTAAACATCATCATTCTTTATTATAGAAATGAAATTATAAATACATTGTTTTTCATCTTGATATTAAAGTATTATTAGCCCAATCTTTATTACCTAAGCAACTAAGTCTTAATAAAATTTTTATCTAATCTTTTAGTTTTCTTTTACATAATTTTTATTTATTTAAAGGGATTAATTGAGATGGATGAAGAGATACAAGTAGATTTCTTTACTAAGAAAATATTGAGTTAAAACATTGATTCAAATTCAATATTGCGTATCACCCCAATTTTCATATTATTTTTTTAAGATTCATAAAATAAATTTAATATAGAGTTGCATCGATCTGTAAAAGATAAACATTGAGTATTTGATTTAAAATATTAATTTGAACAAAACGAAACTAATAAATTTTATAATATGCTCCTCCACCTCAAAAAAACCAAATAAATCCAACATTTCTAGTCTACTACAATTTGGGAGCCTTAATTTTTTATTTTTAAAAGGATTTACCCAATTTATGTTGTATTTTTCAATTTATTCTTTTAAATTACTTCTTCTTTGAATTTTATTTTGAATTTCAAGTTAAATTGAGTGAATATTATTTAAATTTACTTTTAAGTGCCTAAACAACAAATCTGAAAAAAATTTCAATCTTCTACATCATCCAGAATATTCATATTTTTTGGAATTTTATCAATAAATGTCTCCACTTTTTAGAATTCCCCTAATAATTAACTGAATATGAACACACTGGATTTTCTATTTTCACAGGAAATTGTAGCTTGATTCAAATTATAATAAAAATTTATAAAATCAAATTTGAAGTTCTATATTTTAAGGTTTGGTTGAATAAAGCTAATTTAGATCTTTAGCAATAACAAATCCAATTAAACTTATAGTATTTTTTCTTTGTTTTTAAGTAATTTATAAGCGAATAGAATTGAAATAGAAATAGTAGACTGTATCTAAATAACTTTGAATTCGATGCTTAGTTCTAACCTATTTTAGACCTTCTTATTTTAATTTAATTAACTCATTCTAGAAAAACTAGAGTAAATAATGTAAATTAAATTTAGATTTTGTATATTATTTGGGATTGGGGTCTAAGAATTGTTAGAGGTATTCAATTAGATTTTCATCTCTCTATCCTGTGTCATAGATGGTATTTCTAGAACAATTATCAATTGCATCAACAAATTCTCTAGCTTCAAAATCATTAGCAATAAAGGAATTGGAAAACCGATAAGGATTATTTTTTCTTTGAACTTACTAGAATTATTCAGGTTCAAAGTCTATATTTTAGATGCAGGTTAAAAATTAAGCAGAAAGTTCATCACTATAAAAACCAAAGTAATCTAAACTACAATCTAAAACTGCTGGTTGAATGAATAATTCTCCAAGTAATTAAAATTCTTAAATGGATGCATATTTACAATAAGTAGCTAGATACTAAGAGAATAATTTATTATCTGTATCTAAAAAGCTACTTTTAGAAGCAAATGAATTTTCTTTATGATTATGGATTTTGAATCCACTTTATTGGAGAGATCTCAGAAAGTAAGTTTTTTCACTAAGCATCTCTGAGAAAGGTCTAAAGGTATCACACAAGAGATAAATGAATGCAGCCACAGGAGTTTAACAATTATTAGCACATGTTTAATAACTTCTAAGTTCAGTTTCAGTAATAATAGAGCAGAATTAACTAAGGATTCCATTTCTATTAATTTCAGATGAATAGTTTTCATAAAATTGTTGAGCTATTCGTTTTTTTAATTAAATAATAAATGGAGTTTAAATAACTATTCCATAGACTTCACGAACATTTTATATTTTTCTGATTGCAGTTTTAAGTAATACTTTGAATTATTCGGAAAAGTTAGTAAGTACATTGAAACTTGAATTACTTTTATTATTTTAATCTTTAATCAATTCAGTTTCTTTTATTTCATCTCTAATTAAAGGTTCTTTAATGTCTAAGATAGAACTACTAGAATGAGATTGAAAATCATAAGATTATTTTTTTATTTAGGATGACTATGAATAATTGGGCATCTTAGTTTAAATGTAGTTTAATATGGTATCTAAATATTTTATAAAAAATTATGAAACATCTTCAACCCATGAATCTAAGGGAAAGAAATCTAATATTCTAAGTCTTATGTATTTGTATTCTTATTTAAGTGTTCGAGTTTTAAGGGTTTTTAAATTAAAAAGATCATTGGGAGTAAAGCTGTAATGATAATTTCCTAAAGCTTATAAAAAATTAGATGAATAATACCTAGAGATGCATGAAATTTTGGAGACCAAGGTAATATTTCAGAATTTATAAATAGACTAAGTAATTTTAATTTGAAATAGCTGTCATTCATAGTGTTGATTTCACAATAAAATGGAAATAGACTATCACTGATAAATGTTTTATAGACAATAGAAGCAATTTCATCTGGTTGTAATGAAAAATCTTTACACTATACTACTTTTCTAGTTAATTCATACATTGATTCATATTCTATATGATGCTTTCTTCCAAGTAATTGAATCATTTTTTTAAGCGATTAATAAAATATGTTGTCTACAGCATCTTCAATTTATTTTTTAATTCCTATTTCTGAATATCTAGATTCAAAGAGTAATTATTATAGGAGAAAACTCATTTTATGATCAAGATCACTTTCCCTTTTGGATAATCCTATAATTTCTAATTAAAGGTAATCTGAAGAGTCTTTTCTTTTGAAGAATATATATTCATAAGCTTTGAATTTGAATTAAGGAATATCAAGAAGGAATGGCTTTTTCGTAAAATTGTTAAATTTTGCACAGTAATGTAAATCAGTTGTATGATCTGCTACAATATATTTAACACTATCAAGTTCACTTTCACTATACTCTTATGAATCTAATCCAATTCCAAGGATTTTATAATTATTAACATTTCCATCCAGATCCCAACTATTAGGGATTTTTATAGCTAATTGTTCTATTTCAAGCCATTCCCCTTAATTTTCAGTCACTTCAGAATAAAACATTAAAGGGTATTCTAAGATCAAAGGAAAGTGCATGAATTTTATTATTATTTTATAATTCAATTCACTTTGTTGCTTTCTTCAATGGAATAAAGAATTTCTAGTTGATTATTAGATAAGCTAGGAAATGACCTGTTCCATATATGAATCCTGTAAGAAGTGGATATAGTACAAGCTTTTTAAAAAGTTGATCTTCATCCTTTTTCTCGGATATTAGGTCTCGATAGTCCATTAATTATTTTTATTTGTGATGTTAAGATTAAGTTTAAACTTATTTAGAAGAAATGGATTTCGATATTCTAAGCCTTGTATGTTCTTTTCTTAAGATAAGGAACCTCCTAAAGGTATTTTTGTTCTTTTCTATAAGTAGGTTTCCAAAAATTTTAAAGAAAATCGAAAATCTAGTAAGAACAATCTATTGAACCAAAGGAAGAAAAGAAGGCTTCAGAAAAACCCAATCAAGAAGAAGCAGAAAAGATCATTAATGAAGAACAATAACATGAGGATCCCAGTCAAAAAGGTATGTCTGTAAACATTAATAATGATAGTGGAAAAACCATAGAAAAAGAAGTATCAATTTACTTATGATCCTAAATCATTTAACATATAAGACGAGAATAAGAAGACGGAGAAGGTGAAATAAGATTAATAAGAGAAATAGGAGAAGTAGGAGGAGGAAAAGTAAGAAAATTAAGAAAATTAAGAAGATGAGGAATTATAATAATAACAATAATCTTAATAAGAAAAGAAAAAATCTTAACTCCCAGAAATTGATTTAAGCAAGATTAAAGAATACTTACAAAATCCAAAGAATAGAAATTATATTTATATGTTTTTAGGTATGAGTGGTTTGGCTGCACTTTACACATATTTGAATATGGAAGAGGAAATAACTTATACTGAATTTCTTAAGAATTATTTAGAAACCAATTAAGTTAGTGCTATTAAAGTGTATAATAATGATAATAGCAAAGTTAATTAAGCTTCAATAATAACAAGTGGAGGAGAATCAAAAAGATTAATTTTAGGAAATGTAGATCATTTTTTAGAAAATTTAGAACGTTATTAAACTGAAAAGGGAGTATATCCAGAATAATTCATACCAGTTTCATTTGAAATATAGATAGATAAAGGAAAAATGTTAGATAGAGCATTAAATATATTATATTATGGAGTATCTGCAGTGTTAATATTTTATATTTTTAAATCATTGAAAGGGAGTTTGGGAAATATGGGTAAAGGTGGTGGTGGTGGAAATGATGTATTTGGTTTTGGTAAATCAAATGTTAAATAATTTGGTTTTGAATAAAATGTAAAAGTGAAATTTAAGGATGTGGCTGGATTGGATGAAGCAAAATTAGAAATAAAAGAATTTGTAGATTTTTTAAAGAAACCAAGAAAATATAAAGAAATGGGAGCAAAATTACCAAGAGGTGCATTATTAGCAGGACCACCAGGAACAGGTAAAACAATGGTAGCAAAAGCATGTGCAGGTGAAGCTGGTGTACCATTCTTTTTTGTAAGTGGATCAGATTTTGTAGAAATGTTTGTAGGGGTAGGTGCAAGTAGAGTTAGAGATCTATTTAAATAAGCTAAAGCTAAATCTCCTAGCATAATATTTATAGATGAAATTGATGCTGTAGGTAGAAAGAGAGATGCAAAGATAGGAGGTAATGATGAAAGAGATAATACATTAAATTAATTATTAGTAGAAATGGATGGATTTGGAACTGATACTAATGTTATTGTATTAGCAGCAACAAATAGAAAAGAATTATTAGATCCAGCACTTACTAGACCAGGAAGGTTTGATAGATCTATTGATATTACATTACCAGATATAGAAGGAAGAAAATAAATATTTATGGTTCATTTGGCTCCTATTAAATTAGATCCTTCTAAGACTATGGAAGAATATGCTAGAAGATTAGCTACTTTAACTCCAGGATTTAGTGGAGCTGAAATAGCTAATCTATGTAATGAAGCTGCTATTATGGCTGCTAGAGCAAATAAATCATATGTAGATGCTCATGATTTTGAAATGGCATCTGAAAGAGTTATGGCAGGATTAGAAAAGAAAAGAATTATTAGTGAAGAAGAAAGAAAAACTGTAGCATTTCATGAATCTGGACATGCTGTTGCTAGTTGGTTTTTAAAAGGTGGTCATCCTCTTCTTAAATTAACTATTATTCCTAGAAGTAAAGGTTCATTAGGTTATGCTTAATATTTACCTAATGAATCTAGTCTAGAAACTAAATAAGAATTATTAGATAGAATCTGTTGTATCTTAGGAGGTAGAGTAGCAGAAGAAATCTTCTTTGGTTAAGTTACTACTGGAGCTTATGATGATTTAAAGAAAGCTTATGATGTTGCTCATAGTATTGTTACTAAGTTTGGTATGAATGAGAATATTGGATATGTTGGATTCTAAGAAGGAGAGTTCCAAAAACCATATAGTGATAGTACTAATAAATAAATTGATGATGAAATTAGAAAGCTTATTGAAGAATAAACAATTAGAACTAGATTGCTCATTACTGAAAAAAAAGATTTTGTCAACAAGTATTTTATAATAATTATATTTTAGATTGGCTTCAACTTTGTTGGAAAAAGAAACTCTCGACTTATAAAAAATAATAGAAGTATTAGGAGAAAGACCATTTCCACCAAAATCTAATTATAAAGCATATTTGGAAATAAAAAAGGAAGATCAACAAACAGCCTCTTAATGAATTAATATATTCTATGTATTTATAAATGGAATTTATCAGATTCTATATCTAGTACTGGTATATTTATGTTTTTAGATATATAATTTTTTGTATTTAAAAAAATGTATCTTTTTAAATAATAGGTTTAAAGCACAAAATATTAAGCGTGAGTTGAAATTATTAAATTATCTTATAATTATATGATTCATTCAAGCAAAAATACCAAAAAATCAAAAAAATAAAAGAACTGTGATGATTTTACTGATTCTCATTCAAAATTATTATTAGAACGTTTTCCTTACACAATAAACGATTTTTAACTAAAAGATGTTCCTGTACTTAAAATAGATCGTTGTTTTTTTGCAGATCCATTCAAGACCATAGATGAATTATATACAAAAGGTTATGAAAAATTTGGAATAGTAAAATTGATCCTTCCTTCAGATTTAATTGTTCCAAATAAGAAATTCTTTACCCTTTTAGAGACTAAGCTTAAGGGTAAGAGAATGTAAACTCGTATCTAAACATTGAACACTGAAAGAGCAGGAGAAGTATTTTGTTATATTTAAACATAGATATTTGGATCAAATACTGTAGGATTCACTATTCAAGAATACATGAATCTTGCTAATAGATTTGAGTGTAATCATAGATTGTAAGGATTGAGAGAAGTGTCAAATCAGATTCGATAGAATGAAATAGAGTTCTGGTCAATTATTGATTATCCAACTAGATATGAAGATATTGAAGTAGAGTATGCAGCGGATCTTTTGGCAACTAAATATGCAACTGGATTTTAAGAGGGTTAATTAGGAAATCTAAATAGAATAAACAAAAATAGGAATTCTATATTTTAAGTTCTTCAAGAAAAGAATGAAATGAGTGGAATATCAGTTCCTTGGTTATACTTAGGTATGAAATATGCAAATTTCTGTTGGCATAAGGAAGATCTTAATTTAAATTCAATGAATTATATGCATGCTGGAGCTGCTAAAACTTGGTATACAATTTAATTGAAAAATCATTTTAGGTATGCTATCCCACCAAGTTACAGTGATAAATTTTTACAATACTTTAACTAAGCCTTTGAGAATGAAAGGAAATCTAACCCACATTTGTTGTACGATATTACTTGTTAAATTTCACCTATAGAATTGATTGAGAATGGAATACCAATTCTTAGAACTGATTAATAACCAGGAGAATTAATTTTAACTTTAGGGGCAACCTACCATGCAGGTTTTTCACATGGTATTTATTTAAATATAAATTAGGATTCAATTGCAGTGAAGCTGTTAATGTAGCTCCAACTCAATGGCTTAAAGAGTTTGATAAAGCAATCTAAGAATATCGTATGAATGGGAACTTAAAGAAAGTAAATTTTAAAAGTGATTATTAAATTTAGGTTAGTTTCCCTCTTGAATGGTTGCTTTGCAAGGTTATATTAATGTCTGAAGTTGTAAAATTCACTTAATAATCATGGTAAAAGGTATAATTTTAAATTTAATCTTTAGTTATTTGAAAAATTCAAACAAATGATGGAATTAGAAATTAGCAATCGTAATTTCATTCTAAATCTATATGATAATGTTAAATTAATTGAGTTTGTTAATAAATAAGAGAAGTATGATCGAAGTGTTTGTAAAATCTGTTCCAATTATATGTTTTTAAGTTACATTTTTTGTGGAAAGTAATAAATTCCAATTATTTAATAGATGTATAAAGAAGGTATGTATTTGTCATTAAAGTATTTGTGCTTGTGCTACTCCTTAAATATCACTCTATATTCGATACAGTAACATTGAATTATAAACCATGCTTGCTACATTAGAGTCCAAACTTAAAACAACGGGGTCATGATTTAAAACACTTTATATATTATATTATATATTTTAACAGAAAATAATGAATAAAAATTAACAATAAAATAAATAACTAATTGCCTGTGTATGTCTGATATTGATATTACCTCTTAAGAAAACACTCTCGAACTTCCTAAATTTGAAGAAAGCCTCCCTGATATTAAACCTGAACCTCGCAAAGATCTTAAATATGAAATTAAACACGAATCAAAATCTTCATTTGGTTAATCATCAAAAGATCTTATTGAATAATATAAAAGTAAATTCAATGCCTTAAAATAATTGGCTGAAGAATAACAACCTGTAACTATGGAACCTTCTGTCATTGAAAAATCTGAAAAATCTGATATTTGGAAAAGTGATGCTGAAATTCTCAAATCTCCAAAAGAATGGGATTGGAATATTTTGGCATCCAAAAAGGCTTCAACTACAAGTAATCAAATTTAATTTGATACTCATGTACCAGATCCCATTGCTTGTGAATAAGAACATAAAGCCTAAATTGCCTAACATAGACAAATGATTATGGGAGTATTAGATTAAAGAATTGAACCTGGTTTGAGATTACCTACAACTCAATAATCTTAAAAGCCAGTCGTTGGTGGTGAATAACATTCCAATTATTAAAATATATTAGAAAAATTTAGAAGTGCTTCTTCTTTAGATGATTTGACTACCTTCTTCAATAGTGTATAATAGAGAAAAGGAGTAGAATAAGCAGCCCCTTAGCAATAATAACAATAATAAGATGATCTATTCTCTACTCTTGATATAAGAAGAAACAAGAAGTCTGAAACCTAGATTTAACAATATAAGACCCCAAGCAAATCATAAGAGGAAATCTTTGAATATGGTTCAGGGAATAGAACAACTTCATTTTTCTAAAAGAAACCATCAGCCTAAAAACCTTTATTGTAAAGTCCAAGTTTGGGTAATTAATTCAATTATAGATCTGATTAATCAGTTACTTCTAAAGTCACTTAAAATATGAACTTTTAGGTTGATGTTAAAGATCATAGTAAAACTAATAAGAGAAAGGAAGAACTTTAAAGTTTTATGGGTAAATTAGGATTGGGTAAATATGAAACTCCGAAAGTGGTTATAAATTTGGAGAGTAATACTTAAAATAGTAAGATATTTATATAATTATTAAGATTCCACAATAGATAGAATGAGATAATATGTAAATGGAACTCCAATGAGTGCAAGAAAGACTGGAGGAGGGTTGAATGATTTAATAAATGAACGATCATTGAATACTACAACTTTTAAATAGCAAATAAAATCATATCATAAATCTGGATCCAAACCAGATTAATAAGGTCGATTAAGTGCAGACAATCAAAACTTATCAGATTAATCACTTAAAAATTTGCATTTAAAATTGGTTCATTAATAGAAGAATTCAATAGGAAATTCAGGATTAAAATATGCTAGATGCTGATTAATACTTTATTATAACGAATTATAGCTATAAATTTATATATATATAATTAAAATCAGCAGCATAGATCTTCTTACTTTTTCTTTTCTTATTATTATTGTTATTATCTATTTTAAAGTCTAAGATTAGATGTTTTTCTGACCACAGCTCTAGTATTATGAAGTTCTCGATTTAGTATATTTTTAGTAATGTGAGTAAAGCCAGCTTCAATATTAATTGAAGATTTTGCGCTTGTTTCATAAAAGGGAATTTAATAGAGTCTAGCTAAAATTATAATTATAAAAAGAAATTATTACATAATTCTAATCCTTCTTCATAAGACACTTCTCTTCTCTCAGTAATATCTGCTTTATTACCAACTAATAATCTATTTACTGATTCAGAAGCATATCTCAAATATTTTAGATTAAATTACTTATCAATTTCTGCCATCCATGTTTTAACATTTTCAAAGGACTCTCTATCAGTGATATCATATACAATAATGATTCCTTGAGCTCCTCTATAATAACTACATGTAATAGTTCTAAATCTATCTTAACCTGCAGTATCCCACTAAAATGAAATAATGATTTACAATTTGTAATTTAACATTGTGTTCTCCCAAAGCAATTGTCTTTGTTTTGAAGTCCACTCCTATTGTGTTATAGAAGTTGTTTGTGAATTGATTTTCCTAAAAATAATGAGAGTATATAATACAGAATAACGCATAAGCATACACGATTTGCCGACACCGGAATTTCCAATCAATAAAACTTTGAATAGGAAATGACTAAAGAAATTATAAAAGAATTCTTACTAATCAGAGTTGGAGTTCATTTGTATTTCAAATATTTATTTATTACGGTTAATAATTAAATAAATAATGCGTAAGTTTATTTCTGCATATGGATTTAGTAACACAATTGGATTCGTTGGTTTAGGCAACATGGGAGTAATTTTAAATAATATATGATAAATAGATTGGTATGGCACATAATCTAGCTAAAACCCGAGTTGTATATGCTTATGATGCAAGTCCTTAATGGTAATCTAAGATTGAGTCATCAAATATTAAACCTGTATCTTAAGTATCAGATGTTGCTGCAAATGCAGACACAATCATAACTATGTTACCAAATGACAAGATAGTGAAAAGTGTAGCCTAAGAAATCTTTAAAAGATAAAATAAGACATTAATAGATTCATCCACTATCTCACCATATGCTTCTTATGATTTAGCTAAAATGGCATAAGATACTAAAAATATTTATACAGATGCTCCTGTCTCAGGTGGTGTTGGTGGTGCCAAATTAGGAACATTAACATTTATGGTTGGGGCAGAGAAGGAATTATATGATAAAATATCACCAATCTTAAAAGAAATGGGAAAGAATATTTTCCATTGTGGAAAAATTGGAGGTGGACAAATAGCTAAAATGTGTAATAACATGGCTTTAGCTATTTAAATGATTAGTGTTGCTGAAGCTTTGGCTTTAGGAAAGAATATGGGAATGGATCCAGCTATGTTAAGTTCCATAATGTCTGTTAGTTCTTCAAGATGTTGGTCTGTTGATACTTATAATCCTGCACCAGGAGTTATGCCTAATGTACCTAGTTCCAAAGATTATGATGGAGGTTTCATGGTTGAATTGATGCTTAAAGATCTTGGAATTGCCATTGAAGCATCCAAAAAGAGTGGAACTGATACATAACTTGGATAACATGCTTAGTAAATATATAATAAATTGAATGAACATTTTGCTAAAAAAGATTTTGCAATTGTTTACAAGGAATTAACCAAAAGTAAATGATATAGAAATAAATTATACATGCTTAAATGAATCATAAGTCGTCTCTTTTATCATCACTGACGGTTTCCCATTTAGCATCATCTGTATTTACTTTTTCCCATTTAGTTCCGTCATCACTTTAAGGTGGTTCTGATGTTTCTGGTTCTTCTTCAATTTCTACCTCGTATTCTTTTATTGGAGCATCTCTATCAATTCCTAAAGCAGAATTAAATAATTTATAGAATCTACTAGCAAATTTTTCTGGATTAGGAATAGAGTAACCTAAAATATATTTTAAAAAATACCTGAATTAACTAAGGCAGCTTCATATAAGACTCTAGCCATTTCTTCAGTTTCTTAATCTGGATCATCTTTAACTCTTTATAGCAATTCTTAAATGGCTTAGTGATTTGGATTGATTTCAACAATCTTTTTACCAAATTGATGAGAACCTGATTTACTTGAATAAGCTTAAGCCTTAGAAATTCTTTCCATATTAGCAGAATAACCTGATTCAGAAGATACCACAATAATTGGATCATCAATTAACCTTTATGAAATGATAACAGAATCAACACTTTCTGATAATAATTTTCTCCACCAATCTGTTAATGGTTAGAAAACTTTCTTTAATGCCTTTTATTTTTTTCTTTATTCATCATTATCTTCAGGTTATTTAAAATCTCCTTTTCCAACATTAACTAATTTCTTTTATTTATATTCATTCAAATGTTAAAATGTGAATTCATCAACTGGATCATCTAACAATAAAACTTCATATCCTTTTTTTAACAATCCTTAAATGATTGGTGAAGCCAATAATTATTCTTTATTCTCACCAGCCAAATAATAGATTGAATCTTATCCTGGTTTAGCTCTCTCAATATAATTATCAAATGATGTCAATTCAGTTGAGTTTTTACTTGAATACCATCTAAAATATAATTAATATATTTAATATACCTTGTCAATTCAGCCAATTTCTATCTATTAGAAGAATCTTCAATAACACCTAATTTAATGTTTTTTCCATACTCTTTCCAAAATTCATTATATTCATCAATTTTCTTCTTTCTTTTTTCATCTTTTAATCTTTATTATTCTTCAGGTGTAGTTTCTGCCATATTTTCATCTTCTTCTCCTTCTTCTGAATCTTCTTCATCTTCATCATCATAAGAAGCTGCATCTTAAAATAATTCCAATATCTTCTTAACAATCTTTCTACTAATAACTTTTAACATTTTAAGTTATTAAAGTGTTTCTCTATTAACATTTAATGGCAATTCATCTGAATCTATAACACCTTTAACAAAACTCAAATATCTTGGTAGAATATCTTCAAATTCTTCACTAATCAACACTCTTCTAACATATAATTTCAAATTTGTTGTCTATTTACCATAATAATTATCAAACATATCACTAGGTGCTCTTTTTGGAATATAAATTAAAGATGTAAATTCAACTTCTCCTTCTGCTTTAAAATGTACCCAATTAAATGGATCTTCACCAGAGTTCTTAGATAATACCTTATAGAATTTCTTATAATCATCATCAGATATCTCTTCCTTTGGTCTCAACCAAATTGCTTTGTTCTCATTTATTTAAACCCATTCTGCTACTTTCTCTTTTATTGTTTTTGTTGCTTTCTTCTTTGTATCTGCATCATCATCATCATCATCTTTTACTTTAACTTCATCATCATCTGTATTCTCTTATTGTTAATCATCTTATTATTATTATTCACTATCATCTTCAACCTATTTTGAAATCTCTCTTGTCACTTTTAAATAAATTGGAAAATTAATAAATTCTGAATATTTCTTTATCAACTCCTTTATAGTACTTTCTTCTGCAAATTCAACTGCATCTTATTTCAAATGAATTGTAACTTATGTACCTCTACCTAATGTATTTCCTCTTGGATCTTTTGATACTGCAAATGAATGAGCTGCCTATGATTCCCAAATATATTAATCATCATCTGTATTTTTTGATGCAACTGAAACCTTTTAACCTGCCAAAAAACATGAATAAAAACCAACACCAAATTAACCTATCAAATTTACATTCCCTCCCTTTATTGCTTCAATAAATTATGTGGTTCCTGATTTCGCTATTGTACCCAAATTTGATATCAAATCATTCTTTGTCATACCAATACCACTATCTGTTACAGAAACTGTCTTCTCTTCTGTGTTTATTTCTATTCTTATTGCTAATTCTGTTTTATCACCCAATATCTCTGGATTCTTCACACTCAAAAATCGAATTTTATCAAGCGCATCTGCTGCATTTGAAATTAACTCTCTCAAAAATATTTCCTTTTAAGTATAAAGAGAATTTATCAATATATCCATCAATCTACCTGTTTCTGCTTAAAATTCATGTGTTTCTTAAGATTATTCCAATAACTTTCTTTATTCTTCAGTCAAATCTTGAGTCATCACCTAAACCCCAGACAACATAAACAGAAGCAATAACCCAAAAGCCTTCTATTTTCTTTGCATTAAAAATATTTATGATTCTGCGTAAGAACTACATCAACATATATACAATAACACGTGTTCCTACACATTCTAGAAATTAATTTATAAATAGCCCGTCAAACATAATATACATTATTGAGTTTATTTCAAATGATCACTATTAAATTTAATATTGATGGTAGAATAGTAACGAGTCCATTTCTAAGGTTTGTTAGGAGCTACTGGTTCTCTCATATCTACACTAGCAGTGTAACCATTAGAGGTTATTAAAATGGTCATGATTGTTAAATCTAATGCCAGTAACTACAGATTAACAAGTGCTTATGGATCAGTTGAATACATACTTATCAATGAAGGACTGAATGGATTTTATCGTGGCTTGCGTAGATTTTTCTACCATTACATAAGGCCCTGCATTAGTTAGAAATATGAGCGCTGGCTTCCTATATTTTCAAATGCTTTCCTATGTTACTAGTGAAAATCGAAATGTTTCTTAAGACTTTCTTGCATCATTTTTTGCCAGAGGGTATTACATATATATAATAACGAAGGGTTTCTAATTTTATTACAAATCCAATACTATTAATAGAAACCCGTGCTGAAGTACCTGGGTATTAATACACTTCTTTATGGAAGACTGCAAATACTATTGCTAAATAAGAAGGGTTAATGAGCTTTTTTAAAGGGGGTTTAACATGTTCAATTAAAGACAGTCTATTTGCAGGAGTATCAATTAAACATTAATATTTAGATCTATTATGTTGTATATAGAAAAATGCATGAGATATTTTTACCTGCTGAGTCTGGTTTTTCACCTTCAATTACTTTTCTATCTGGTATGGTTGCAGGCCTTGTTGGTACTTGTGCAAGTCATCCATTTGAAATCTTAAGAGCCAGATTATAAACCAATTATTATCATGATTAAATGACGATTATGTAGAGATTTAAAAGCACATATCAAAATGAAGGATTATATGGGTTTTTATATTATTTCTATTTTTAGATTTACTAAGGGTCTTACTCCCAGATTGATTAGAAAACCTTTAGCTAATTCAATTTCATTTCTTCTTGTAGAACATTTAAATCACATTCTCTATGGTACTTAATTTCACTTTTGATTGTTAATTTTAATGTAGTCACTTTAAAAAAGATTAAACATTTTCTAAAGATGATTTAATATTTATTAGGTTAATTATTGATTTTATTTTTTCAATATTTTCTTTTTTCTTAAAATTTAAATAAAATTATCTAATAAGAATAGGTAATTTTATTATAAATTCCAAAAATAGAAAAGAATAACTTTTAAAATCTTAATTTTAATAAAAATAATTTAATATTTTTAATTAATTCATCTAACAAATTCACATATACCATCTCCAGATGAACAACTTGTACTAAAATAGATTTTATTTTCATTATATTAATCATTAACAATTCCTGAAACCTCTCCATATACCTTGATGCTTTAAACAGTATCATATAAAGAACTAAGAAATTTAATAAATATTTTACGTGTTCAAGATATGGAAATAAGAATTAGCTTCTGCAATAAATAAATGTGATCCATCTCTTTAATATGTAATATTATAAATTGGTAAATCTGATCCTACAAACTATTAAATTGGATGTTTTGGTGAACGTAAATCATATATAACACATGATCCATCCTCACTTGATGAAGCAAGTTCATAATTTTTACATGGATTAAATGCCACAGCAAAACCAAATTCAGTATGTGGATTCAAATTATGTACAATATCACCTGAAATAACATCTAAAACACTTAAACCAAGTCGATCACCACAAAAAGCAATTTATTTATTTATATTAACACTAGTTAAATTAACTGAGGCTCTATCTTAATATGAAAATATCTCTTTAAATCCATTTTGATAATCAAATATCTTTATGTTTCCTCCATTATCATTTGAAATCAAATAGTTTTAATAAAATTAAACATGATTTATAAAATGTCTTCTCTAATTTATTATTTATTTTTCCATCTTACCATCAAATAAATTTATCATTAAAAGATCTCCATTCATTCCAGCAACAGCACAAATATGATCAATAACATCTAATCCTATTGCTTCAAGTGATATTTTTGTTGATTCTGATTTAAATTTAGCTAAATCATAGAATACTATTTGATCAAAGTATGTATGTAATATTAAATTAGGAATACTTCCCATAGATAATGTGTACTTTGATTAGAAATGAGCACTCTTCATATTTTAAACATGATGAAAAATTCTGAACTCAAATAATGTATCATCCTTTTTAATTTATGGAAATTGTGTTGAGAATTGTTTTGGTTTTTTAAATTTTTCTCCTCTTATTTTATCATGTTAATCATATCTCTATTTATAAGAGGGAGTTAGTCCTTAAAAATTATTTTTGTCTTTATTTGTGAACACTTTTTCTTGCAATTTTTTGATAATCATAAAATTTATATATTATTAATATTATTTAAATTTTTATTTAATATGGTTTATTATATAATGAACTCATTTGTTAAATTTATTTTTTAGAAATTCTACCATTACCTATTATTAACTTAAATTTTTATTTATATCTATTATTTAAGAATAAATCTCTTGATATTAAGTTTGAGTAATTTCTTTTATTCTTTCCAAAGAATATAATAATCTTTATAGTTTAATATAATATTTACTGTAAATATTCTATGAAAAACTTTTTTTCAGATCCATAATGGAATAAATCTTTAACTTATCCAACCTTATTTAATTTTTAGAAATAATTAAAATATTCTGCATCAATATTATTTACAGGATAAGCTACAGCTAAATTATAAGATGCAATTTCTTGGCTTAATACTTAATGAATTTTATTTTATTTCTAAATTTCATATTCAACAGTTTGAAGAGAATAAAGACTTTGTGCACTATTTTATTAATTTTTCTATTTTAAAGCCTTTGAGTGTTCAAAGAAACATTGTGCTAAACAATGAAGATATAATTTAAATCCAAAATATTCAGATCTCAATTACAATTGCATGTTTCTAAAGTATAAAATAATTCTTACATAAATTTTTCTAACAATTCTAATGTTTAGTCCATTAAAACTCCTGATTAATATAATTAATCAGATGGTCCTACACACTATTAAAACTGCTAGGGTAATCCAGCATTAGGAATAAATTTAGCTGCATTTGGATTAATTGGACTTGGATTTACAGAATTTGTATTAACAGTTGTGGCTAATCTTGGGAAAGTCCCAGATGGTTGACCTACAGAGTTTGGGTAAGTACCACCTTATTGATATATAGAAGAAGTTTATTGTGGAATAGGAGCAAATTTATTGTTAGTTGTGGGCTAAAATTGGGAACCTTATTAAAACATTCCTGGTTTATTTTAAAATTGGATTGCAGATTATGGAATTTATTGAGGTTAAAATGGTTGGAACTACTGAATAGGGTAATTTTATTTTTAAATAGGTTATTATTATTATTATTATTATTATTATTATTGTTATTATTATTATTGTTATTATTATTATTATTATTATTGTTATTCTGAAATTTGAATACCAGGTTATTTTTATGGTTCTTAAATAGCAGCAGTTTCTTCATCTTCTTCTTCTTCATCATCATCTGGAATATCTTTAATAAGACTTTAATTATATTTAATTTATTTACCCTGATTCATTTACTACTTTATTAGATCCCTCTTAAATTAAAGGATGTTTAAATAATTATTCCCAACTTATTCTTTCATTTTCTTTAAATTTAAGCATATATTCAATTAGTTCAGCAAATTCTTCTGTCATCTAAGATTTAATAAATTCTTACTCCATCCACATATCTATCCACTTGAACTGGGTTTTTTTCTAAGTTTCTTAAAGCTCTCTTAATTTGTACTTAGTTTTTTGCCTCATAAGGTAATCTTCCAAATATTAATTCATATGTTATGATTCCTAACTTATTATATTAATAAGATATTACTGAAAATATATCAGCTTAATTAGAAAAGTAATTTTCTAAATATAATTAAGGTGCCACATATTTTGGAGTACCTACTTTTGTTATTGTCTAATCTGCATTTCTTTCCAAAACTCTAGCCAATCCTAAATCTGCAATCTATTATATATTATTTTTTAATACTTTATATACTCCTTCTAATACTAATATATTTGCTGGTTTTAAATCTCTATGTATGATATTATTTGAATAAAGCACTTTGTAACCATTTACAATTTGTTTTAAGACATTTAATGCTTCGCTTGGAGTTAAATTCTTGTTTTCTTTCTTTTTTTTTTAATCTATTATCCATTACAAATCATTTTCACATTTTTCCAAAATTAATACTATCCTCTCATCGTTAAATTCTACATATTCCACTCTTACTATATTTTGATTTAGTTCTGCACATTTCATTATCATTTTCATTAGTTCAATCTCTCTTTTTGTTTTTGGATCATCTAACTTATCTTTAATAATCTTTGTATTTATTATATATGTACTTTAGCACATAATTTCAATTCTGGTTTAGCACTGTCTTTACATTAATAAACAATTCCAAACTATCCTCTTCCAATTTCTTTTTTCAAATAAATTTCATAAGATTTTATCTTTAGAATCTCATTATCTTCGCTCATTTTATAGAATTTAAATATTATATATAAAATTTTTATATTTAGATTTAAATATTTTCAAATTCTATTATTTTCTTAAAAATATATATATATATATGAATTATGTCAATATCATCTATATCATTTCAAATCTGCTAATAGCTTTTTACAATTTTCTTCAATATCACCATCTAAATGAATTAAATTGTTTCTTCCTTGTAAAACATTTTCTCTATTAATCAATAATATTGGAATAGATTATCCTACTTTATAAACACTTACTGCAAAAGGCATCACTTTAAGACTAGTTCCAATTACAATTAATAAATCTGCATCTCCTAAACTATTCCAATTTTAAAAGAATTCAACAGGAAGTCCTTCACCAAAAAATACAACATCAGGTTTTATTAATCCTTTTTTTGGACATTTTTCACATTTATGAATATCTCCCTTTTTTATATGATTCATAAAGTCTTTTATTGATGCTTCTTCCTAACATTCTATACATCTAGCTGTTCTCATATGTCCATGTGCTTAAATAACCTTATCTTATTATACACCAGCATCAAGTTCTAAACCATCAATATTCTATGTAAAACATTTTAACAATTATTCTCTTTAATCTAACCATTTTATAAATTTATGAGCTATTGTTGGTTTAGCATCAAAACTTAATAAGAATTCTTTTGCTACACAATAAAATGCCTCAGGATTTTTTTTAAAATATTCTATCTCAAAAACACTTTCGGGTGTAGGTAAGTTATATTTTTAAATCTATGAATATAATCCTGTTCCAGGTGTTCTAAAATCTGGAATCCCAGCAGCTACACTCATTCCTGCACCACTTAATACACAAATTCTCTAATATTTTTTATTTTTCAATCCATCAATCAATTTATTATAATTAAACTCCCCTTCATCCATGACCTTCAAATTTGAAATCTATTCAATTAATTATTTCATTTCCTAAGTCTCATCCTTACTGTCTTCTTAATTTAAAAATTTTATTGATGACAACAATTTACTTGCTCTTGAAATCAAATAATTTGTTATGTATGAAAAACATTCATAACACCAAAATGATAAATCTGTTAGAGATAACACTATTTGATGCATCGTTTTTTCATTATGGGCAACCATATGAGCTAAAAAATTTATTAACAATTTTTAAGTACCATTTACAAATCTAGAACAATGAATTTCTCTACATTGAATACAAATCCAATTTTCTTTTGAATCTCCACATTAAATACACTGTTATGCAAATAATGAATTTTTATTTTATTCTACATACTTCATTCTAAATTTTAATACAATTTAAACTACAATTCATGAAAATCTGTTTATTTAAAATGTTAACAATCGGTTTTTGGTTAAACAGCAAATCCAATTTATCCATCTGTAAAAAGCACTTCTATACCTTTTTATCCTTAATCCATATTTATCTTAATTATTAATATTATTCTTTAAAATATCAAATAAAATAAAAATTTAAATTCATAAGAGAATAGGAATTTTAATAAATTTACTGAAAAAGAATCGCAATCACCATGAAATTTTAGATAATTGAAATATAATATCCCGATATTTGATAATAATTAATATTGTTTATGTTTTCATGATATAAATCAAATCATATAATTTTATACATTATTTACCTAGCAATATACTATGCAAATTTGTTTTTATGATCTCTAATCTTTTATAAGACTTTATTATAAACATGAGAATTATTTATTAACTTAGATACTTTAGTAATATTGAAATGAGGATAGTATTTTTCAAATTCTGTGACTTTATCAATATTAATATCATTATTAATATATTGAGGATGATACTCTTCTTAATTTTCATTATTATTATTTTAATTGTTAAATTAACTATTAGCATAATTAAATTAATTGTTTATAGAATTATTTGGTATTAAAAGACTTCTATTACTTACTTATTAAAACAACTTATTTCTAAACAAACTTTTGATATCTTGTTAATTGAGAGATTATTAATGAGAATGTAATCCAATTGTTTATTCAGGTAAATCACAATCTTCATCTTCTAATTTTGGAAATCCTAACCTTATTAATAATTTATTGTCAAATTAAGGAATTGATTTTTAATGTTAAAGCATTTACTCTAACGCTTTTTCTCTAATATGAAGCAAATTATATCTCTTTCTCTTCCTTTACCTAATAAATTGTTATCTTGAATGGTCATTACTACTATTGAAGACAGAAATTATTTTATTTTTATTTTTTCTAAAAAAAACTAATGGACAATGTTTGAATTAATGATGACTTGAACATGCCTCACATTTAATTTGATTAGAATTATCTCCATATTAAGTCTTATCTAGTAAGAGTCTATATTTTTCATATTATCTTTTATCCTTTTATAAAATTTATAAAAACTCATTTTAATTAATATAAGCAACCTAAACAAACGTTTAAGCTACAATATCAAATTACATGTAATCTTAAAAAAAGAATTCTCTTTCGCAAAATAGTTTTCCACTTGTATATCTTTTTATTGTTCTATCTAATAAAACAGATTTGACCTTACCAGTTAAAAGTATATAAACCTTATCTGGATGATCATCTTTCTTAATAATGAATTCTTCTGGAGCATAAGTTTTTTCATGTATACAGTAGCACAATTTTTTAAGAGTTTCTTCTGATAAATTAGATCCAAATAGTTTAGAATGTTTAAAATAACTATAATACATAGCAATTTAAACTTCTTATTTTAACTTCGGATTCAATTATCCCATTAATTCATCTAGATCTAATTCTTCCTCCTATTTAAATTATAAATAATATTCAATATATTTTCTTACTCGAAACTACAGTTAAGTATTCAATCCTCTTTACATAATATGATTGCTTACAAGTCTAAGTTTCGAATTATTAATATTCTATTATTCAGCCAGTTTATAAAAAATGCTTTAAATCATTCCTAACGCATAACCAAACGTTCCAACAACCACAAAAGTAAAACATGTTACTAATATCTTTTCTGGAATAGTAACTGGTATTATATCCCCATATCCAACTGTCATTGATGTTATAGTTACCCAATAAAGTGATGTAAAATATTTCACATATGCATTAGCTTCATAAATATCTTATTAATGTAACCATGTATGTGAATAACCAAAATCAACTTCCAAAACTGCAAAATAATGAAATAAACAAGCACAAAAATGAGATATTAATAATAAGGAGTAGATCAAACAAAAAAGAGAATAGATAACAGCTGTTTTTTCTTTGAAATTTGAAATTTCTTCAATCACGACCATTGTCCTTCTAACTTTAGTCATTCTTATTAACATCAAGTAGTTTGCAAATTAATATCCAAACCATGATAATATGAATGGCAATACAACTGTTAAATCAAGGAAGAATTCACCCTTTATGTAATGCCAAAATATATCTGTCTTTGAAGTATGAAGTATTCCTCTTGCATAATAACCCTTAAAAAAATTTAGAATTAATTCAATCAAAAATACACAACTTGGCAACGTACTAAATAATAGATAAGCATTTCCTATTTATTCCTTATTCAAATCAAAAGACAATTAAAGAGGAACATAAAGAATGTTAACAATTGTTACAAGCATTAATATTACATCCCAAGCAAAAAGAAATTTATCTGCTGGCAAAAGAACTGTTTAATTACTCTTAAGAAAAGCCCATATTTTCCACCAAAATACATTTTTTTATTTCCCTTCATATTTTATCTCTCCAAACTAAAATTTATTTTATTTATATCATACTTTAGTTGGTATCGTATCCAAAAGGCGATTATATAAATAATACTAAAATGAACTACTTAGATCGTGTATTAAATAAAAGATATCCTTATTCAAAATCTTAAACCTGTATTAAGTTGAGAAGTGCCTCATTTTTGTTATGAAAATAACCACTTTATAAATTATCTTGAGTGACTTCTATTTCCATACACTATTTATTTATTTGAATTTTACTCATTATTATCCAAAAGTTGTATTTCTTTTTCAACATTATCCATTGCCTCAACCTCTAAAAGTTTCTCCTCTTGTTATTTTGCTTCTTTTCTAGCAAATTATAGTAAAAATTTAGGTTTGCTCATACTTTTTTCTGTATATTAATTTGCTTATAATAATTATCACTATTTATTTGAACATTTAAATTCATTGACTCAATAATTTAACATCTAAACCTTAATTATGGAAATTCTTAAATATTTTAGAAAAAATGAAATCTCAACATTTTAACGGAAATGGAATTTTTTGTTAAATAAGGATTATTGTATAGATTCATAATTATAGTATGCAATTCTCTGACTTAATATATCCTAATAATACAAATATCAAAAATAGCTATTTTTAATGTAAAGAAAAAAATAAATTAGAGAAGCCCAATTGAAATTTTTAATTGATAAAATTATTTTAATTATCAAGAGTTATTTAATACTTAAGTATTATTGATTAATTCAATACTCAAACTTTCTCTTTCTCACATATAAATCCGTTTTCTTATTCAATATTTGTGTTTCTACATAATTAAAATTTTATTGAATTTTATTTATAGTCTATTTTTAACGAAAAATTATTTTATTAATTTTTGTAAATGACTAAGATCTATTTATCAAAATAAAATATAATTAGATTCATGGATGATAATAAAATCTATTATCCTTTTGCTTAAAATGAATAATATTTTTTGGAGACCAAATTAAAAATAAATAATAATTGTTGTACATTTAATGTTAACAAAAAATGTTGCTCACTGTATTTTCTTAATTAATAAAACAAATATAATACTTCTTTTGATGTTAAAAAGTAATTATTGTAAACTAAAATGAAAAAAGAGTAAAAATATAATAAAGGACACAAATAATTTATGGTGATACTAAGATGTTTTATCTGTAATTAAATTAAGCATTTATGATCATAATAAAATATCTTTCTTTATAGATATTACAAATACTCATTTTTTAAAAAAAAAGTTATCTAACTTCATAGAGCCAGCTCCTATTGTTAAATTTTTTTGTTTTGAAGTTTTATTATTTTATTATGTTTAAGAAGGCTGAATTTCTTAGTTATTTTTGTTAATTTTTTTGATAGGTTCTTCAATAATGGGATCATTTTTAATAACAAATTCTTCAATGATAGGGAGAAAGTTAGAATCTTTGGCTTGATTTTAATTTTTTGATTAATCTTATTATTTGCTCTTTAATACAATTTTAGGTTTCTTAATTACTGGATCTTCTTTTTTTTTTGATTCATTATTAACAGTGTCTTAAGCTTAATCATTTTCATTAATTATTTTTAAGGAATCATTAAAGATTGGATGAGTGGATTTAAGTTGTTTAGATAAATTAACTTTAGTGTTAATATCAGAAGAATCATTTTTTCTTTTATGATTTAATCCATCAACTTTTTTATTAACTACTGCTTTTTATGATTCTACTGCCATAGCTTATACTAGACTAGATAAATTGACTTCATGAACTGTCACTTTTAAAGGTTCTTATCCACTAATAATAAATTAAGGTTTAAAATACCGAAAAACAGGTGGAAAAAGGCCTTCATCTAAAATCATATTTTTATCTGCCAAAGCATATAATGAAATATCCTAAATTTTAATGTCTTTATTTATTTAATTTGCAGATAATAATGAACTAATTAATCCTCCTTCATCATTAACATATTGTAATACATTGAATACAGCATCAAGCTCTTCAGAATGATGTTCATAATAGGTATTAAAAGCTCTACAATTAATTAAAATAAAAGCAATACTATATAGCTTGAAGTCTTTCATTAGGAAATTTTTATAATAAATCAGTTCTTGTCACCTATTTTCTAAATTATGATTACCATTCTATTTTAATGAACTTCTTAATAAATAAAGTAATAATAAATGTCCTCCATTTTTATTGAAATTGTGTAGTAAGAAATATTTTAATTTATTTGAGGAAACAAAATTGTTTACTTGCTTTATAGTAAAAAAAATAACATATAATTTCATAACTTCTTTTGAATCTATATCCATTTTTTGTGTTTTTTTGGAAAATGATATTATTACCATACTTTAGTAGTAATATTGTTGTGTTTATCATGTAACCTCTATTGAAAACGTGCCTCTGAAAGATCAGTATTATGATATAAATTTTGAATGCCTTGAACTAATTATTCTTAACTTAAGATTTAGAGAGCATCAATATGCATTTCTTGAATATCTTTAAGTTTGCAATAATTAGATTTAACTTACTGTTTTAATGCTTCATCATCCTCTTTCTTTTTATCATATCTCCTTTATAATTATAGTAATTTGCCTTCTGTATTTATGATGGCCATCAATTTATTTTCTCTATCTGTATCCTCTACAATTGTACTAAGCTAAGATTAATCTGTAGAAATTCTGTTTCTAATTTTTAGACTGTTCTCTTTTGCTTCAATCTTTCTTAATTCGCCTAATAAATATCTTCTTCTCTTTGTCATCAAGTCTATTAGTTTATAGTTCATCAACATTTACTTTTATCATCTGCAATTTTTTACACTTGCTTATTAAGATAATGATTAAGATAATCATTCTTCTTTTGAATTTATAAATCTTCTCTTATATGTTATTCCAACACGTCCTTACTTTAAGATCCATTTAATGAAATATTTGCAGCTCTTGTTAAATTCATTAAAGCAATATCTGAAAGACTTTTACGATATAATGGATTATCATCCACATCTAAAAGAAGTGAATTAATTATTCCTGTTGATTTCACTTCTGGAAGTGAATCTCGACTTACCAGAACAGTCTTTTTTCTTTTTAGTTCTTCTTATTTAATTAATTCTGCTCTCATAGCATCACCTAATTCTGTAATTAATAATCTATTCATTTTAATGTCAAAAATTTAATTATTATCAAACAATTGATTTTATATTCAAATGGAAATGATATAGTTATAAAGACATTTAATAATGATTAATCAAAATAAAAAAATTAGCTTTGAGAATGCTTTCTTTAGCAACTTAATTCAATATTATAAATTAATCAAGCAATTTAATACTAAAAAAATAGAGATTAAAATTTAATGTGTGATATTAATATTTATAAATGCAATCTCGTTCATAAAGAAGAAGAAGAATATTGAAATAGTGCATCTAAAAAAAGAGTAAAATCGAAGACAATGCACATGTAACTTAGGAAATAGATTCTGATTATGAAGATGTAAGCGAAATGGAAGAAGATGAACATATTCAATATGAAGATGAATTTGATGATGAATATGGTAACCTATCAAAGTAATTTAGTTAGAAAGTGAAGAAGGAGAAATCAATGTTGATAGTGAAGATGAAGAAATATTACAAAAAGAAGAGTAAAATTAAGATTAATAATAATAATAATAATAACAACCATAACAATCAAAACTTAAGAGAAAAAAGAAGGGTATGGAATAAGAGTCTTAGGAGAATAAAAAAAGAGTATGGTTCTATGATGAAGTTGAAAATTTAGATTTCGATAATAGAGCATATAATATGTTACATAGAGTTACAACAGAATGGCCTTGTTTGTCATGTGACTTTGTATTAACAGAAGAAGAGTAATAACAATATAGAAATAAGGAATTTCATAAAATGAATAAATATCCTTATACAGTATATTTAGCAGCTGGAACTCAAGCAGCACAACCAACAAAAAATCAAATATACTTATTAAAATTATCAAAAATGCATAAAACAAAATATGATGATGATGAAGCCTCATAATCAGAAGAAGATAGTGAAGATGATAATCTTAGTAATGATGAAGAAGGTCAAGTACATTTAAGTAGTGTAACAGGTTTAAAATGTGGAGTAAATAGATTAAAAACAATGAATGGTTAAGCAATAGCTGCTTATTGGAATGAAAATGGAGATGTTAATATCTTAGATCTTAATCCTTTATATAAAAAACTTTAAATAAATTAATAATCATAATTTAATCTATCCTAATTGCATCATAAGATATTTAAAAATTAATAAGAAGGATTTGCTTTAGATTGGAGTCGTTTAAAAGTAGGAGATTTAATTAGCGGTTCAGTTGATGGTAGAATTTATTTATATTAACTTAATAATAATGATTGGTTTAGAGAGAATAAAGCATATGAATATCATAAAGGAAGTGTTGAAGATTTGCAATTTTCTCCTATTGAGAGTTTTGTGTTTGCTTCATGTTCAACTGATGGATCTTTATGCATTGTTGATACAAGAGAAGGAAAACATAAATAAGCTTAAATTCTTATTAAAGCACATAATTGTGATGTTAATGTCATCTCCTGGAATCAAGTATCAGCAACTCTTGTAGCAACAGGAGCAGATGATGGATGCTTTAAAATTTGGGATTTGAAATATCCTAAAAATGATGCTATATCTGAAATCCAATTTCATAACAAAGCAATTACTTCTATTTAATTTTAACCTAACAGTGATTCTAGCATAGCTGTTTCATCTGAAGATCATAAACTCTCTATTTGGGATTTTGCAGTTGAAAATGAAAATAATAATGAAGAAGATGTTCCCGATCAATTAATGTTTGTACATCAAGGATAAAAGGATCTTAAAGAATTAAAGTATCATCCTATCTATTATGAAATGATTGTAAGTACTTCTGCTAATGGATTTAATGTATTTAAACCAACTCTTGATGAAGAAGAAAAGAAATCTGAATAATCTGAAGAAGATTAAGCCCAAATTCCTGTAATCAAAGAAGAAGATCTAAATAAATATTTTTAATAGATGTCAATA